ATGCTGGGGCAGGAACGACCAAGGTGAGAGAAAGAGGCCCTGCGTCGTTGACGAGATGTATGTGCGTGCTGTATGAATCCATGAAAGGCGAGGACTCCTATCTTGGGTTAACAGTTGCTGCATGCGTGGGAATTACAGTAGCTCGGTGCTGCTGTGCTGCCCCATGAACTTGCTCGCCCCCTCCTCTATCACCGTCTATCTGTCCTCGTAGGCCAGCTTGGCTACGGTGACGCTGTGCAGCGCAATGACGAGACAGCCGTCGGCTTTGTGGACTTGGGGACCAACGTAACCGTCAGTACGGTGGTGGGCGGAGAAAGCCACACCTGTGCGATTCTGCAGCCGGGCGGCCGAGTCAAGTGTTGGGGCGGTGACGGTAACTACCGACTGGGCTACCCTCCTTCCACGGTGAGGACTGTGCGTGATATGTTCGTGATAGGTTGTGAGTGCATGCAGCAGCCTTAAGCCGGCACGGCTATCCTTGACTATATGCGGTGCACCAGGCCTTTATGCGGGCCCAACTCCTAAGTTATTCTCCTGTTCTGTCGTGTGCATGGGTGTGTTCCATTGTTTCTGGATGGGCGTACATCCAGCGCTTTTATTCCCCATTCGCCTTCGCTCTGAATCTCATGCATGTCATCTCGGACTGTGCCCACCCCCCGCCTGCAACTAGAACAATCGTGGTGACAACCCGGGGGAGATGGGCGACAACCTGCCCTTCGTGGATGTCGGCACCAACCTGACGGTCACAGCACTCGCTCTCGGCTCTGACCACACATGCGTGCTCGTGCAACCCGGCGGCCGAGTCAAGTGCTGGGGCTCCGGGACCCTGGGTTACAACACCAGCTACAGCGGCCTCATGGGCGACCGGCTTCCCTTCGTCGACCTCGGCAGTGGTGTCACGGCGGTTGCCCTTGCTGCCGGCCGGTACCACACCTGTGCCATCCTGGAGCCGGGGCGCAAGGTGAAGTGTTGGGGCTACAACGGTTACGGACAGCTAGGGCTAGGGGACACCACAGCCCGTGGTTATGGACCTGGTCAAATGGGAGATGCCCTGCCATTCGTGGATCTGGGAAGCAACGTCACTGAAGTCACCAGCATCGCAGCAGGATGGACGGGTACCTGCGCTGTCGTGCAGCCGGGCAGCCGCGTGAAGTGCTGGGGGCAGATCACCCCACAAGCCACTGATGACAGCTTTCCGAAGCTGGGAGATGGGCCCAACGAGATGGGCAACAACCTGCCGGATGTCAACCTTGGCACACTACTGTAAGGATGTGAGGTAAAAAGGCTAGGTAGGTTGCATGCATGTGACTTGGGCTGATCTTGGCGTGATACGTCCTTGAGTGAAATAGCTAATCCGAACTTTGGTTGCTCGTAGTCTGGAGCACACAGCTATCTCGTGAGCTGTGGAGTCTGTGGGCCATGGCTGTCAGTTAAGGCGTTTGGCGTTTGCAGCAGTATGCGGTGCATGTCCACTGAGCGAGTCGCTGTGCCTATTATTGTTGGAAACGCTGTTCCTTACGTTCTCACGCGCTTCGAAGCGTTTCCTCGTGATCAGGATCTGTGGTCTCGATAAACGTCAAAGCGCTGCAAAGCAGGAGTGTAGCTGGCTAGCATATATGTTCAGTACCATATATTCCATATTAAGTACTTACCCTTGTTCTAGCTGTCGCTTTTTAATGCATTGCCGTACGCTAGTCCGACGTGATCCTGCATCCTGGTGCATGCGTTGGAAAAGTGCGTCCTAATGTCAAGATGTAGCGAACGTGAACGTTCACGTTTGAGGCCAGTTACTGCATATTTTTTTATCACAGGGCCTATTTCCTGGCTGCTCCAAAGCTTTAATAGATAAGCCTGCACACTAGATTAGCTTTCCTATATGCTTCGCCAGTGCACATTCGGAACGTCTTACCTTGTATTAGGCGTATACCGGTAACAAAGCCTAGAGGTTACAGCCGGTGTAAGGATGTATGGTGAAACGAAGCTGGCGTTACGGTGCGGATCTGCCAACTATGGATCTATCGACTTGTACAATTGCTTATGCTTACGCCGCGAGAATTCGTTTATTCGGGTGTTCGTCGTTGGCCTTGCGTACACTAACCCATGTAACACACTGCCTGCGTGCCTAAGGCGCATGATGGTAAAGCCGTCACAGCTGCTACCTATCTCTTTAGGATGAAGACATGCATAGAAGTTGTGCTGTGTGGGTCATAAGCCATACCCTAGGCGCACGACATCACTGCCTGCACCCTACACACTGTCAACGTTAAACATTTTGAAAGGACAATATAGAAGCAGTTCCCACTAAATTCCATTGCTAGGATTTGGCGTGACCAACACAGTCCAAGTAACACGCTGCTGCTCTGCTGCATGCATGGAAGACAGACATTCCCTGGCACGTGGCAAAGCCTTTGAGCATGGAGTTTGCATCACTGCGCTTCTGCCGAGCTGTATGAACAGTGTAATACCTCCAGTCTTTGGAGCCCTGAGGTCCTGTCCAACGTAGCCCATTCAATGACAAAATGAATAAGTCTAGCCACCGGGCTACGCATACTTTTTTCATAGCTTCTATACCATTATAAATTTCCTATGAAACTATCCTTCAAGATTTTCTTTGCAGCTTTATAGCTTGCACATACAGAGAACAAGAGAAATCAACAACAAAGCCTTGACGTTGCACGCAAGTAAGGCACGTCAAAAGCTTCTATGTTGTGAGAAGGCAGGTTAATAGCTCGTCCGTGAATGTGCCCGCTGCGGTCAAGGACGAACATTTTTAGTCATGTCGTAGCGCGAACTATAAAGGCCTTAATCACTTCTTAGAAAACGTAACGTCTACTATGGATTGGAGTCGCTTACCGGTAACCGGTCTTCCTGCTAAAGAAACTGACACCGTGGGAAATTAGTCTCTGGTCTACAGGATCCTCCGTACTGTACAGTAGGTCCCCGGGATGCACTTAAGAAGAAGGCACTCCAACAAGCCCCACTGCGCCGCGGCCGACATGAAATTGCTCCTTTCCAAACTTTGCACTTAACCTCGGTCAGAGGCTGCCCGTAAGGGCGTCATGATGGCGCGCACGCGAGCGGCAGCTTGCCCGGTATCAAGGGTACCCGGCCTTGTTGCAATCATCATTGCGTTTGCCGCTTCCTTGTCCCTGGTAGCGCGCTGCGATGCGCGTGCGGACGGCGCTCGTCGACTGCTGGCCCAGACCCAGCCCCCACCAGCACCGCAGGGTGAGTGATTTGTGGCGTGAATACCGGTAACAACTAAGCAGACGCAACCGACTGCGATTTCCACTGGAATGCTCCCGCGGCAGTGCTTAACGGGCAGTTGAGCTTTTCGTGTTCTCATTAAAAGTTGCAATAATCTGGCAGATGACAACCCAGGTCCAGATCACGTATTTAACGCCATCTTCTCATCAGCTTAACCTGCTCTCTTACGTCGTTCCCCACTCCCATACGCGCGTGCCCTCAGGTTACTTCGCTTTTACTCTCTTTTGCCGGTATCCCACCCAAGACATCTACGGCTATGACATGGGCTGCTACGTCAATGCGACGAATGCCTGCCCCGTGTCTCCGGACAGCCTTAACTCGGCGGTCCTGCAGACAATGGCCGAAGCATGCCTAGCCGCCCAGGGTTGTGAGGGCTTCTCGTCTGAGGGCTGGTGGGTGCTGATATTGGTTCAGCAGCAACAGCATGTACCGATGTTCGTTGGACAGGATTGAACGTACATGAGTGAATGACCGTTACATGGCTGCATGAGCGCAGTAAGCTCAAGTTTACCACTGCTACGGTACTGGCCCCCCCACCTCCAACCCACCCACACGGCTTCCTGACTTCCCATTCAGGCTCAAGTCGACCAGCCAGCAGGCCTTTGCTTCGCCCGCACCTTGGTACACCAGCCCCTTCCAAGGCCTCTACCTTCGAAGGCACGGTAAGCAAACCAAGGCACAGCTAGCCATTGCTTCTTCCCCACTTGTACGGCATGTTGGGTACCAACAAATACGGGTGACTAGCTTACATAACGACGACGGCCTTGTTCGCCATCATGCACATGCAGCACCGATGCCGCCGTCAACAAACGCTTTCATGCCCCTTCTCGCTTGCTGTTGCGCTCCTCCTTGCTTGCCCAGGCTCCGGCCCTCTGGCCGACTACTGCTTCTACCAGGGGCAGGACATCCAGAAGTATACCCTGACCCGCCTGACCGCCTTCCCGGATGCTTACTTCGATGGCAGCAATGCTGCGTCCCTGGCAGCGCAGTGCAGCGCCACAACGGGCTGCCTGGCGTTTAATACACTGCAGGCAGGTGCACGACAGGATACATGGTTCAAACAGCTGTCTGTACGGTCTTTGTGATTTCGAATTTGTAGGCTGCCTTCGGTTTGGTTCTTTTGCGCCCCACTTCGACCCGTCATTTCCGAATTCCTGCCAACCCACCTCCATGAATCCCTGCCGTCGCGTCCCTGCATGCATGCATGCACCCATTACCATTGGCCCATGCATCCATTCATCATTCTCTCCCGCAGTACCTGAAGAACAGCTCGGAGCTGTCGCTGGTGAAGCCGCTGCCCTCCGTCTTCAAGACCAAGGGGCAAGGCATCTACCTCAAGGCCACGCAGCCCGCTCGTGAGTGGGACCGTACCATACCAGGCCGGCATGCATGCGACACAGGGTCAACAGCTGTGCACCCAAGCGAGCCGGCAGGCCGCATGCATGTATCGCGCGGTAAACAGTTGGAGCGCGCAAGCTATTGTGCATGCCCTGGTTGTAGTCGGGTTTGTTTACGGTCATTACTGTTGTCCGCAAGGTCAGTAATGTATGACTCCATAACGAGGCCGCAGGCTGTTCCAGTCTGCATTACATGCTGTACGGCCAGTTACTGGTCCCTGCGACCCTGCCTGCTGCCCTTCTTTTGTCCTGCTTGCAGCGCCTCCAAGCCCCTTACCTCCCAGCCCACCAAGTCCGCTGCCCCCAAGCCCTTCACCTCCAAGTCCCCTTCCTTCTCCTCCTCCCAGCCCCAAACCACCCAGCCCCAAGCCCCCCCTACGCCCCAAACCGCCCAGCCCACCACCACCGAGTCCTCCGCCGCCGGCACCCGTGGGTGAGGTTGCCTTCTGGCTGCTGGGTTGGTTTTCTTGTCTCTTTGTGTGCCTTCGAATATGCCAGAAATCTTTTGTCCTCGCTCCACCTGCATGCACGCAGGTCTCCTCGCTGTTGGTTCTTTCTGCCCCTACCCGAAGAAAGACATCAGCGCCAGCGCCAACATCAAGTGCTACTCGCCCGGAGCGTGCCCTCTGGGCAACCGCACCACTCGTGCCCACATCCAGGCGGCGGCGGAGGCCTGCCTCGCCACGCCCAAGTGCCTCGCCTTCACAAGTGACGGATGGTAGGTGCTTGGTTAGTTTGCGCTTTGGATGGCCCGTGTGCCGGTAGCCTAGTGCGGGATGGGCCCTGCGAGCGAGCACATGCACATGCACTGAGGTGGGACATCATCTTTCCGACAATTTAGTGCGTCCCTACTCGCCGCTTTTTAGCTTAACACATGCACAGAGCGGTGTGTGTATTAGGCTATTAGTAGGGCTGAACCCGCTTTCTTCGCTCCGGTCCTGCTGAACTCGCTTTGCGCCTTCCTGCTGCTGCCAGGCTGAAGTCCGCTGGTTCAGAGGCCATGCAGCCAACCTCCACCTACTACACGACGCCAGTGCAAGGCACCTACGTGCTGCGACCCAAAGGTGGGTAATGGTACTGGCAGGAAGGCTGCTATTCCTCCGCCGACCCAGGGGTCGGTAATAATACATGCCAAGGAACGCTGCTGTAAACCGCTGTTTTGCTGCCTGCCACTCACTGTTCTGCTGCATAGCCGGGACCCCGTCAGACTTCACAGTCATGTCCAACCAACCCTTTCCCTAGCCGTACAAACGGGCATGTATACGTGATGCGGCCCCCGGCACGCAGACACCGGCCTCTCGCTGGACTCTTTCTGCTTCTACCAGAGCCAGGACCTGCTGGATGGCGGCAGCGGCACCACCTACTACACCGAGGAAGACTTCCCCGATGTGTACAGCAATGGAGGGAATGCGGCTGTCCTGGCGGACCTGTGTCTGAGTGATCCGGACTGCCTGGCGTTCAACACGAAGCAGGTAAGTCCGGGGGCCTTGCAGTTGGTGCGTCCCTTGCCTGTGAATGTCCCCACCATTCATGTCCTTCCCGCCCCCATCGGTGTTCACGAAGTGTCTTGTCACCCGTTCCGTCTTCAGGAGTTCAAGTCCTCGGGAGACGTCTCCCTGCTGACGGATGCGACCGGTACCTTCCCCAACTCCGGGCAGGGCATCTACGTCCGCGCAGTACTGCCCGCACGTGAGTTCGGTAGCAGTAGACGATGGCATGTGACGCAGCAGCAGCAGGCACCAACTCCGTTGTACTGCATACTGTCCTCTGAGCACATGCGCTTTCTGTTGCTGCCGTCGGCTTTACAACTCAAACAACTCCCGGACTTGGCCCTCTCTCCTCGTAAATTGCAGCACCGCCCGGCGCCCCGCTGCCGCCAAATCCACAGCCGTCCAACCCAAATCCCCTGCTACCGCCCAGTCCTCAACCACCCAGCCCTCAGCCTCCTAGGCCGCAGCCACCTACGGGCCCTTACGTGGCTCAGCTCATTATGAACCGGCAAGCAGCGTGTGTACTGGTCGCGCCAGCTGGCAAAGTAAAATGCTGGGGCAACAACGACAATGGAGAGCTTGGGGCCACATTCTCGGGTACTGTAGCCACAGCCGGTTCATTGCCGCAAAACTTGCCGTACGTCGACTTTGGCAACACGACTGGGCCGGTGCTTGGTCTGACACTGTCGGGGTTGACCTCGCACACTTGTGCCAAGTTTGCTGCGGGTTATAAGTGCTGGGGTTGGAATGTCTACGGCCAGCTGGGAACGGTGAGGACTCTTCTGGGTTTGGCAATTGTGGGGCAAAGGATTTGGGATAGGGGGGAAGTGAATGCGCGCGGCTGAGGCCATGACATGCTGACGCGTCCGGTACGTGCGAGGGCTGAAATCGATAGGATTCCGTAGCGGGGCGGCTGGGCTTCTCATTGCTGTATGTGGGCTAGCTGCTGCTTGCTTGTATGTGTTCATTCCGATTTTCCGCTGCGTATGCTTTCCTCCGTGTCCACAGGCCGTTTCCGGACCCACCAATTCAGCAAGCCAAATGGGCAACAACCTCCGCTACCAAGAACTAAGCGTTAACAACAGCGATGTTGACATCATTCCATGCGGCACGGGGCACACTTGTGCCCTGTACAAGTCAGTCGGCAAGATTAAGTGCTGGGGTTTTAACTATTACGGTGAGAAGGATGCCATTTTGGCTGAGTTGTGCTAATAAGTCCTCATAGGGAAGCATGCTGGGAGCCCGTTTGAGGTCACAGAGCTGCACCTTGTACGGATCGCACCGTACGTGCCGTGCGAACCAGGCCAAATGCCTGACCACCGTCGTGACAGCGATATCTCCAGCACGCACTGGACCTTAACTCCGGTCATACCGTACCGTATGCCATTCGCTTTCATGCGTAGGCCAACTCGGCTATGGCGATAATAAGGAACGAACCAGCGAGACCACCGTCGGCTTTGTCGACTTGGGGACCAACGTTACAGTCAGTGCGGTGGCGGGCGGTGGCATCCACACCTGCGCAATTCTGCAGCCCGGCGGCCGTGTCAAATGCTGGGGTGGTGACAGTAACCACAGGCTGGGTTACGAGACCACGGTGAGGTTTGGGCTGCATGAAATGCGGGCTTCTGCTTGGGCATCACCGAATGAGCTCTTTGGAGACTCCCTCCTCCTCGTATTTCACCATGGACAGATGTAGCAGCATACATGTCTACACCCTTGTCGAGAAATAACCGTCGCCATACATGCGTGCCTCCCAACCAGTTCTGGCGTGGCGATGACCCGGGGGAGATGGGCGACAACCTGCCCTTTGTGGATGTTGGCACCAACCTGACAGTCACTCAGCTTGCTGTGAGCGACGACTCCACATGCGTTCTCGTGCAACCCGGCGGGCGGGTCAAGTGCTGGGGCGCCGGGTCCACCGGGTACGGCAGCAACAACTACTATGGTGTAACCGGTGACAAGCTTCCCTTCGTCGACCTCGGCAGTGGTGTCACGGCAGTCGCCCTGGCTCCTGGACCTTACCACAGATGTGCAATTTTGGAACCAGGCCGGAAGGTGAAGTGTTGGGGCATGAACAATTACGGTCAGCTGGGACTCGGGGACACCATAGAGCGTGGTTCTGGACCTGGCCAAATGGGAGATGCCCTGCCGTTCGTGGACCTGGGAAGCAGCGTCACTGAGGTAACCAGCCTTGCATCCGGAAAGGCGGGCACCTGCGCCATCGTGCAGCCGGGCAACCGTGTGAAGTGCTGGGGTACAGTTGTTGCGGATACGACTGACAGCAGTTGGGCGTCCCAAGGAGATGGGCCCAACGAGATGGGCAATAACCTCCCGGATGTGAACCTTGGCACACTGTAAGTCTTTGACGGATGTTGCTGATACTTGGTTTGTTGCTTTGGCTGACATGGGTGTCAATCGTGCACATCAGCCGTGCTGCTCGTTATTGTTTGTTTATTAGTAATCTTGCTCGTGGGTCGATGAATCAGTCCCTAACGTTTTGCGAGCAGATAGGACTTGTTTGCTCTGGTCCTCGTGGGTCAGGCGGCTAGTAGACGTGCAGGCGGCTGGCAGTTGCTCTGCATGCCCACTTGCGGTGCCTATGCATATCTCTGGCGGTTGTTAGTGCCGTCCCAACAATTACGAGTGCTGAAAAGGCACTGCTACGGTTCCTCTTGTTCACGCTTGTGGGACCCGGAAAAACGCCTCAGTGCTGCAAAGCTGAGGTGTGGCCTGTAGCAAAGTCTTGATACTGGGAGTTACGTTATGGTAGCCCTAAGTGGTTGTCACTGGCGTTTCTGATACCATTTTGCCGTAGAACCCTTCGTAATCCTAATTAGAACAGCGTGCATGCCGTCTTGTTGTCAGTATGTATTCCGTGAAGGAGGATGCCGTACCGGTATGTAGGGCTCCAACGCCTTTTGTTACTGCGTATTTCATACATGGTATGGGCTGGGTTTGCTTCATTGTTGGATCGCTACGCTCTTTAGCCCGGGCTGCTAACTTAATGTTGTATTGTAATAAACTGTGAGGTAATTCCTATCCCAAGGCTGTCACGGTGGTAAAGCAGGGCGCGCGGTGTTACTAGAGCTTTGTGCAGCAGTGTGTAGTCCAGGGGGGGTTGCAACCCAGCCGTAAGGATGAGAAAATGTAGGTAGATCACACATGAAACGCCATTCGGTCATGGTGCGTGAGATGGTCTATACCGCTTAGTTGTAATTTATTTGGCCGACTTATGGCTTTGTATGACCCACGGGTCAGTCTCCAGCAGCTGTCTCTGGCTCGCTCGCAAGGCTTTCCTTTGCAGCATACCTCTGACTTCCGCAGAGCTTAATACAGCCCAGACACAGCACAACAGCTACGCAGTAGTATGACAGCCGATGAAACACACGCGGCCGGTTTTCTCCACACAGCTACAGCAACACACAAAGGCATTTAACCCGTGGTCTCACGGTAAGAGGGCGGAGGCCAACTCCTTTACAGCAGCGCAGCCCTACATAACCTTCAGTCACTGTCAGTCAGTAGTCTTCAGTTCCAGCGCCAGTGTCAATCACGCATGCACCCATCAGTCAGACGGCGGCTCCAGGAAGCCGTAGTGCGAGGCCGGTGCGCCCCACACCTGACCCAGCGCATCCAGACCCCCCTGCGGCTCGTCAACAACCCAGGGCTGATCCTCGCCGCCACGGTACGGCAGCGGGGGCAGAGAGTACGGCACTGGGATGGCACACGTCACCACCAACTCCCCCGGCTGCTGCTGTTGTGCGCCAACTGCTGACGTGGATGCGGATCCGGATCCAGATCCCAATGCTCGTCCGAATGCTGCTGCTGCCCCCGGGGCGGGCTCCGTTGTCGGCGGGGGGTGCGGGCTAGCAGTGGCTGCGGCTGTTGCAGCGGCGGCTGCACCCGCGAGGGCGAGGAAGGTAACCTGCGGAGGAGGGGACCCTGCAGCGGCTTGCTGCTGCCGGCTGCTGCTGCTGCCACCGCTGCTGCCACCGCTGCTGCCGCCGCCTCCAGTGCTGCCGGCAGCGTCCGGGGCTCCATGGCAGCAGAAGCCCCAGTGGGGGGACGACCTGTGCGTGCGTGTGTGTGTACGGCAGTGTACGTAGGCAAAGATCTTGTTGGAGCGCGTGGCATGAACAAGCAAGAGAGTAGTAACAGGGCAGGGCAAAGGGATATAAAGAGCGAGGCAGGGCAACAGGAAGGTCAAATCCCCCGTGCAGGAGCGAGCGCCTGCCAGCTGCTGCATGGCCCGTCAAGTGCTCCCCCATCACCTGTATGCCGCCTCCAGCGCAGGGGTGACCAGCACGCCCAGCTCGTACGACCGGATCTGGCGGGTTGGATGTAGCGAGACAAACAAGCGTGAGCTGAAGTGTTTCTGCGGAACACCTTGCCTCGTTGCCTGCTATAAGACCTTAGTCCTTCCTACCCAGACGAGTCTAACCAGGCCGCTAGGACCCTCGCTGCAAGCACTTCAGGCAACCCGCACCATTGCATGCCCCATGCCCGCCATGCGACCACCCCACCGCCCCACCCCCAACCCCAACCCCAACCTGTGGTCTCCTATGGTTTGGTATGGTCTTCGTGGTCTATGACCACCCCCACCCCACCATGAGCTGCGAGCCGCCCTTCTGCAGCTCCCCCCAGGCCGCCTTGCTCAGGTTGTGGGAGGTCACCAGGAACCACGCCAGCTGCTGCCCCCGGTACCTGCATGTGGGGGGGGCCAGGGGGGGCAGCAGGGGGCAGCAGGGGGCAGCCCGGGAGCAAGTCATTTGCTAGCGGTTGGTAGCCAAACACAGGCCACCACGACCACCCGCCCACCCACCCACCCACCGTGTTTTAAGGAAAACACAGCGCTGCGAGTCGGAACATACTGTGATTACCGGAAGATGTGAGTCCCCCACAGAAACGCCACAAGTGGACCCACCTCGTGTATGTCTTAATGTGCGGCATGGCTCTCTGCCGCCCCACCGCCTCCCCGCCCCAGCGCGCGTAGTACCGCCGCATGAAGGCCTTCCGCACGTTCTTGGCGGGTCCGGGGATGCTGCGGCCCGCGAACCAGCCCTCCATGCTGTTGCGGACCTCCTGCACGGTGGGCCACACCACCGCCAGGGGCAGCTGGGCGCCGCTGCCGGGGGGGCCGGAGGGGCGCGGCAGGCCGCCCAGCCGGGTGGGGGAGGAGGCGGAGGAGGAACCTGCGGCGGGGCCCCACATGTGGCGGGTGACATGTATGCAGTGGGTGCATGTGCGGATACAAGCAAGGTGGTGCGTGAGCTGGCACATGTGGCACATGTGTGTGCATGCAGGCTAGAATAGTTCCAGGTAAAAAGGGGACAGTTGATGGCATGGATGACGGGGAGGACGCGGAGGAGGTCCGGTACACGGCTCACCAAACATCTGGCCCTGCTGCTGCTGCTGCTGCTGAGGTCGTCTGTGAGCAGCCAGCGAGCACCCGAACTCATCAATCAGCCAGGCCTGGTCAAAGGACCCCATGGAGGAGCACTGAATCACCAGACCCTCACTCTCTGATGACCTCCCGTCGTCGCCCCCACCACCTCCGCCTCCTCCTCCTGCTCCTCCTCCTCCTCCTGCTCCTCCTCCTCTGCCGCCAGCTCCCGGCTGCTGCTCCTGACTCACCGGACCCGCTGCCGACCCGCTGCCGCCCCCTGCCCCGTTGAACCCCGGCGGCAGCTCCACCCCCGCCAGCAGCAGCCGCAGCCGCATGTGTCCGTACTGCTGTACGGCAGCTCCCCGGTGGTAGCCCGGCACGCTGGGCACCAGGGCCCCGCGTGCGTGCGTGAAGTCGTGTGCGGCGATGGCGGCCTGCAGCGGACCCGACATGGAGGCAGGCAGCGACAGGGAGCGGAAGTAGACGGCGAGGTCCCGCTCAAACGCTGAACTCTGCTGCTGCTGCTGCTGCTGCGGGTACTGTTGCTGTTGGTGCTGTTGCTGTTGTGAACCGGCATGCGGTTGTTGTTGTTGTTGTTGATGTTGTTTGGGCGGGAAGTCCTGCACCCACAGTCCCTGCGTCTTGTCGTTGCAGTCCGCGTAAATGGCGTTCGCAGTGAGTACGATCAGCCGCAGTCCGCTGTCGTACTGCAGCAGGAATGCCTTGGTATGGTGGGTGCCGTACGCGATGGGCAGCGGCGGCCGGTGCAGCTGCAGGTGGGGGGCGCCGGCTGCTGCCGCGGCTGCCCGCATGTCGGCCTCCTCACTGGGGGGCTCCCCGTGCACCAGGAAGAACTGGGGGGGAGAGCGGACGGAAGGGGCGGACGGAAGGGGCGGACGGAGAAACAAGATCACAAGTAGTGTTGTGGGAAGCGTGAGTTTGGCTAAGGCCTCAACCCTCTGGCGTCGCGGGTCCAAGCGTGTTGGGCGCTCCTCATCACCCCCAAGCGCCCTTCAACAGCCCTGCCCTCCGTCCGCCTCCCGCCCCTCCGCTTATACCATGAAGCTAGCATTCACGGCATCTCATGCAGAGCACCGCCCGCAACGCATCGGCCGTTCCCCTCCTCCTCCTCCCCCCCCCCCCCCACCACCACCCCACCCCACCTTGTCCGCCCGCGCCAGGTCGGGGCAGCAGCTCAGCAGCCAGCCCATGTCCACCATGTAGTTGGACACCAGCGCCAGCCGCAGTGGGCCGCACACCAGCTGACGCAGACGGGCGCCCAGGCAGCCGCAGGAGTGGCGGGCGGACAGCCCCCTGCATGCATGGCGGGGTGCGGGGTGCGAGGGGTGGGAAGGGGGAAGGGGGGAGGGACAGGAGGGCGGACCGGTACCGGTAGTTGGGGTGAGCTGGAGCATGTAGGTGGGAGTAGTAGAGGTCCTGGGACAGGACTGGAGTGGGTTGGGGATTGGTGGGACGGCGGTTGGGTTAGGTTCTGGTGAGGAGCACATACCTGGTCCGCAGCAGGTGGATGGGACTGCTCATGTCGTACGGGACGGCAGTACTGCCGGCGGCAGCAGCTGAGGCAGCAGCCGGTCCTGACATGCCGGCAGCAGCAGCAGCAGCTGGGGTTGCTGCTGCTGCCGGGGCAGCGGGCGAGCGGGCTGCATCCGCAGCCGGAGCAGCAGCAGCCGGGATCCCCGCAGTGCGGAGCCGCTTAGCAGGAGGCACCTGGGCGCCCGCCTCAACGTCCTCGTCCTCCTGCTTTCCCTCCTCCGCCCTTCCTGCTGCCGCCGCCGCCTTTGCAGCTACTGCCGCCGCCACCGCTGCCCCGGCAGCCCCAGTCCGAGTGGGCAGGAGTTGCGACACCAGAGGCGATTGCGTCGGCTGTACGGCACCATTGTCATTCGCATCAGCTGTAGCATCAGTCATCGCTGAGGCTGCTGCCTCTGCTTCTGCAGCCGCCGCAGCAGCAGCTGTAGCAGCCCGGATGGCTACTGCGGACTCCTCGCGCGCTCCCAAGACGAAGAAGCGGCTGCAGCAGCCCCCGGCGGTGAGCTGTGAGAGCGGTAGTGCGGCGGAGGCGCCTGGATCCACCACTGTCAGCACGTCCCAGGACGCGCCGGCTGCTTGAAGCAGTATTTGGAGGTGTAAGGGGAGGTTGGGTGGGAGCGGGTATTATATGAGGAAGGATAGGGGGTGTTACGGCATGGTTGGGCTTGGATGGGAACTTGGCAGTGAAAGTTGACGTCGCGACGAGACAGAACACAGGAAGTTTTTAAGTGAATGGGTATACAGGTTTGAGGAAAAGGGCATCGCGGGATTAGCTTGAGGCCACCTGGCTGTCAGGCTGTGGCTTCTCTACCTTCCTCCTGGCGCTCGACTACAATTGCGTTGCGTCCTGTGACTGACAGATCAATTGTTGCTCCTTCCAGGTCAATACGAAGTTGGATGTGCTTCCTACTTATTAGGACGTTGTCCCAGCTTACAAAGGGATTCCTTCTGCCCAGCATGGCAGTTCCACCTCGTGGGATATGCAGCACATTGCGACACTTAAAAATTAAGTCCATGGCAACGGTACACCATAGTAAGCATGTGGCGTCCTAGTATTGTTGAGCCTGGAAAGCAAGCACCGGGGATGCAACACTCGTCGCTCGTCCATGCACGGGAGGATTACCATCTTGTGCATTGACTGTCAATCTCAGGCACTTGGACAGTGCGTGCAGTCCCCAAGAATACAACTAGACTGTTGCACTCGTACCTCGAGCAGCTTTGCCTGCAGGTGTTTGTGACGTACAGGTCCTAGCGAAGCGACTCAAGAGCTCTCCCATAGCACCCTTGTTGCCTCCGTTTACACCCATGAAGTGACTATTAGACTCGCTCTTAATTGGTTTGACTCCTTACATGTTAGCAAATTTCATACCAAGTACATAAATACACCTGCATACATTACTTTCTTGGTTTGGGTGGTGAACTGCTAATAGACAGATGATTAGGTTAACGCGGACAATGAAGCGGCCATAGGCGTGGGTTGGGTCGGACGCTCAATGCTTCAGCTAGAATCTCGTCCAGAGCCCGTGCCAGCTCCTCCAAGGCAAGGTGCTATTTGGTGGAGTGTAGCTCCACCAGCAGAGCCTGGGATCAATGACCAGGTTTGTAAGGCCTCAAGAGGCCTATTCAACAGTTGGTTGACGCGTGCAATATACTGTGTACAGTGAGTCTGCTCATCTCTTTTTTGTGTCGCCTTCTGTGCTTTACCCAAAACAGAGCGCACCCGATTCAGGGGCAATTACAGAAGAGCAACTGCGGGATTGGCTAAGCTGTACAGCGGGTGAGTTTCGACGCCTCGCCAAGCAAAGCTATAACCGCTTAGCAACAAGTGTTAAACAGGTTTTGGCAAAATGCGGAGGATGTACCGCACATTTTACTCTTTCGCGCCGTGCGTGTCCATACCAACTCATTCTCATGTAGCCTGTGTGCTCCTTAGCACGCGCATGTTACCAATCCCCACCTTTGCAAAGCTCAAGCCTTGTCCTCGCCGCCCCTCCCATCCTCCTCTCCCCATGTTTCCCTCAGGCTGGGAGGCCCTGGAAATCACCTGGGGGGCGCTGCAGGGCTGCCAGGTCTCCCACCGACAGCTCAAACCGCTGCTGCAGGCGGCCCTGGCGGAGGCAGCCCGCCTGGGCGCCGCACGGCTGGTCGTACGGCAGTTAGATGTGGATGCCGTACTGGGTCGGCACTGCCTGGGCCTAGCGCTGGCGGCCTTCCCCAACTTCAACCAGCTAGAGCTCCGGGAGCTGAATTTGTACGACGAATGCGTGGGTGGGTGCGGGCTTGGGTACCATGGCACCTATGTGGGACTCACTTAGGAGTGCATGAGCGCAAGGACAGCGCCAGTGCACCCCTTCCCTTCTCCAGCCCTTCCATTGCCCCCGCACCCCTCCTCCCCCCGCCCGCCCCCAGGCCACCTGTGCGGCTCGCTGCACTGCTGCGAGGCGCTGCGTCAGCTGCACCTGGAGGCTGTGTGGGCCTCGCCGGGGGGGTGGGCGGCGCTGGGGGCAGCGCTCAAGGTGAACAGCAGCCTGGAGGTGGTCAGGTGGGGGCGGGGGTGGCGGGTGGGCGGGGGGGAGGGCTGGAAGGGGCAGGAGAGAACAGGAGGGAGGCTGGAGGCGGGCTGTGAATATATGGGGTTGGGTACGGTGATCCGAGGACCTTGCGGGGTGGTTAGTCTGCATGCATGCATGCCCTAGTCCACTCACCGCACCCCCCCACCCCCCATGCCTCCAGGTTGCGTGACTGCCTGCGCTGCCCCGATGCGCTGCGCTGTCTGTGCGGGGCGCTGTCGGACTGGCGGGGCGGGGCGCTGCGGGAGCTGCAGCTGGGCTGGAACGAGCTGGGGGACGCGGGGGTGGCGGAGGTGTGCAAGGTGAGGGGGACGCGGGGGTGGCGGAGGTGTGCAAGGTGAGGGGGCGGGAGGAGGTGTGGGGGCGCAGACATGGCTGGGCGGCGAGAGCGGTGGCGCCGCCTCATCACTTGGCCACGCTGACGTCATCGTCTTACCTCGCAGGCCCTATCTCGCAACGGCGGCGGCAGCGGCGGTTCAACAGGCGGCTGGGGGGTGCTCAGCAGCGGTGGGGGTCACCATGCCGCCTCCGCCTCCCCCTCCGCCTCCCCCCGCGGTTGGGCCGGACCCGCTCATGTGGACCTCTCGCACAACGGGGCGGGTGGGGGCTGTGTGGCGGCGGCGGTGGGGATGCTGCGGAGCTGCAGGGGGCTGCGGCACCTGGTGGGGGCGGGGGGTGGTGCGGAGCGGGGGGCTGGGAGGCGAGGAAGGGAGGGGGGCTGCAGGGCTGATGAGGAGGCGAGTGCGTGAGGAAGGGCTGCCGAGTGCCTTGTTTGATAGTGCAGCGGTGTTTTTGCATTGCACACGCACGGTGGGACTTGCTACACGCCACCTGAAACCCTCGCCCTCTCCCCCTCTCCTTGCAAACCCTCGCCGCCCTCTCAGGACCTTTCCCACAACAACCTAGGACCCGAGGTGCGAGCAGGGGAGGGTGGTGGGGGCAGGGTTGGGAAGCAGGAGCAGTGGGGTGCTCCGCGGGCTGCTACCTGGGGCCTAGCCACCCAGCAGGAAGCCCGGGATGGGTTTGCTGGCAGCACCCCTGCTGTCCCGGACAGCAGCTGCAGCTGCGCTTGCTCTTCCCAGCCATCCCTGCCCTGTCCCCCACCTTTCCTCACCTCCTCCCCCAACCCCCAACCCCAGGCCACTCGAGACCTATGTCGCGCGCTGCCCTACGCGCCCCACCTCACCTCGTTGCGGCTGGACGCGGTGGGGGCGGATGACGCGGCGGCGGAGGCACTGGCGCGGGCGGTGGCGGGGGCAGGTGCGGGGTTGAGGGGGCGGTGTGCGGGGAAGGTTGCATGTGAGGCCGTCCTGCGCGCACATGGGGCTTGACGCGTCCTGGCAGTGGCTGCATGCCAGCATGACAGCAGCTGTGTGGCAGCGGATCACTGCCCCCTGCGCGGTGCTGCCACGTAGGTTCTCCCGTGGAACTGTACCTGCCGCCCCTCACTCACCCCTCCTGCCGCCCCTCACCCCACCCCCACCCGCACCCCACCCCCCCAGGCAGCTGCCTGGCCACTGTGTCCCTGGCACACAACCGCATCAGCCACCGCGGGGCGGCGCTGCTGGCTGGAGCCACCCGCCGGCCCGCAGCCGCGCTGGTGGATGTGGACCTGGAGGGGAACGGACTGGTTGGGGAGGCGGGTGAGGCGGGGCTTGGGGGGGGGGAGGAAGGGGTGTGCCTCCGGCTTGACGAGGATGGCGCTCTGGGGCGTTGGGGAGGGTCTACACACGAGGCCCCTCCTCGCGAACCTTGACTCTCGGTCTATTTTCTTACCGTGAGAGGCGGGGTATGCGTGTACTGTTGTGCTCTGATGCCCCTCAGGCGCCAAGGCCTGGGCGGAGGCGCTGGCCGCTGGTGCGGGGCTGCGGTCCGGGTGCTGCTGCCGGCTGCGGCGGCTGGTGTTGTCGGGGTGCGAGGTGCCGGACGCGGGGGCGTTCGCGCTGGGGGCGGCGCTGCGAGGTAACACGGCGCTGCAGGAGCTGAGGCTGGCGGAGAACCAGCTGACAACGCAGGGTGAGGGGGCTGCATGCATGCATGGGGAGGAGGGGGCTGCATGCATGAGAGGTTGCATGCATGGCGCAAAGCTGGCCCAGTAGGTGGGGCTAGGGGCCCTAGGACCGTACGCAGCAGTCAGACTGTTTTGCCACACTCCCAATACCCACTCGCCACTCACCACAAACCCGCCCCCCCCCGGCCCCCCAGGCTTGGCTCTGCTGGCCGAGGTGCTCAAGGTGAACCGCTCGCTGCGGCTGCTGGACGTGTCGTTCAACAGGGTGGGGCCGCGCGGCCTGACGCCCTTCAGCCGACACATGACGGCAGCGGGGGCAGCAGGGGAGGCGGGTGGCCGGGCGGCGGGGCCCGGCGGGCGCACGGAGGGGGGCGGGGGACACCAGCGGCACGCGAGCTGGGCGCCCCTGGCAGGGTGAGGGAGGCGGTTGGGAGGGAAGGGTGAAAGGGGGGTTGGATGCGGCGCTACCGGTACTGTGTTGCGGGTTGAGCTGAGGTGGGGTAGGGTGCTCTCTGGGTGAGTGGCTGCCGGTTCCTCGTCCTCATGTGTGTTAAGGAAACTGGCCTGGTGTGTGTGCGTGTGGCAACCAAACTGGCTGTCCTCCTGCGTCCTTCGTGACCCGGCCTCCTCCTCCTCCTGCTCAGGTCCCAGGGCTCCTCGCTCCACCGGATCTCCGCACCCGGCCCCCTCACCTCCGCCCCCACCACCACCTCCTCCTCCGGCTGCTGCGCCCACCCGCCCTGCGTCGTCAAGGCCGAGCTGCTCCCGGAATACCGAGCGGTGGAGGCGGTCAAGCACAGCTCCGAAACCCGCATGACAGCCACACCGCCGTCTGCTGTGACACAGGGCGGAGCTCGGGAGGGAGGGCTGGGGGCGGGGGGGAGAGCGTATGCATGGGGCGGGGGAGGGAGTGGTGGGGCGCTGGCATCTGGGGCGGGTCCGGCAGGCAGCGTCTGGTCGCGGTGTAATGGCGGCGGTGGTGGCGGTGGAGGGATAGGCAGCTGCGGCGGCATGGGGGGTGCGACGCACTACGGGAATGGTACCGGCGGCGGCCACGGCGGCAGCAGCAGCAACCCGTTCTTGTCGCCCAAGGCGGCGCCCTGCAACCCCTTCTTGGCGGATCTCGCCTACAACTCCCCGCAGCGGCATTACCGGCCCAGCGGCGCCGGAGCTCATTACGCCACGGGGCCTTCAGTCGAGGCACGGAACCCCTTTTTGGATTCGGATTCGGATTCCGTTGAGGGGCCTTACCCGGCGATGGGAAACCAAGAGCATGCTCATGGGGGCGGCGGCAGTGTTGGCGGCGGCGACATCAACCCCTTCCGCTCGCCAGTAGCAGCAGCCGCCGCAGTCATTCGCCCCTTCAGATCACCGCTCACTAACCCCTTCTTGACGCCGGTTGTCGAAAACGCCGAGGGCAGCGGCGGCGGCGGCGGCTCCGCTGGCGTTAGCAACGGTGGTGTCACCACCGCCGGCGGCGGGGGAGGCATTGCCGCCAGCGGCGGCATAGGCCGGGCGGCTGAGGGGGCAGCAGTTGCTGCGGAGGCCGGCGGTAACAATGGTGACGCAGGTGCCGCAGCCGGCGGGGCCTATGGTGCCAGTGGCGGCCTGGAGGGAAGGACCCTGGCCACCCGCGTGCTCACCCGTGGCGGCCTCGGTGAGTGACCCATGGATCCGGGTGGTGACCTCTTTCTCGGCCCTCAGTGGCTGCAGCGGCTGCGTGTAGAGTTGGTACCCACACCATTACGGCATTTCGTGTTGCCTTTGACAACCGCGGCCCCCTCACATCCCCCTTACATTGCACACGCTCGCATGCCTTGCACGCCTAATCACACATTGTTTCGCCGCTCGCGCGTGTGTGTGTATGCCGTACTAACAGCCTGGGTCACCCGCCACCTCTCCACCCGCCGACGCAGAGGGCCCCCTCGCCTCGGACGCCATCAGCATTGGCGGCGACGGCAGTACGGTGTACGACAACGTCTTGTACGACAGTTCCCTTCACGGCAGCGGCGGGGGCGGCTCCATCACCAGCTGCTCCACCGCTGACGAGTGCGACCTTGTGACGGACGTTGACATGCGGCTGTAAGTGGTGGGAGGGAGGGCTGGGGAGGGAGGAGGGAGGGCAGGTGTCGCCAGCTGCAAGGGGAATATGCACACGTGCACTGATGCGTTGTTGTGGTCTGAGCAGCGGCCTGATGTATGTTAAGAGACGTGTATGCCGAGTCAGCTGGCTGCAACCCGATGTATGTATGCCGAGTCAGCTGGCTGCAACCCGGTGTATGTACCGCATGCAGGGTTGACCTGATGCTCGAGGGCATGGGCCCGGCTGCGGATGCCCAGTCGGGGCACGAGTCGGGACGTCGGGTGCAGCTGTCGCCGCCGCCTACCGCACCACCCTCGGGCAGGTCCGCAGCGAGAGTCCTCTTCAGCGGCAGCAACGGCAAGGACGGTAACAAAAGTAACTCCGGTAGCAGCAGCAGCAGCAGCAGGGGTGTCGGGGCAGCTTCCGCGGCGGGGACAACGGGGCTACAACGCAATTCAAGCGGCTTCGCTGCCTCTCCACGTGTTGCTGCTCCTGCTGCCGCTCCTCCTGCCGGTTTCGTAGCCGGTGCGACCGCCGTTGCCGTGGGTGCTGTGCTTGCGAGACCCGAGGCGGGGAACCGACAGTCGGGGGGGCAGTCTGAGGAGGTGGTGGCCGGGCGGGGGCTGGATGCCCGTGTGGATAACCCATTCGCACAGCCGGCGGGTCCGTTGGAAGGCCAGAACCCGTTTGCTGTGCATGCGGCAGCGGGAGGGGTGCGACTGGAGAACCCGTTTGGACCGCCGGAGCCTGCTAGCCCACGGCCGGATAACCCTTTCTCCCAGCCGGCGGCTCCGAACCCTTTCCTATGAGCAACGTGATGAAGTGAGCCATGCTTGGCCCATTGCTTTGCCCTAACCTGTGGTGTTTTGGTATATGTCTGACCCCCGAGGTGTGTTGAAGTGGTAGTTTTATTTAGCCGGTATTTATGTTTTGCACGACTAGAGGTGGCGGTGCTGTATCGGACGGTCCTACTTAGTTGTTAACAAAGGTTATTTATGGAAGTTTAAGCGTTCGGGGTTGACCTGGAAAAGCAGCAGTCTAATGCACGGGGTACGAAGGTTGGCCCGGAAACGAGTGAGAGACGTGCAAGCGAGTCAGTTCACTAGTGTGCTGGTGTTTTACCCCTTATATGGTTCGGCAGGCAGAGTATTATGCGCCTGCCCACACTGCCCAGTGTTTATACGCCTTTCCATTATGCCCCTTATGCTTGCATTGCTGTCTTTGTTTTGCAATTTTGAGACCCTCTTGAGCTCCGATTTGCGTAGCCTTGGGTACCTTGTGGGACCTGTGGGACGAGACCTGGACATTTGGAGGACTTTGGGATCAGGAAGGGGACCCTGCAAGTGGCTGCTGCTGCGCCTGGATTGGGCTTTTCTTGCTGTCTTTATGGAACTTCAACAGCCATCATGGGGGCGTGAGGAACAAGGGATCCCGCCCTAGCACGTCATTACATGATGCATGTCTCTTAATATCGTGAGTTGCGCAATCACGAAACGAGGTTTCCGCGTGCGCTAAAACAGTTGGGCAATCAGACTAATCACGTCCAGCTCCCCATAGTTCACATGGGCTCGCAAACGAAACATAGGCTGCGCTAGACCGGTCGGAGCGGGCATCAGTGCGGTATTGATCAGCAATGTACGAAGCATGAGAGGCACGAGCACGTCCAGGCGCTGTAAACACGTCTCGTCCCCTGTACAAGCCCAGGCCCCCGCGTGGCCGAAGGTCCAAAATTCCATTCGCAGATTATCCTAGTTTGTCTTCACATCACCAAGACACATGCCTTGAAACCCGTTACGATTGATAGGGGCGTGCGTAAACAGGTAACTGCGTGCCGGCGCCGAAACCACCTCACGCGTAACGGGGGCGACCTTGCGAAAGCCGGTAACCCCATCAGGTGCATCAGCTGCGCAGCGACAGCTGTATGGTAAGCAGCAAGCAAGGCAATGGCCAAATGGATGAGACATCTGGCCACCATCGCCTCTCCACGGTCTCTCTAAACCCAAGATGCACAAGGCAGCGTTGAGACGTCCTGGCAACAATACGGTTCTCCCGGCTTGTCCCAGCCGCGGGGAATGACCCTCCTAACACAGTTCCGCAATAGTAACGCTGCACCGCCCGTCAGATCACACACAGGAGGAAGAGCGCACGCACGCACAACCCGCCGACCCAACCCTTCCAAACTCATCCACCGTCTCATAGAGATATAGGTCATACACTGGAAGGCCCCGAACTAGAAGAAAGATGGTGCCCGAAAACCTCTCCCCCCTCGTACATCATGCGCTGGAAGCCATGCCAAGTGAATAGCTGTTACATGTCACGGTAACCACACTCCACTCATTCCATCATACATTCCATCACGCCCTGAAGCACGTTCCCTGGAGCTCCCAGCCACGCAGCGAGCTCCCAACACCTCCCTGGGAGTAAAGGTCAAACTCTCTTATTTGCAAGCAATCAGCTGTTCAGTTGCATGCACGGGGGGCACACATCACTACCGGCAATAAGCCGGTCAAGAGGCGCACAACACCACACAGCCTGCATGGGCCCTCGGCTGCTGGAGTCGCCTCCGAGTCCTGCTGCTGCTGCTGCTCCACCCGCTCCAGCTGCTGCTGCGGTGGCAAGCGACGGGGGACAGCAGCTCCCAGCTCTACGTACAATACTCCATGTGCCGTGCGCGTTGCCTTCCCCGTACAAAGCCTTATTCCTACTGCACAGAATGCCGCCATTCGCGGTCCGCGGTGCGTGACTGGTTTTGCAGCTTCTTGATACATCTGGAGCAGGCGTCCCGGATGTCTAGGAAGGGGTCCGTTCCTGCGGACAACAGGCGGCGGACAACGAAATGCGTTAGGGAAGACGTCAGGCAGCGGAAGGCGTTCCCTAGCAGCGGTGAGAGAGATGCGCCCACCCCAGTGTTGTGCAACACGGCGCATAACCGCTGCACAAACAGATATGCATTCTGAACACCACATACCCACAAGAGGCTATACCGGCACTACCGTACCTCTTACCCACGCGCGTTGTTCGCCCCCGCCCCCGCCCCCGCCCCCGCCCGCCTGTCTCACCCGAGTCGCTGCATTTGTTGAAGAACTTGCACACTCGCTTGCAAAACGTGAGCAACCGAACGTACTCGTTCCAATCGTGATGCAAGCTGTAGTGGTTGGCCGCCACAATCAGCACCAACAGGATCTCCCGGATCTCCTGCACCTCCCCATCCTGCAGCACCAGCCCCGTGTGCCACCCGTGCTGCGGACCCGCGGACTGCGACCCGCCGCTTCCGACGACGCTGCTGCTGCCGCCCTGGAAGCAGCACCCGCAAAGGCGGGTCAGCAGCGTGCCGTTGCCATTGGCGCTGCGCTTCTCGCTGAGTAGCGCCTTGGGGTGTGGCGCTCCCAGCAGCATCAGCCCGCGGATGGCGTGCTCGGTGAGGAGGCGGAAGTAGTCCTCCGTATCCCAGTACTCGGAGTGGTTGTACTCGTAGCACTGCTGCATCACGATGCCTGCGGGGTTGGGGAGGAGGAGGAGGAGGAGGAGGAGGAGGAGGAGGAGCGAGGTGGGGCGAGGTGGGAGATGTGACTCGGACGGGTGGAGGCGGAGTGTGCTTGGTAGTAGGAGTAAGGGAGAATACCGGTTGGATGGACATGGTGGAGGAGGTGTGTTATAATAACTGTGTGCAGGTGCCGTAGTGAAGGGAGTGTGAACATTGCCGGCCGGCTTGTTGTAGAGTTTTTTTGTTCCCAGACGAAGCGCCCCGGGGCTCGCACCGTCGCACATCTTACCCAAGCAGCACGACGCCATCTTGGTTTCCCACTGGCTGCGGCTGAGGCGGCTGATGAGGCCCCAGTTGAGCTGCCCCTTGAACGCGCTCCCCACAGCCGTGAAGGACTGGTCAGTGCCGTCGATGCGACCGTCAGCACTGCCGCCCTCCTGCGCCCCACCGCCCGAGGTGGAGGGACCGGCGTCGTCGACTGGGCGATCACGCCTGTGGGAGGAACGCAAAGAGATGCCCCCTCAGTGTTCGCTCCTTCACTGCTTAAACCATGAACACACCCGTGAAGCAAAGCAGCAGGAGTCTTTAGCCCAAAGCCAGGTATGATTGCCAACATGATGAGACCAGCATCTCCGTGGTTGAGGAGTGCTGACTCATAACCCCCACCACACAGCCCCCAGCGCACCCCTTGCTGAGCGCCTGGTGGTTCCCCGCAGTGACGCTGCCGCCCATGCTCTCCGCCAGGATCTCCGCGATCTGCGCCGCCTTCTGGTACAGCTTCAGCGCCTCCATCAGGCTGCTGCCGTTGTAGGCCGCCTCGGCAGCGCGGTGCCTGTGTGCGGGTGGGGGGGTGGGTGATGCGGCGGTGGGGCGGTAGGGCAGGCAAACAAACAGGGGGACACATGTACAGGGGGACACATGTTTCGTATCGCCAACACTCGCATTCCCGCATTCTTGCGGCTTCCAGGCTGCTGCTGCTTCCAACCGAGGTGACAGACTACGGTTCTTATCTGATACAGGTATCTCCGACGTCCACTCTCACCAGAACTCGATCGCCTTGAGCGAGCACTCCACCTCCGCCACCTCGTGCCCCATGCACGCCTGGTGCCAGTGGTAGGCGATGGTGGTGAGAGTGGCCACATGCTGCTCCTCAAGAGACTTCTCCAGCTCCTGGGGGGGCGCGGGGCAGGGAGCAGGGCCAGGTGGGGCAATAAAAGAAAGAGAGCGACAGCAATGTCTATTTACCATTGTAAGATTTGTAACAAGCCCTGTTATTACAACGCCAGACTGTTGTATTACGCTCTGTACTTAGCGTAATCTGAGTAGCTGCTGTGGCTACTAGCCTAAGTACAGAGCGCAATACAACGCAGACAGCCTAGCAGCAGCACATCCCAAATTCTTCAGGCCACAGCAATAGCAAGCCAGGCCCACCACCCCCTGCGCGCGCACCTGCGCCAGCTTAGCGTGCAGTCTGCGGCGCTGGTAGTGCGGAATGACCTCGTACACGATGTCGCGCTCCACCATGTTGAACTCCCACACGCCCTCCGTGTCGGTGGGCTTCAGGAAGTTGCCTGCGGGCGGCGGTGTCGTGTGCGGGTAGTGGGGGTGTGGGATGCTGTCGCCTTACATACAGCAGCATGAAAGCGCCTTGAGGAGCCAAGAGCTCCGGAACAGTGAAGAGGAGTCGCAACACGCATGCAGCACACCGCCCCCCTGCATGCATGGCACAACAAACCCGTACATGCAACATACTGCAATCCACCAAGCTTCCCCACCCCCGCCCGCTCTCTCACCCCGCTCCAGCTCCTGCAGGTGCGCCTTCAGCTCTTCCTTGCTCTTGTTGATGGGGTAGAACTTGTGCAGGATCTCCAGGTCCACCCACTGGCCCATCACGGAGGCCACCTTGAGCGTCAGGTGGATGCCGGGCTTCAACCTGTCCATGCGCTCGATGATCACCTGGAGACAGAGGAGGGGGGTTTTAAGCACATGGGGTGGTGAAGCATGGGCACAAACAGGGCCAGACTGTGGGCCACCGGCAAAGGCACGCTTCAGAGGTTAGCTGTGCAAACGTGGTGTTAACGTTACCGCCGGAGTTGGACCCCCGAGGAGGAGGGAGCGCGGGCGCACTTGTAACAAACACACTCGCCTGCTGGAAGTTGAGGTTGCGGATCATCTTGTTGACGTTGGCCGAGAACTCCCCGCCCTGGTCCGGCAGCCAGGGCCGCTGCGTCATGGGCTGGCTCTGGCACAGGAACTCCGTGACCTTCTCGATGTACAGCGGCATGCCTCCCGTCTTCTCCATCACTGCCAGCACGTACTGGTCCGGGTAGTTGATGTCCGCAACCACCTGCGCCACCCACCGACAACAGCAGCAACAACGACAACGACAGCAGCATCAGCAGGTTGGACTACCGGTTCCATGCACCTTTAAGCGCGGGCACTTCCTGCTTACTTACAATGGCAGCAATGGCAAAACGTCAGGCGCCAACAGCCACCATATCAACCCTATACCGGTGGTACCCCCGTGTTGGTTTTCCCTCCACCCCTGCATGTTGCATCGCACACACGCACACACCTGCATGAGGCTCTTGGTCTGGTGGAAGGTGAAGGGCTCCAGCACGATGCGCGTGGCGGACGGCAGCTTCAGCAGGTGGCGGTACATCATGGCCACCTTCTGGTACATGGCCGCCTGCAGCAAGGGCAGCGGGTGCAGCGAGCAACAGCGCATGCGGAGGACAGCAACATCAGCACACGCAGCAGCAGCTCTCAGGGACACAGGCTTTCCGCCCAGGTCCACCTCTCCACCAGGGAGACTACCGCAGCGCTGCACAGCTTCCAAAGAGTCTATGCACCAGGCGAGAGAGTCCATGCAAGCACGCAAAGGTGCATTCAGGGCCCTACCGCCCCGTGTGCCCCCCCCCCGCCGTACCTTGCCGTGCAGGTGGTGGCTGGCGCCCACCGCCGGCAGGTCGTTGGGGCGGGTGGTGGCCAGGATCATGCAGTCGCTGGTGAGCAGCTCGGCCGCCTTCACCAGCAGCTGCCAGGACCAGGTGTCGAAGTCGTGCAGGTTCTCAAGCAGCGCCAGCGTGGGGCCGTACAGCGAGATGAACTCCTGTGTGGTTGTATGGGTGTGCCGCAGGGTACCGCAGGCAGCACGCGCATGGGGTAGTCTGAGTTAGGAAGTGGTCTTCAATCGGTGCGTGCATGCATGGCAATTGCCAAAGGACCTTGAAGAGCACCCCGGACGCTCGTTCGTCGGTAATCTTGCTTATTAGCTACTACCCAGCTTGGAAGAAGGCCAGGAAAGCATAACGGTAGCAATGCCGGTAGCTTAGTTTGGCTGGCCTGGAAGAGCAACGGTAGTACCGGTAAGCTTGTAACACAGCGCAGCACGCACCTGCATGACGTGGACCAGGAAGTTGAGGCTGTTCTTGCGGATGTCCGCCCCAACCTGGCTGGTGTGCGGGGTTGCATGCACGGGGGAGGATACCTTGCCCGCCACGGCGCCAGGCACCACCGAGCCGGCGGTGGCCAGCCCGCCGGGGTGCATGTGCGGGTCCAGCAGCCCAGGCGGCGGCACCGGCATGGTCATGCTGGCATGGCGCATGCTGGGGGTCTTCCACTGCAGGAAGCGAGGTGGAAGCGCACAACCGGGGAGGAGTGGTTTAGGAGTGCCAGTCAGACTTGGCGCTTTTGGTAGTTGTGAGGACAAAGGGCACAAGTACGGGTCGTCCTTAAAATACATGTGGAAAGAGCGAAAGACCCCGCAACGAGAGGCCCAGCAGCTAGTGTCGGGTGCACGCGGTGAAACCGTCATGCAGCTGCCCAGGCCGCACCGCGCAGCCTGTGGAACATCCAGGTACAAGAACGGGAACACAGTCGCCCAGGAGCTCTCACCGGTGACGAAGAGCGCAGCATGCTGCCGGGTGTGGCGGCCGCCAGTGAGGCTGGCAGCATCTCCAGCGCATCGCCGCTCAGCGGGAACAGCCCCACAGGCACGGACTGCGTGGCGCCCAGCGGCGGAGGCAGTCCCGCCCCCTCCGGCCCGTCACCGTCCACCTGCAAGGCAGCACCGTGGCAAGCAGCAGCAATCAATCTTAGCGTGTCGCGGTGTCCCCATGATCGCCCTCATGCTAGAAAAACGACTTCGTAAGTTCGTCCCCGTAACTGCGACACCTCCAAGGACGCAGCAGTGCCGTGGGCAAAACAAGGCAGGCATGTGCACCCACCCACACCCACCTGGTCAGACCCCACCGCCTGCCCCGCCTGCGAGAGTGTCGGCTGCGGCGGTTGCGGCTGCGGTGCGAGCTGTGCCTGCTCCGCCTCCAGGCTGCCCAGCGGGATGGAGGGCAGCGGCAGGTCCAGCAGCTCCGCCAGGTGCTGCCGCCACTCGGTGTCGTAGTTGGGAACCCTGGGAGGGGGGGAAGGGGAGCAGGTGGAGCAGGGGGGCAGGGAGAGTGAAACGAGAGAGGTTCAATATAACCATCACAAAAGCGGGTGCAGTCTTCGCAGACAAGGAAGGAGTTTTACCTACCGGTATAAGCGGTAAGGCGGTAAGGCGGAGATAACGGCGGCCCAGTAAAAAGTTCCGACACGAAACAGCCCAGCGCAGAAGGCAGGCTCTGCCCTTCAATGTGTATGTATCCCCTGGCAACGAAGGAGGCGCTAGTTAAAAGAGGTTGGGGACTCACTTGCTCAGCCGCTCTCCAAGGGCGGTGAACACCGCATGTCCGGGCCCGTCCTCCGTGCCGCGCCGCCGTCCCTGCCCCAGGCCGGCGACAGCCCCCGAGGTGCTGGCGTTGGGAGCCGTTCTGCGCCCCGTGGGCCCGCTGGGTGTGGTGCCGGATGACGAGGTGTTCGTCCCGCCCGGCCCTGCTGCTGCCATGTTCTTGAGCTTCAAGTCCAACGCAAAGAGTTCCTGCGCATACACGAAGCGCAAACGAGAGGCGGCGCGGGCGCATCGGATGGGAACCCAAAGGAGCCGTGAACGACAAACCAACGAGGTAAACCAGCATGGCAACATTACGCAGCTTGCCCTTACTGACCACGTGCTGCAGGGGGATGTGTTGCCCGGTACTGCAGCGGCAAAATGCTAGCATGAATCGGGCCCCACACGGAAACGGCATCACACACCTGGAAGACGCGGCGCCAGGGGTGCAGCTTCTGCGACTTGTTGGCGGTGTCGGCCATGCCAAACACCATGTGGAAGGCAGGCCGGCTGCCGATGGAGGTGTCCGCGTTGATGCGCTCCAGGCTCTTGCGTACCTCCATCAGCAGCTTCGTCTTGCCCATGCCTGCAAAAGGGTAAAAGGCGGATGCAGTTTTAAAACAATGCAAGCAAGCCTAGAAACAGCGCTTCGGTGCTCCTCCGTGCTATTCTCTGCTGTCGATTCGAGAACGGGCCTGACAACTACTCCACCAACATAATACCGTACATGTAACACGCCAGGTTCAGAACATGCTGTACATGTGAAGGCCATGAAAAGCCCAAAGCGAGAGCAGGGGAAGCAGAAGGTCCCCCCCGTGCGTCCATCCTCCCAAGCCTCACCCAAGCCTCACCCAAGCCTCACCCGTGTTCCCCTCAATGATGATGATGCCCCCCTGCGACATGCCGCTGATCATGCTGGCTGCGTGGTTGAGCGTCAGCGTCATCTCTGGGTCGCGACCAATCAGCGGCCGCTCGCCGCTGCTGACCTCCGCCGCCTCCCGCCGCTCCTGCGCGGCTTGCGCCTCCGCAGTCGCATCGTGCGCGTTCACCCTGCGCACACACGCAGTTTTCTTAACACACATCAGCCAGTCGACACCGTTAACACACCGCTTAGCACTGCGTACGCTTGCCAGGAAGGCCTCCTAATGGAAGGCCTCCGTGCTCATGACAGTACACCGTCGCTTCACGTACCTGTAGACTAGCACCGGCTGTGCCTTGCCCTTGACCGGCAGCGGCTCCAGCTCGTCAAAAGACGCCTGGTACTTGGCGCGCAGGTAGGTGGGCTCGTCGCACAGGATCTGCAGAGCAATGGGAAGAGACCCAAGTGAGGATGACAGCGTGGGTAGAGTTAGGTATCTTGACTGCGCCTGAGTCAGCAAACTGGTACACGGCATGCACAGATCCACAGCCCCGCTTTCCACGCTCAATCCAATAGGGTGGGCCCCAAACATCGAATGTAAATATTCCAGCCCTGGTCGAACAACTACCCTGCCAGTCCTCCCAACCTACGTTTCCCACGGCGCTGTCCCGCTTGCACTTGACCATGAGGCGTGCAGACAGGTTGATCGCGTCGCCAAACACCGTATATTCCGAACGCAGCTTGCGCGCCCCCACGCACGTGCACAACAAGTCTCCGGTGGTGACGCCGATTGCAACAGTGTGCCCCCCCGCCTTGATGGTGCTCGCCAGCTCCAGCGCAGCGCGGATGCCACGTGTCGGGTTATCCTCATGCGTGTGCCCCGGCAGCCCAAACGCGCAGATGCCCACAAAGCCCTTCTCATCGCTGCGGAACTGCAGGAAGGAGCCGTCCCACTTGCGCATGATAGCCTGCACGCTGGTGTACGCGAACTGCACGCACTGCACCTGGTCCTTGTGAGCCACGTCATCGCGCGGCTGTAGCAGGCTGGGGAAACCCAGAAACATGCACGTCAGCGGCCGGATCTCATTGATGAAATCCAGGTGACCTGCTTCGACCCGCACACGCACGCTGCCCAGCACATGCATGCGCAGCAGCCCAGCAATCCGCCGCTGCACGTGTTCAGGCAGGTTGACGAATTCATGTCGGAGTCTGGGCGGCAGCTGTGCGGCAGCCGCAGCGGCGGCAGCAGCTGACGTGGCGGCTGCGGTTGCGGCACCAGCGCTGGCAGCTGCGGCAGTGCTCGGGGCGGAGGTAGGCAGCGAGTTGGCACGTTCCATGCTGTCGCTTTGGCCCATAGCAAGCAGGGATTGCGGCTGGTAGTGTGCGGGTTGCGGTTGGCTGGCGGGTGCTGCGGCGCCGCTGCCGTTGGTGGGTCTGTCGCTGCTGCCCGTGAGGGAGTTGCCCAGCAGGCGGCTCGCGCCGACGCCTGGCCCTGAGGACGGCTGGCCTGCCTTCACGCCCTCCTGGCCGTCCGTCGCAGAGTTAGTCAACCGTAGCCCCTCCAAGGTCTGCGTAAAAAGTGGTGCAGAGTGGAAAAGGAACAAGTTGCGGGCCGGCGCATCGCCTCAAAAGGTAGACAAATTGCTAACCCGCTCATGCAAACGGGCGGCCTACCATGCACGCCTTAACTACCCTAAAGGAACAGCCCAGCAGCCAGGCGCATTCACTTGCGAGTTGTTAAGCGACGCATGCCATGTTGCCATCCAGTGGAATACAGGAGCAGAACTTGGACCCCATCCAAGCAGCGGACGGTGCTCATGGTACCGTACTGCAGCCCCCCTACACAGCACCCAGCAGCCCCGCCCCGTCCACCGCACCTGCCGCAGCATCAGCACGTCCATCTCCTCCTCGCAGGGGTGTGCCGCCTCCGTGTTGGGGTGCGGCTCGGTCACCTGCTGCAGCCCCGAGCTGCCAGCGCCCACGTCGCTGCCGCGCAGGTGCGGCGTGTGCGAGGTGGCGGACGTGCGCACGCTGGTGTAGCTCAGACGGAAGGGACCCTGCGGCTCAAGCGCAACACAGAGGAAGGGGCGTGTGGTGTCGGGCTACTACCGGTTACCAAGGCTAAAAGGGTTAACAGTGAGCCCCCTTACCACCTCATCCAGACACCAGTGCTTTCGAACCATCCGTCCTTCTCAGTTACCTCCTCTTTTACACATGCCACGCCAGACCATCCTCTCCCACATCCACCCTAGCTAAGGTAAGCCAACGCACCCACCTGCGCCGGTGACTGGATCGGCCCAACCACTCGCCACACGCTGTCCGGCAGCGCCGCCAGCTCCCACTCGCCCTGCACCAGCTCCATCACCTCGCTGCTCGCCACCACGCTGCCCGCCGACGCCTGGTCCTCAATGACCGCCACCTGGCTCACGCAGCGCCGGCGCTGGTTAGCGTCCAGCAGCGGAGCCAGCGGCCTGTCCCCGATGAAGAACTCCCAGCGCGGCACCTCCGGCAGCGTGGGGTCCGTCACCTCGTCCACGCCGCCACCCACATGGAAAACACACACGCTGCCAGCGCTGGTCATCACTTTGAGGCTGAGGCGGGCGTTGGAGACCTCATCCATGATGGGGTCGCCGCGTGGGGCCTTGGTCGGCGCGCCGCTGCCCACAATGGTCTGCGGCCGGGACATGACGGAAGCTGCATTTGCTGAGTTGAGTATTGCGTTGTTCATGGCGGTGATGGAGTTGTTGGCGGACGGCGGGGCGCTGGGGGGCAGGCTGCTCTGCGGGTCGGACTGCGTTTCTGGGCTGGTCATGGCGAGGGTGGAGGGCTGGTGGTTCTGGTGCATGACGACTGAGAAGGAGTCCACGTAGCCGTTGCGGTTGCGTGCGTTGGCGCTGAACCAGTGCACGACCTTTTGCATGAAGCTGCCCTGCTTGCCGTCGCCGCCGGCGTGCTGCGGCCCCTCCGTGTCGCTGTGCTGGCGGCTGCGGCCGGGGGGCGTGTCCTCGAAGCCCTCGGCAATGGGGCCCGGCCCTGCCCCCAGCCTGTCAACGGGCGCATGGGAGTTTCAAGTCACAAGTAATGAAATGTACCGTCACTGGACCGGACAGTGAAAGAGCAAAAGGAGCGATATACCCTCATAACTAGGTTTGCATCCCAAGCAATAGCAACTCCGGCACTCTTATCATCTATTCATGTGCGTTCAGCGACACTCTACACTGGGGCTTATATCCGCTGTGCCATCCGCTGCTGTGCGCAAAGCCGCTTACCCGTCATCCGTTGCCGCCGCCGCCGCCCGCTTGCCGTGCGCTTCCTCCCGGTCCGAGTGGCTCGCACGCAGCAGCAGCTTCCTCCGCAGATCCACCGCATGCATGGTCCGCGCCACACCCGCACTCACACTGCCCACGGAGCTGTAGGAGCGCTCCGACGTGAGCGACGGGTGGCTGGCCCCTTCGAAACCCCCAGCGCTCCTTCCGCTGGGTGCCCCGGACAGCACTGGCTTGGCGGCGTTCGCTGCTGCGGTGGGGGAGGGCTCCTGGATGGGCGGGTAGCTGGCGTCCTCTTCATGCCCCGACTCCTCCGACGCCTCCTCAGCCACGCTCTCCTCCTCCTGCGGCGGGAGCGCCCAGCAAAAGTGATGTTAGTCAGCTGACTAGCCAAGTCGCCCTTATAGGTCAACCGCGGCGGCTGTTGACCAGCCGGGAGGCCGTGAGCCTTCAAAGCAATGGGTCATATTGCCCGTGCGTGCTTGCAGCAGCAGTTTCCTGACCAGTACGTAGCACCTCGTCGCCTTATTGCGGTCTTAGGTGCAAAGGATATAGGAGAAGGCAAGCCCAATGCACGTCCAAATCACTCAGCTTTGGGCAATTAATTTCCTTGTGTAGCTTGCCCACAGCATCACACCATAATAAGAGCTGCCAAGCTGCACAAGGAAGTTTTTGCCCAAAGCTGAGTGCTTTGGACGTGCATTGGGCTTGCCTTCTCCTATATCCTTTGCACCTAAGACCGCAAGAAGGCGACGAGGTGCTACGTACTGGTCAGGAAACTGCTGCTGCAAGCACGCACGGGCAATATAACCTGATGCTTCCGTCCTAAAGGGCCGTGGTGCCCTTGTCAGAATCAAGGCGCCTAAAGACACGCGGCAAACTGTATGATTGAATCTCGCAAGGCTGCAGACATTCCGCACTGCCCTAAAACACCGCCGTGGGTACGCATGACAGGTGTGCGGCAACAATCACCTCCCATCACCTTAGCCGCCTCAGCAGGAAAGCAACACCACTGCCCGGTTCGACAAACACCCTTGTCAACCCCTTTGCTGTTCACGCCCATAAGCCGGCCCGCAGTACGGCTTCACGTGCCGCCCCAATCACCGCCCCGCCTCCCACAGCTCCCCCTCACCTGCACCGTGTCCCACCGCACCGCCCGCGCCGACTCGCTCAGCCTGCTGCGCTGCGGCGCCAGCACCTCCTCCTCCAGCCGCCCCGACCCGGGCGACTGCACGATGGCGGTGCTGAGGTTCTGCAGCTTGGAGCGCCAGTCGCCCGACTGACCCGCGAGCGCCGGCTGACCGGCGAAACCGCTGGGCAGCCGCCGCTCGCTGCGGCAGGAGGACAGTGAGGCGCCGTGCACGCGGCGGAAGGAGCTGCCGCTGCCCGCAGCCTGAGGAGCGGCATGAGACACAGGTATACATACAGGTTGACGCGTGGCATAGCAAGTTGTCATTTTTGTGCACTACGCTCCCTCGCTGCTCGCCGGCTACTTAACCGCTCTACACGCCAGCATGCGGCGGTCCATGGCAAAGCAACAACGACGGATATGAACCCCGTTCAGCAGTTTCGACACAACCTTCGCCAAACCCCACACCAAAGCTTCCCAGTCTTCTCCCCTTCTCTTTTGGTCTTCCCCTTCTCCTTCTTCACCCTCTAGAACCCCTCAGCACAACACCCATACCCACATTCTCCGTGAAGCTCCTGGGCGAGCCGGACGCAGGCGTCACCGTGCTGGCTCCCAGGCTGGCCAGCGCGCTGCCGCTGCCGGGGTACACCCCCGACGCCAGCGGCCCCGTGCCGGCCGTCATGGACGCCCCCGCCGTGGCGCCATGCGGGGACAGCGTCATGCTGGCACGGGGCTGCATGGGCCGCAACGGCGGCGGCAGGTTGAGCTTCGTCGCTACGGACATCTCCCGCTGCACCACGCCCACGCCGCCAGCCCACAGCCCGGCGGCGCCCGCACCGCCAGCGCTGCCCTCGGCTGCGTTGCCGCCGCCCCCGCCCCCGCCCGCGAAGTTGCGCAGGGCAAGGCCCAGCCCGGTTTCTGTTTTGGCACGCTCACGTGATGACATCCGGCTGGGATTCTTGGACTCCGTCTTCTCAAAGGAGACCCGCGACGGCCCGCTGGATGAGGCGGCAGCGGGGGACAAGGAGCCTGCATGGCCGGGGCAGGAAATGCAGCGTGCCAAGGGAATGCGAACGGGGTTTTGGATTGTTATGAGACACATCTCGCCGGTCGGGTTTACCAACAGTTACGGATCTCCTCAGTTCCCCCGGAGCTGGTGCTACAGCTGCCCACACGGCCGCTGGCTTCAGCTCCCGCCGCAGCTAGCCTTTTCCAACTTACCCGGCGTCATGTACGCGTCGCTGCGCCTCGCGTTTGCTCGGCTGGCTTTCAAGATGCTGGCCATCAGGCTCCAGCTCTTCCCTCGTCTGCGAGAGGAAATGGAGCTGGGCTGGTCGCTGCCCTCCGCCACCCGCGTCGCGGCGGGATCCGTGCCCGTCGGGCTTCCCTCCTCCCCTGTTGCGCTGCCCTGCACCGGCTGGTTAGTCGCGCTGCTCCGGGGCGAGTCCTGGCGAAACCGCCGCGACGCTGCTGCTGAAGCATTAAACGGCCCGCTGTTGTTACGCAGCATGTCCGGCTGGTTCCCCTCCATGTTGTCCAAGTCAAGGGAAGGCAGCGGCCCCATGCCGTGTGCCTGAGCAGCCGACGGCAGCGGCGCCGAGGGCGCGGCCTGCACCGCCGCAAAGGACTGCGCCGGCTCCGCTGTTGGTGGTGGAGCTGGCTCAACCTGTCCGTTCATCTTCATGCGCATGTGACCCAGCTTGGTGGCGAGCTGATAGGAGCAGGCCATCATGCGGAGGGTGCAGGCGCGGAGGCCCTTGTCAGACAGCCGGCGTTCGTGTTCGTTCGGGTAGAACAGCACAATCATGGAGTCGCCGGCAAACTTGATCACGTCACCCTCGAACGCCATGATCATGTCAATTGCGCGAGTGAAGTAGTTGTTCATGCAAGTCGTCAACAGCTCGACGCCAGATGTCCCTGCACATGCGCGAGAAGGAATGTATTTTACCGTTGCTTAGCTATTAGTGTTCAGCCGTTTAGGCTTCTATGCCTTCTGTGTGGGCGTCTCCCATGGGCTGCGCACCTTTCTTTGAAAGAATCTCGGTCAGTCGGGTGAAACCAGTCACGTCCGCAATCATGACAGCCGCCTGTTTGGTTTCGAACATGGGGTATGAGCATCGTGTGGAAGGAAGGTTGACGGTTTTGGGAGCAACATTTTCACGTCGGGCTACTGGTACACGCGGCCCACAAAGAGTGCGGCTACCGGTACTCTCCTCAAGCGCGTCCTCCCATCTCCCAACACTTTACGGGCCCACTCAAGCTACTCTGGTCCGCACCTGCAGCTCAATGATGGACGGCTGGAGGGTTTTGGAAGCTGCTGTCAGGTCACGCCCCGTATCGAACCCGCGGTACTTCTCATGGTTCAAAATGATGTCCTCGATGAACAACCGCGGCACAAACGGCGGCAGCGTGGACAGCGGCCGCAGCACGCCCTGCTTCATGGTGCTCTTCTTGAAGGAAACGCTGTTGGCCGCGCCCATCAGGCGCAGCTCAATGGGACTGGGCCCCGCGACGCCGCCCATCTTCCACGGCGCTGCCGGCGGCCCTGTGAAAGCGGTCGCGGGAGACCGTCTTTAAGGTTTTTCTATGTTTCAACTCGCGCCCAAGCTAGCAACGAAGCATGTATGGTTCCAGATAGGGGCGTCCCCGCGCCATCAACGACAGCCCTATCCCCAACGTTTCGCTGCATGGGAAACCAGGTCTTCCCGACGCATGCCTGTCCCTGGAGTTGCCTACCATCGCCGCCGCGTGCGTCCTCTGCGTCGTCATCGTCCGAGTCATGCGACATGGGACGCGGGGCAACATGACCCTCACTCCCAGCCGATTCATCATCGTCATCGCTGTCCTCCGCGATATGGTAATGTTCATGCACCTCTGAGGGTGTTGGGCCCTGCGCAGTGCACATGACGGACTCAGTGCACACATGAACACATGCTGCTGCTTTCCTGGTACGATTCCGCGTCGGCACGCGTCAGCATGCAACCGGCATGAGGTACTGGGAAGGTGCGGCTGTGCATGTGTGCCTGCTAACTCCCGCACCTGCAAGCCCAGCTTCGACGGGTGTGGCGCCTTCTCCCGCGTCCGCGACTTCTGCAGCGAGATCATCTTTATGAACTTCTTCCGTATGCCCGTCCCCTCCGCTGCACTATCCGCGGTAGGTGACAGCCGGGTAAGCTGCCCGCTGGTGCTTGTCGTCGGGTGCTGCTCCTTACTGCTGCCAGCGGCAGCGGGAGGCGACCCGGGCGCGATGTTAGACACCGGCGAAATGGTCGGCTGCACGCCGGTAGCGGACGTGAGCTGCAGCGATGCTGCGGGAGTCAAGTCCGAGAGGTCAAGCTGTAAGTCCTGCAGCGTCGCTCTGCGGACGGGTGGGCGCCGCATGCCCCGGCCGGAGCCGGACGCCTGCTCTGCGGCTGCATGCTGCTCCTGCTGCCTTACAGAGGTAGACGCTAGGCCCGGGTGGGACTCGGACGGCACCGCTGCGGCGTGGAGGGAGCGTGGCGGGGCGGTTGCATGGGGCGGGTTAGATTGCTGGACTGTGCAACGCAAAACAAGGGGGGTACGAAGCGGGAAAGGAGAGCAGGTGTGGCGTACCTCGCGCTTCCGGCACACTGTAGCTGTTTCGCCGCTGCTTGGCTTTTCGAATCCTGCGGTCGGCACGTCCTGAGGTGTAAGAAGGGCAGCTAGGCGAGGGTGTGGGGAGGACTTCGTGGTACTTACCGGTCGTTTGGGGGGGCGTCGGTTGGATCCAGGAAGGAAGGGACTGCGTGCAGCAGGGCGCTGGCTTCAGTTGGGGTGGAAAGGAGGGTGTTATGCTTGCAGGGCTTCTTCATGTTAACGCACCTTTCCGACCATCCGTAGAAGCCAAGCGTGAGCGAGCGCTTTGTGAGAAGCCATGCGAATGGCGCGCAGGTGTAAGCAACACGCGCGTCAGGTCCCCTGAGACGGGTGGCATCAGATGCTTCCGCGCGCTGAGCCCATGCCCCTCTTCCTCATGCGCATTTCCTGTACGAAATCATTATGATCATTGCTATCCCAGCGATGGGCGTGGAATAAAACCTGTCGCTGCAAGGGAAAGTCGCACCTGCTGCATTAATGCCGCTGTCCGCACCAGAAACGGATTCATAGTGCGCTGGACGGTGCTGGCTAGCATCCTCTGCTGCTCTGGCCCTGTCCCAGGCTTGCAGAATATCAGCAGCGTCAGCATCCTCCGCCGCAGAAGCTTGCCGACGGCTAGTTCTTTCCACAGGTCCCTCCCGTTCTCGGTGAAGGGGACCATTAGGAAGGTAATCCGGCGGTTGTAGGGCTCCAGCTGGCAGCGAGGCCATGCTCAGGAGCAGCCCTTAACCTCTAAACGCCACCATTCCCGGCAGGTTGCCCCGCAGAGCCCCTTTCACGGAAGATCAACCTGGATAATGACAAAAGTAATTACCCTACAACTCATAGCAGCCTGTTCCAGTACGTCCGTCCCTATTTCACACCGAGTGGCACCCTAACCGTAACATACTCAACCCCAAACCTAAGCAACATCTGGGTGCTATTGAAACTTCTCACTTCATTACCGTGAAGCCCAGCTAGGTGATCCTGTGAGCTCCTGTCTGTTGCAATATCCAGCTCTCCCTGGCGTCCCTCCTAATCACAAAAAATAAGTTTTGTGCGCTTAAAGACTTCACAAGAAAGCAAAAATAAAGCAGAAGTGTGACTAGAGTTGCTCCGTTCTGTTGGATAAGTTTGGAGACGGTGGTGAGACAGGTACCAAGTAGGCGTCGCAATATGATATACTCGTAATACAGGAGGCGCTTCGCTGAGGCAGGTTGGGGCCACTATGCAGGTATGCTGAAAAACGCCGTACGAAAGGGTTGGTGTCACACACGACGGCGACAACAGCGCTCAGGCCCAATTGTTTCTTTGAAACCTGAGTGATTGTAATGATGCTATTGACTTGGGATTGACTTTCTCGCGTTGTGTTTCAACAACCCCAACCTACTGTAGACATATATTTTTCTGGGGCGATTGCGTAGGTTCCAATGAGCTCCAGCGCTCCCGCCGTGCTGCCTACTGACCTTGGAGCGAGGAATAGGCTTTTGGTTGACAAGCATGCAGCGTACATCAAGTCATTTTCGCGCATGTGGGAGGTAAGGGATCTTCTGCATTCAGATCGCAGCATTTAGATTGCTGGAAGGGAAGCCTCTCCCCCTTATGAATGTCCCCTACTACACACCTCTTCGAGACCCATCCCATCCGCCCGATCTCCACTGGTGTTCCTTGACCTGCCCCTTTCAGACACAGGACAAGCTTGAATTCGTGGCAACAGAGCACTTTTGGATGAGCGGCATGTACTGGGGGCTGTCTGCCATGTATCTCATGGGGCGCCTGGGCGACATGGACACGGACGCAATCCTGGCCTGGGTGATGCGCTGCCAGCACCCATGTGGCGGCTTCGGTGGAAGCGAGCGCAACGACCCACACCTGCTGTACACGTTGAGTGCCGTACAAATCCTCGCTTTGTACGACAGGCTGGACGATGTGGATGGCGACAAGGTTGCCTCTTGTAAGCGGGGGTGCCTAGCTAGGCTCCGCATCCGAGCCAAGGGTTTAGTCCCTGGCTTGGAAAAGTGTCTACCACTGCATGGTTGTTGTGACCTGCTGCTACCCTGTTGGGCGGGTCCATGATCCCCCTCCCTGTACTGGCTGCAGACGTGGCAAGCCTACAGCAGGCTGACGGCTCCTTCGTTGGCGACGAATGGGGGGAAGTCGACACACGGTGGGTGCTGTGGCCGAGCTGTACCAGGTGCCGGACGGCCTGCGCTCCGCACGTCCTTTTGCATGTTCGCATAATACGCTTGCGTGTCCGCACCTAGCATCTACCCACTTGCCCTGTCACGAACCCGCAGCTCTCACTCCCCCGCCCTTCCGGCCCACGCTCATGCACAGGTTCACGTACTGCGCGCTGCTCTGCCTGTCAATCCTGGGCCGCACGAGCGCAATCAACGTGCCCGCCGCTCTGGACTTCATCGCCCGCTGCAAGAACTTTGACGGCGGCTTTGGCTGCACGCCCGGTGGGTGCTGAGCGGGTGATCAGATGAACAGTGCCGCAAGGAAGCACTGACCGTGACCGTAGGGTGATGAGAGGGTGGTGGGGCAGGCGCCGTCCTCGCCCCCCTGCCCCGTCCCTGGCAGCAATGTGAGGAGTGTCTGAGGGGGTTCGCTGGGTGGGCTCTCGCACCTCCTGCGCCTGCACACGAACCGTAACTGATTTGCGCACTGCTTTACGTGTCCACGCATCTTTCAGCCAGCATGCTCTCCCCGCCTCATGACCCACGGGTCACGCGGGCGCCTCCGCCTTCACAACACCGCCGTTCCCCGCAGGCAACGAGTCGCACGCGGGCCAGGTGTTCACCTGCATCGGCGCGCTGAGCCTGGCTGACGCGCTTCACCTGGTGGACCGGGACCTGTTCTGCTGGTGGTGGGTGGGGTGGGGTGGGTGGTGGCGGAGACGGAGGGGGCCGTACGGTGCATGGAGCGATGCTGCCGTAGCGGGAGACTGCATCTGAAGAGCTACTTGCCCAGGCGGCTAAAATTAACCGATGGCGTATAGACACAGCACGCAGTACGCGAGATCCGAGCTGCACAGCTGCGTATTTGTGTAGGCGTGCAGCGGGCTTTCAAGGCTTCATGCTCTCTGCGCTGCATCGTTGTCGCAGGTTGTGCGAGCGACAAACCAAGACCGGCGGCTTGAATGGGCGGCCGGAGAAGCTCCAAGACGTGAGTCACACATGCTTGCAGCGGCTCGCAACGGCTTTGCCGCTGTACAGTGACGTTGACGTAGGATCACCCACGCAGCTCCTCTGTCCGCCCGCAAGAGCGCCCTTACTCCTGTTCTTCTTCTTCCACACGCACCGCCACCCTAACCCTGCCACAGCCTCGTCCCATCTTACCAATCTTACCAATCCCAGAACACCGCCCCAACAACGCCGCCCCCCCTCGCGCGCGCAGGTGTGCTACTCCTGGTGGTGTTTGTCCTGCCTCAGCATCCTGGGCCGCCTGCACTGGATCGACCGAGACGCGCTCACCCGCTTCATCCTGGACTGCCAGGATGAGGAGGACGGCGGCATCAGCGACCGGCCCGACGACATGGCGGACGTGTACCACACCTTCTTCGGCATCGCGGGCCTCTCGCTCATGGGCTACCCCGGGCTGGCCGCCATTGACCCCGCCTGGGCGCTGCCGGCGGAGGTGGTGGCGCGGATCAAGGGGCGCAACGCGGCGGCGGCGGAGCAACAGCAGCAGCAGCAGCTGACGGAGGAGGAGGTGGTGCCGGGTAAGGAGGAAGAGGCGAGGTAGCCGGTGAGGTGTGAAGGCACGGCTAGGTGGTGGTGTCGGGTGAGGAGGAGGAGGTGATGCAGGTGTTGTGTTTGTGTGGCTGGGAGGGAGGTGCGATGGCTAGGGGGCGGTGCGGGGGTTGCCACGTGCGGGAGAGGTGAGCGCGCTAGCAGGATGTTCGTTAGGCAGGGTTGCAGCAGCAGGTGCGTGCATGACCTCGATTGCATTCCTCGATGCCGATGTTTCCATGATAGCGGAGACTTCACAGTGTGTCGTGTGTGTCGTGCTGGTTATGTTACGTTGAGTATAAGCAGGACTTTACAACTTCTCTGTGCGGTGGCTTAGGTGGCTTGCGGGGTCAAGCATGTGGCACTACTAGTTGGGCACTGCGGGTGCGATACCAGACATCTCGATTGGGTCCTGGCACAATCATCATGGCATATGTACGCGTCGTTTGTACCCCCGATCTTGCATGTACAGGTGCTCTACAGAACTGCGAATATCTCTCTCTCTCACTCTCATTAACACGCTGCCAGTGCGTACTCAAGTGCCCGGCTCAGCTGGTCCCACGCACACCCCGCGCGCCACGCCACGTCTGTTTAATCACACGCAGTGCAGCAGTGCGCTGGATGCGGCTTTGGCCATTTGCTCCGGCACCAGTTTCCGTTTCCCGCGCGCCACCACATCCTTCAGCACCTCCACGCCCGCCGCAGCCCTGCGTCCCAAGAACCCAAACCACACAGCCGCAGGGAAAGGTCATTGTTTCGCTGCTGCCTGGTGTCAGATGGTGGCCGGAAGACGAAGTAGGACGATATGGACAACCGGGACCAATAATGAATGGTGCACAGATGTTTAACACATCCCCATGCGCTGAAATGCAGTACCGGCACGCAGGCAACTTGAGGTCGCCCCAGCACGGCAGGATTGCAGCACCCTACTGTACGCACCTGATCGCCACGACGCCCTCCTCCGCCCCAGCCAGACACTCCAACGCCTCTGCCGCCTGCACCGCTGCAGCACCCGTGTAGGGCACCGGATTCGCTGCTGCTGCTGCTGCCGCCGACTGGGCTCCTGGGGGTGACCTGGGTGAGTTCCCCCGCAGGGCATCGCGCAGTACGGCGAGCAGCGCGGGTACGGCCCCGGCGCGAATGAGCAGCTGCCGGGGCCGCACCGCTCCGCCCTCCCGCAGTACGGCACATGGCGGCAGCTGCATGGAGGCAGGAACCGCCAGCTGACCCAGCGCGCTGGCCGCGGCAGCCCGGGAGCGGTCGTCGCCTGTACCGTACGAACAAAGGGTAAGCAGCTGTTGTTGCTTTATGTCTTTGCTAGTAGATGGCACGCAAAGCAAAGCATTCCCTTTGGTTACCGGTATGACAGCGCGTTGCACAGCCGCCCTCCATGAACATACCGGTATACGTTACCGTACATACCAACGACTCGCATCCTTCATCTCCCTCCCCCCCCACATACTGCCCCTCCTAACATATTATCCATACACACTGCGCTGTATCCCCCACCTGTGCCCAGCAGCCTGACCAGCGGCTCCACCATGTCCTCCGCCAGCACCGCCTCCCGCCCACTCGCGCTGCTGCACATGCGCGCCACCACCACCGCCGCATTCCCCACCTCGCCCCGACCCGCCCCGCGAACCAGCATCTGCCGCAGCGCCCGCGCGGCCTCAACCCGACACGGCGCATGCAGGGCCGCCAGCACCGCCAGCGCTCCCAGCGCCTCCTCACACAGCGGCATACCCACGCTGGCCTGACGTGGCAGCTCCAACAACACCCCCAGGCCGCCTTGACTGCTCACCGCATCTCGCGCCGCTGCGGACTTCTTGAGCAGCGGTCCCAGCGCTGCCGCCGCCGCCACGCGCGCTGAAACCTCCTGCACGCTGCCTAGCCGCTGCAGCAGCGCCTCCGCTGCACCTGCGGCCACTGCGGCGTCCACTGCCTCTCCGCCGCCGCGGCACAACACCCACAGCAGCTGCACTGCGCGCTGCTGCAGCCCCCCCTGAGCAGCCCCCCCTTGGTCGCTGTGTTGACTCGCGCGTTGGGGCTGGGAGGCGGGTGTCGAGGCTGGCTTGCAGGCGATGTGAGATACCAGCGGGGGCATGATGCCCTGTGTTGTCAGGGTGGAGGTTGCGGCTGGGAGCTCCTCCGACAGGGTCTTGAGTGCGTTGCAAGCGCTGGCGGCGAGCGCGGTGTTGCTGGATCGCAGCAGCGCGCAGAGCTGCATGCATGCAGCACGACAGCGTTGTGGGGATCATTATCGGCCGTTTTCATGGTAAAGATAGGCAAGCCGGCCTTTGGTTCATTCACAAAATGCATCTCTTAGCCATTAGACAGGCAGGCACTTAAGCGCAGGTCTCTTCACCCCGCCCCGCTTCCACACGGGTTCCACCCCACCTGCATGCCCACATCCCGCCGCAGCGCCTCCGAAGCAGACGCCAGCGCCGCCAGCGCCTCCGCCGCTGCCCGGCTGCTACAGTTGGGCTCACACAGCGGCGGCTGCAGGCAGTCCGGCAGCGCCACGCCCTCCAGCTTCACTGCGTCCACCAGATCCACCACTGCACCCCGGCCGCCCAGCACCTCGCGAACACCCTGGCTGCCGTAAACACACAGCCCATGCAGACATGCCAGGCCTGCGGGGTGTGTCGGGTGTGCGGGGTCAGTAGTGAGTTACTGGCGCACCGCACACGTTGCTCACTGCATGGAACTAACACGCGCGCACAAAGGAGTAGAGCAGAAGGCATGTATGTAAAAGTAAGAACGTGGCAAAGACAAAGCACATGCACGTAACAGTAAGAACGAGGCAAAGGCAAAGGACATGCAGGCTTGGGCTTTGCCAGTTGAGTCAGCTTCTAGCCAGCAGGCAGGCCACACTCGCCGGATGCACACCCTGGATTCCCCCCACCTGCGGCACGGCAAGCAGCATCCGGACTGGAGCTCAGCGCCATGAGAGGCGCGACTGCCCCGCATTGCTCGCACTCGCTGCAGGCCGCAGCGGACCAGCGCTGAGAGGAGCGGTCGCGGCCGGCAGGACGCAGCACGTCGGCGAGGCAGAGCGCCAGGGAAGCCACGTGCCGGTCGTTGGAGCAGATTGCATCGATGGTTAGCGCCTGTGCGGAGGCATCGTTCCGGGACGAGAAGTTCGGTATATGCCGTTAGCGGGCGGGCTTACACGGTCTTCGTTATGCGATAATACCACCTCAAGTTGCAACTGCACACCCAGTGGACGCAGAGTACATAACGACTATCGCGACGGACTGCTCCAACTCGCCAACACTCCCACCTGCGACAGCTGCCGCGCCACAGCCGTCTTCAGCTGGTCATCGCCCCCGAGCCGCTTCAGCACAGCCGCCGCCCGGGCATCCGACTGCGCCGCCTGCACCAGCACCACCCGCAGTCCGGAGCTGTGCCGCAGCACTGATGCCCGGGTATCAGGGCTGTGCAGGCAGAGGGGCAGCAGCTCCAGCACCCCAGGCGCCGGTTCATGCGTCCCTGCAGGCACGGACAACGACACGGATCAATCCCCTGGTGCTAGTACGGAGGATGTAGCTCCGAGCAGCAGCAAGCAGCGACTCTCCTCCGTCACCCCGCAGCACCAAACACCCCGGCGCTGCCTGCCCCTAACGTATGGCCCTGACAGAACGGAACACCTACGTGGACTGCCGCTGCTAGAGCCATCCGCCGCTGCCCTCGCCAGCAAGTCCAGTAGAACAGACACACTCGCGGCATCGCAGCCCCGGCCCATGTCGGCACAGACTTGCTGCGCATCCTGGCCCGGGCGCTGCTGCTGACGACCGGACAGCCCGGCTGGGTGCTGCAGGATGGCCCCGATGCAGGCTAGCGCGGGGGCGGCTTCCGAGGGTCGGTCGGAAGTCGCCAGGTTGGACAGCGAGACCAGCAGGCGCTCCTGCAGCATCTGCGCTGGCAGGATTGCAGTGCGAATGCGAGCACAGGAGCGTGTGAGGAGAAAGGGTCGAGGATGCGCGAGGGAAGATACCGGTAAGCGCCGCCATGGCGAGAAGTTGCCGCGGTTGCTAGCCATGGAAAGCTTCCAAAACAGCAAGACAACGCCCTCCAAGGTCGCGCATGTGTGGCAGTGTGCTGCTCCCCCTCCCAAGCACCCACCTGCACCACGGCCGTGCTGTCCTGTGCTGCATCCGCCAGCGCCGCCGCCGTCGCACCCGCCATCCTGCCGCCACCAGGGGTGCCAGCTAGGCCACACAGCGCCCTCACCGCACCGGCAGCCAGGACCTCAGCCTGCGATAGCAGCCCCCAATGGACATGTTGCATTTCGTGACTCATTAGCTTTCCGACTTTAGCACACGGTTTGGTGGGGGCCTGCAACACCAACACTAAAGCACGGCCAACCCACCATGTGTTGACCACAGAGCTTCCGCAGCAGCAGTACGGCCTGCATCAGCAGCTCCTCTTCAACCGGCGCCGAGCTGCCGCCGCCAACGTCGCCGCCGCTGCCACCTCCAGGCTGCATGAGCATCACGCCTTTCTGCTTTTGCTCCGCAGCCCCCGCCAGCCCCGCCTGATCCCGCTTCTGAGGACCGCCCAGCCCTTTCCGTCCCCCAAACATGCCCCCCGTCACGCTGATGTTCACAGTCACTGGCGCCGCATCCAGCTCGGCCCTGACGGCAGCCGCCCGGGCAACAGCCGCCTGGCGCGGAGGATGCGCAGTCGCCTGCCCGCTGCTTGTTATCAAGTGCACCAGCACGGGCACGCCGCGGGCTGCGACTAGCTGTGCGACGCATGCGGGTTCTGCCTCGAGCAGCTCCCCCAGCAGCCGCAGAGCAGCGACACGCAGCGCATGGGAGCCGTTAGCCATGAGACGCAGCACGGAGCTGACGCCTGCCTCTGCCAGCGCCTGTCACATGGCGACATGGGTTTCCAGCGGGTTTGGTAGCGGAGCTCGGAGTCCGTAGGGTGTGGATCAAGCATGACCGACTAGTACCGTGCGCAAGGGTTGGGACGTGTGTTCAATGACAAGGTGGGGACATATATAGCATTGGGAACGCGGGAGGTGCGTGTCTCAGGTACCTGCGCCGTTTGCGCCCGCTCGGGTCCTTGCAGGGAGTGGCGCAGTGCCTCAAGAGCGGCAGCCCGATCGTTCTGTGACATGGAGGGGCTGTTGAGGTGCGCTAGGACACCGGGAGAGCCACCGCCGGTGGGAGATGACGACGAGGAAGGTCGCTGGTCCGCAAGGGTGGCATCCGTAACACCCGTCCGCGGGCTGGAGACGGCTGCAGGTTGCTGCTGGTAAGTCCGTTTGGGTGTGTTGGTGGTGGTGCCGCTGCTGGCTTGCGGTTCACGGCTGTTGCTGCTGCTGCCGCCACCATTGTTGCTGCTCGGCTCAACAGCACGCGAACTGGATCCTACAGCTGTAGCAGCGGAAGTAGCAGCAGCAGCTGCGTCTCTGATAATGGTGCTGGTGAGGTGAAAGAGGTGGGCCTGCACGAGGCGATGGCTGGCTTGCGCCGCTGCCGCTTGCTGCTCCAGGAAGGTTGCGTCCGAGGCTAGCAGTGCTGCCGGGCAGCCAAGCGTGAGGCGGGCCAGCAGGTCTGAGAAGGCGCTGGCATCGCTGAGGCCTAGCCGCACGCGTTCCGCCTGGCGGGAGGTAGAGGGAGGCAGTACGCGGCAAAACCTTGTAGTGGCTTACGGAAGGTGCAGCAACATACCGGTAATCCATGCCATCACAATCACGCGGGGATGGAAGGCTGTGCGTCCTTTCGCCTTCGCACTTTGTCTCGCTGTTAATCTTTTCTTGCTCTATCTCCCTGTACATGCTTTTCCGTTCCTTCGTACCTCCTCTTGCAGCTCAAAGTACACGCTACGCAGCCTCCGCAGCGTCTGAAAGCTAATACTGGACGCGCCAAGCTGTGGAGACAGCAGTTTGGCCTGAGCGGTTACGACAGTTGGGAGTTGGCCGCGTTGGAGGGGCCCCAGCTCGCGCTGCACTCGTAGGACGGCATTTACGAGCTGGTGATTCATGTCTTCTGCAGTGAGCAGCGTTTGCAAAGGGCCCTGTGTGCTGCAGCGGTGAACGATCTCTAGGAAGCTCTGGAGGGCTGCTTGGATTCCCTGCGAGGACAAGCTTTGCATGTGAGCATGTCCCGTCCCATGTTTTAACAGTGCACTGCTAACGTACCAGAAGAGGATCCGAATATTGTTGTGTTCCATCTCGGATGTTTTGAAACTCCGAAAGGAGCGGTTGCAGCTCCTTTAATGACTCGTGCAGCATTCGGACCTCGGGTCCGAACGCGACAGCACGGTCAACAGCTGCGCTTATGCTATCGAGCAACGATAGACACTGACGAGGAATTTGTTGTTGCGTCATTGCGGTTTACTGGGGCGGCTATACTGTTAGTTTGGAGGATACCTGCAATCACAGGCTTCAAAAGCTGTCATGTCTTAAAATACCTATGTTTGGGCGCTTCCACAGTGGAGTGAACTACCATGTTGGATTAACTAACGCCTGCTCGCAGCGTTTGCACCGTTGGGAGGTGGATTAGAACGCAACGCTGACTTGCCGTACAGACTGGATTGTCGCTGGATTCATGACGCGACAACGTGACAGGACGCAAACGGGTTAATTTGCAGAGACTTGACCTGTTAACGTAGCTTGTAGCGCGTAGACTGTCGCCCCTCTTCTCTCCCACCCCCACAACAAGTAGAGGAAAGCAGTATGCTCCAATCACTGGGCGTAGCTTCACATGGCATTCCAGGCCTTCTTCAAACATCATTACTAGCGGTCGTGCAGCAAGGCCTTTTGCCCTCCGCAGTAGGCGGCTTTGGAGCATGGACATCAGTCCGCACTGCCACCAAAAAAGCTGGCGGTACTGCAGGGCAGAGTGTAGATTCTCACCCTAAGCATTTGGGCATGAAGATGTCAGCAGGCGAGCTCGCGTTTCCAGGCATGATTCTCGTCCGACAGCGCGGCACCAAATTCCATCCAGGGCCAAACGTCGGTCTTGGCCGGGATCATACCTTGTTTTCAACCGGTGTGGGCATTGTGCGCGTCTCCGTGAGCCAAGGGCCAGCTGGCAAGGAGCGCCGCTATGTAAGCGTGGAGCCATTACCGGAGGCTGTGGCCGCAGCCAACAGCGACGCTATTACAGCAGCTGCAGGACCGGGGGCCACACTAACGGCGCGGCAGCGGCTAGTGGAGGCGGACCTGGTGAAGCGGCGAGGGCAGGTGAAGCGGGCAATGCTGAAGGGCAGCGTGCCATTGGAGCCAGCACTGTACTTCAACCTCCCCACGCAGCCTAACGGGCGGTTCTCTTGGCTTGAGCGGCCAGAGCCGAAGGCAGAAAGCGCACAGCAAAAAGTGTCGAAGTAGGGAGCATAGTGAGTACTTTGGGGCTGGGCACTAGGCGCATGTACATGGATGACCATGCTGAGCGGTATGGACGGGCGAGCGTTGAGATGACGTAGCAAGTTGGCAAGGAAGGTGGCCTGCTCTGCTTTTCGAGCGTCCTGTGGCAGGGCTGCCGTACGCTGTCATGCACGAATGGTACGACGTGTGGGTATGGGAAGGGGAAGGGGATGCCCGCTTGCCCTCTGTGGCATGGTGCGGCTCCTTCTAGGGCATTCAGACGCAGCTGTGGCGGACACATGTCTGTCCGGCGCTTGTCGGACGGGATGTGAGGCAGGTACGCAGGGAACCACCAATCGACGGACTCAGTTGGGAGTCAGGATGGGTAAGGGGGTCGCTGTTCAGCATTAGCATTGCATGCATGTCGGTTACTAAGCTGTGCTGTGCTTGTCGGCTGTTGCGACCGTAGCCGGTTGGCCGAATGGGCTAGTTTAGGGTTGTCGCTTGGCAGTGCTGGGATTGACGGGTCGCCGATGCTTGGCGGCTTGGCGTTCGCTGTGCGATGGAATTAAAACTGCAGTTGGGGGACCGTTGCTCGCCGCTTCAGTGCTACTGTACGAGTGTATGGCGTGCAAACGATCCAGGGGCCGCCTGGATCTGTCGGAGTGTAGCGTGCGGGGTAGACTTCTCCTTTGCTATTGACCGGATTCAGACTTTGCTGGTGTTGTTACCGGGCCTTGTCTTTGCACCACGGTTGTTTGGCTTTGGGTGCTGGTCTGATGCCAAGGGGTAGATGCCCTAAGGTGCCTTTGCTCACTACCAGGACTGCCGGGTTGTCGTAAAGACGACTCATGCAAGGTTTGCAACCCACGCAGCCCTTGAGATACCGGTATCGTACCTGGTACATCTTCGATACACCTCAACTACCAGTATTCGAATGTTTGACCTCCTAGATTCAGCTTGATCCCTGCGTTCATCCCAGGCATGCCTACCAGCCTTAAAGTAGGAGGAGGCACGTTAGCACGCGCAGGAAAGCTAGCAAAGTTGTTTCCATGGGCACCACGGAAGGGGAATTTTGTGGGGGGGTACAGCGGGTGGTAATGGGACGGCAACGGTGTCCAGCAGCATACGGCACATGGGAGCGCCCCTTTGCTAACGCCAAATATAGGTCTCCTGCAAGCCTTGTGGAGGTGACAACTAAGTAGAGGGCGGCCGTGATGGAGGCGGAAGGAATGGTTGGGTGGCAGCAACACGACGAGGTGGAGAGAGAGTGGGCCAAAACAAGCAACCTCTCTGGTAGTGGGGCAAAGATAGCAGCAGGGGCTGACTGCGTCGCCTAAATGGAGCGCCCCTCAAACATAGGGGAGGGAACCCTAGGGAACAGATCAATCAGAGACCTATGCACTTTTCCAGGAAGCGTGCGTACGTCTATTGTTTTTGTTCGGGAACACCACGCCACGCGAATTTATCTTTGGTCGAGAGCAGTCTTATGGACGATACAAGGGACTTGCCTAATTTCCTTAGGGTTTTACAGTGTATGCCAAGGAAGTAGTACGCTACTATGGAAGATATTGCTGTTGAATTGCAAAAATTGTTGCATGCTACATTCCCTGGAATAGCGTCAGTCGCTATTGCAAACTCTTGGAAATGGCTTAAGCATGTTCCGGTCACCAAGGCGCTTTGCAACACGCTTTTCATGCATTACATATAATTCTTGAAGTACAGGTGCAGAAACGGTTGTAGACGGCTAGACTGCAGGGACGGGACATAGCGGACGAACATGGCCGGACTTCAGTTGCAAACGTTCGGCGGTTATAAGAGTGCAGCTTAGTATATACCCTCATCCTTTAGCATTTTCAGAAGTTAACCCTGGAAGTTATCAGCGTCTAGTAAAGCGGGCCAACCGTTCATGAAGGACGGAGTCAATGACTCTTCGTTGTAGAGCCATTAAATTACGGGAAGTATTATTTAGTTAAGTTAAATGCAATTAATATCCATTAAACAGGCCGTGCAACAACACCCTAAGAAAATATCCAGGAACTCGGCCTTCTGCAAATTTGCCAAAGCCGCCTCACTAGCGCGAACAATGCGCGCGCTGAAAAGACATTTACTGTAAGCGTCGTTATACTGGGCGCGCCCTACAAAGCTTTTGCGTTTCCTCTACAGTCAGCGCGGCGCTGGTACGTAGTGTGGGCATTTTTGAGTGCCGCTTCTCGGTCAAGGACGAATAGTGTGTGACTATTTGTAGCAGTTCAGAAGCGTCAGTAGCTCAGATGGCAGCGGCCTTCGGGAGGATGGAAGCACCAGAACGGGCGCGTTTAACGCTCGCTTGGGCGCTCCCTTGGCCATGAGGCCATAATACTTCAATAAAGCTAAGTTGGACATGGCGAGCAACAATTCGTGGCGCTCGCCGGTTACGGCTTTGGCTGCCAAACAGCCGATGGGACGCAGCATGTCCTTCTCCTCGAAAAGGCTGTGCATAGATGGCGACGGGGCACGGTCCCGTGTTGGCTCCAACCATGAGCGCCAGGGGGAGCGTTGGGGCTCATGGGACGGCTTGGCGGCTTCTCTGGCGGTTTCGGAGTGGCTCCTGGACAAGGTGCTACCCATCATGCATCCAGACAGCCCCGCACGCAAGGCGTAAGTGCCGTACAGTGTCTGTTGCGCACAACCAGGGACTGTGAATGCCATCCGACACGCGCGGACATTAATGCGGGCACCTAGATAGCAGGCGCACAAGTCATATAGCATCTCCACTGCGCGGGTTTACACGGTTTGGTCCTAGCTAACGTACTGGACGAACCGCGCTTAAGGCGAACTGCCGCATGCTAGTCTTATTACCTCATTTGGCAGTATTAGCAAATAAAAGAGTTGGCGACCCATGGTTCACAAGTTTCAATACATGGGGCACAATGGAGCTTGAAATTTTAATTGAACCTTACACACCAACTACATCTCATTCACTCGTTGTCCCTACAGCCATGCTTGGAGTTTGCAGCCCTTCGCTTCCATACCTCCCCGATCCCTTACACGCATTTCCCGTCCCCTTAACGAGTCGGATGGTGAATTCTGTGGCCTTCCTCTGCGTCCTGTGCCGTAAATTTCCATACCATTGCTTGCTTCCCTTCCTGCAGCTGGGACTTCTGGACGCTGGCCCTCATCATGTACGTGGCCATCGCCACACCGCTGCAAATCGCTTTCAGCTCCTGGAGAGACTCAACCGCTACCCAGGCGGTGGCCTGGGCCACGTCCGGCAGCTTCTTGTAAGTGCGGGGCTGCGTGTCTTCTGCGTTTGCTGGCTGGCCTGAACATGAGCAGTAACTAACGTTGTGCGCCTGCTACCACGCTAGCTAGACATTTGCATGCACATCCACCCTCACCCTGACAACTCTATTTCCCCAACCCCATGCACGGCCGTCCTCTTCTCATCGCATCACCAGCCTGGATATCCTGGTGAACTTCAGGTACGTTTGCTCGGGTTGCTGTACCAACACTCATTTAGTCTCCCCGGGAATCGGCAAAACGCCAGTCATGCTGAGCGCTAATAGTGCGACCAGTAGCAAAGGGCCAGGAAGAGCTTCTCGGTGCTGAGCTTCGCAGGGTTCTGGGTGATGAGTCCCCACGGGACCCTAGCTTGTCACGCTGCATGCATGGCGCAAGCCGCGCTACGCTTGGGTTGCAACGCCTCTGTCCTTCTCCTTGTTGCCCCGGCGTTCCGATGTGTATGCCATAATGAGACCTATTGAGCTCTCGTTTGTATGGGACAACCGCCCGCAGGACTTCGTACACCACCAAACACGGCGATGTTATCCGCAGCCCAGCACTCATAGCCCACCGCTACTTGAAGGGCATGTTCCTCTTCGACTTGCTGTCCGCACTGCCCCTGAATGAGACACTCACACAGACAAGCATCCATTACAACGCGGCCTGGCTGGGCCTGTTGAAGATGCCGCGGCTCTTCCGGCTTGTACGGTGAGGTGATGAGCGTGCCAGCAGCCAGCCCAGCTGTCCGGCAAGAAGCAATGGGGCGTTTAGTCTTGGCACTCCTCGCATGCTACATTCTACAGGTTGAATTGCCCACCCCTGCTTGCTCCAGAGTGCACTCGTGCAAGGCCCAGAGTGCCCTAGTTTACTTCCCCACTGCATCTAACGTAGGCGGCGTGCGTGTTGTGAGCGTTAGCATGATGCAACGCGTGGCTTTGCCCCTGACCTTGTATTTCACGTTTGGCCTTCCTCAGCCACCTCGACACGCTAACACGGACCAAGTACGTGAACTTGGTGGCGGTGGCGCGGCTGCTCCTCCTCATGCTTCTCATCACCCACTGGGCCGCCTGTCTGTGGCATTACCTGTCAAGAGAGGTGCCAGGTGCGTTACGGCACTGCCGTGAAAACAAAACACGCGTGTATAGTGTACGGCACCCTGCTGGGGTACTTGCGTACATCTTGCATTCACGACGCGTGGCATCCGCATACGAACGGCCTTCATTTGTACAAAAGGCGCATAACGACGCCCATGTTAGCCTTCACCATCTTTGTATTTTCATCCTGGTATCCATAAGACAACGTGGTCCCCTCCGTCCTGCGTTGCAGAGTGGCCTTGGATGTTTCAGATGGATTGCAGCACGTGCCCCGAGCGGGAGCAGTACCTGCTTGCCTTCTACCGCTGCTTCCTGCTCATTTTGGGAGACCGACCTGACACGTGGAACAATGTGGAGCGCGTCTTTGCGGTCTGTCTGCTCTTCTTAGGAGCCTGCCTGTACGCAGTTGTGGTAAGTGGTGTTAAGGTTCATGGCAGTTGGAATCGCATACTTGGTCTAAGGCTTGCTATCCGGTGGTAGTTTGACAGATGAAGCTTGCAAAAGTGGCCCCGTCGCAGGATGGGTCTCTCGCATTGCCAACCGTCTTAACCGACTTCGTTTACTGGTCGTTTGGCTGTCGCAAAAAGCTGTTGACTATACGTTCTTTATGTTGCCAACCTACTTTATGTCGCCAACCTACTTTTACTCACCGCAACCCTGCAGGTCAGCAGCATCACCATGCTCGTCAGCAACATGTGGAGCATGGCCGCTCGTCACAAGCAGCATGCATCCATGCTGCAGGACGCGCTGCGATACCACAGCGCGAGCACGGAGCTGAGTGTTAAAGTGGACGAGTTCTTCGATTTCATGGCTCGCTACGATCACCCAGGTCAGTGTGACGTACCCATTGTACGGCATCGGCAAATTTGGCATCATGTACGGCAACCCGTTGCTGCTTAGGCCGTAACGGCTCCGCTTGGCAATAAGGCATGAAACGCCACGCTATGCGGGTGAATGTCTTGCAAAATGTGCGCTCTCCTATCTGCCTCCGTTCCGTTTGGTCCTTCAACAGGTTTGGAGGGCGTCTCGCTGCTCGCGGAGCTGCCGGCTGGGTTACACGCAGAGGTACTTTCCTCGGTGTTCGAGCCCATGCTGCTGAAGGTACGGTGGCTGTGGGTCTGGGACGCCTAAAGGGCCACTACCACTTAACCCAGAGCTCCTTTCAAGCGCCTTCGGGCACCGCTGTAACATCATAACGCTTCCTTTCTTTCCCCTTGTCCCTCCAAGCTTAATGGTTGTCACTTCCTCATGTCACACATACATGCTCAATACAGCGTTGACTTGTGTCCACGTCTGTCGTGTCAGCGCTGCAACCCCAGTGCTGGCTACCGATAATGCTGACCACAACATGCATGCATGCGTCCGCAGGTACCCCTGTTCGCCTACTGTGAGCGGCCTTTCGTGTGGCGCTTGGCCCAACGGCTGCGGCTGCAGCTCTTCATGGGCTGTGACGTCATTTACGACTTGGACAGTGTGGGCCACAACATGTACATCATCTGGAAGGGTGTTGTGGCGCTTGTGGGGCCGGACGGCTGCACAAGTGCGCTGCTGACCGATGGAGACCACTTCGGGGAGCGCGGAGTTACCACCGCTAGCACACCACGGCCGCACAAAGCGGTGGCGCTGCGTGCATGCGACTTGATGCTGCTCAGCAGATGGGACCTGCAGGTGTGCGGGAGTGGGTGGAACACGCGGCGTGGGCGGGTGGTTAAAGTTGGTAGGGCGCAGCTAGGCGCTGTTGCTGCCATCCTTGTTGTAGCGTGCTCTCCTAAATCTTTATCACCCTGCCATGCCTACACTTGCTAGCCATTGTGCATGTTCTTAGCCGCAGTAGTACGAGCACGGCTGATCCCATCAGTTTCAGCAGCATCTAGCTCTTTCAACAGTCGAACTTACCCCATCAGCAGCCGCCAAAGCATACAACATTTACCCCCTGCTTACTTTTCGGCAGGACGCGATGCGGGACTTCCCGGACAGTGCCGTACTGGTGAAGGACCGCGCAAGGCTGCAGAACCCAGAGTACAGTGCCACCATGTGGGCGGCGACCATCATTGCGGGCTTGAAGGACCCGGAGGAGGAACTGCCTTCCTCACTTGCTCGGGCTGGGCTAAAGCAGACGAACCCCGAAGTCGATTCTGATATCGACCTTGCTTCGGATTCTGCTGACGTCGTCACAGCTGCTGATCTCGGCGACTCCCCTGCGTCGTCAACAGTTGGGAGCGCGAGCGTGGCCGAGGTCGAAGATGGATGCAACAAGGATGCATGCGCAGCACAAGATGATGTTGGCAAGGAAGAACGGCGCGTAGGCTGCGTCGAGCTATCAGGAAGTGCTGGCGGCTTCGGAGCACTTGTGGTGGTCGACGCGTCAGCTGACACCAACACCGCAGACTCCTCCCGCAACGCGAGTGCTTCTGGAGACGACGAAGACGACGAGGATGACGGCGGCGCCCCTGCAACTTCCAGCAGCCGTGTACGCAGCATGACGAACAATAACAGTATTAAAAAAAGCATTCAGTGTGACCCCAACATGCATGGCAATGCAACGGCGTTAACGGCCTTACGCCCCATGACATCCCTGGAGCAGCAGCGTGGCAGCGCCGCATGCACCTCGTCTAGCCGCTGGATGGTTGACTTTTGGCTGCAGGACCGGTCCTCACCAGGGCTTGCGGAGTCCTCCGCTGCCCCGCATGCTGCTGCTGCTGGTGCCTCCGGCGCCGCTGGTAGTGGTGCTGCTGGCGGGGCGGAGGTTGGTGCGGGGCCGGTGGGGGAGGCTCTGGAGCGAAGCGGCGGCGGTGCTGTTATGGAGCCCTCTGCTGCTGCTGCTTCCACGCCGGCATGTGGTGGTGGTGGTGCGCTGGTAGGGAATGCAGCCCCGCAGCAGCAGCTGTCGGGGGCGACGCCTCCCCCGTGTGTCGTTCCGAGCTGTGCGCTTCTCCCGCATATCTGGCACTCCTCATCCGCACTATCCCTGTCTTCATCGTCTCAGTCGACAGCTAGGGCAGCCTCTGGATCTACGTTTGTGCGGCCTCCTGCTACTGAAGGGTCCCAGCCACAAATCCTGAAGCTCGCTCCTCCCACCACATCCCCGGCCCGTCAGCAACCCCCAGCTGCTGCTTCGCCAGCTGTGCCACCAGCATCAGTCACGGCCGGGCCCAAGGCAAGATCACTGTCAGCAGCAGTCCTTGAGGAGGAGGAGGTCGTGCACGTGGCATGTACCATTACTCGACACCCTAACCATTCAGAACCCTCGCTGTTGAGTGCTTTGGAGAGCCTATCATCACCGTCTCCGCAGCATTCGTCATACCAACACCAGCAGCAGCAACAACAACTACTACAGCAGCAATCCAGCAGGCGTTCTCTTCAACAGCAGCAGCAGCAACAACAACAACATGGCCTAGCGGCAAAGCTCTCTCACCACGAGGCAGCAACGCACGGCGGTCAGTCTGTACACATCACGGGCGCTCCACACGCAGGAGGCTCCGGCTCACAAGCTTTGGCTACTGTCGGCTCGGGCATAGGCACGCGGCGTTCTTTGGCGGGACTCCTGCAATTCCGCTGGTCCCGTGCTGGCAACGGTAATGCTAACGGCCATAACGGCGACAGTAACAGTACCGGCAACCATAACGGTGTGGGCACGGCTGCTTCAGGCGGCGTCGCGTCTGCATCAATGTCACCGCTTCTAGCCTTCAGCGCCGCGATCAGTCCGCCGCGACGAAGCACAAGTTATGACCAGCCGCGTCAGCTGCGGGGCTCTGAGAGCTGTGACCGGCGGAGGAGCGGCGAAGTTTGGGATCAGGTCACGCAGTGGGTGGAGCAGGCGACGCTACTGCAGGATCACGGAGCAATGGCCGAGGAGCCAACTCGATGGGGAGGAGGAGGAGGGGTTGCTGGGAGCTCTATGAGGTCCCAACGGGAGGGCAGCGCCTCTCAAGCCAGACCTCGACGACGGTCGAACGACGCTCTGGTAACAGGCGTTGGCGTGACGGCGTTGGCGGCGGCGGCGGCGGGGCAGCTGGAGCAATGTCATTCCGGCGGAGCGACAACCGCAGCCTCCAGCAGCATTCCCGGCGCAGGAGGCCTCAGCAGACGGAGCAGTGATGGCACGGAAATCCTGGAGGAATTCCAGCGCGGGCGGGATCTTTCGGGACCTCCGCAGTTCCTGCTGCTACCCCCGCAGCCTTTCCTAGGACTGGACCCGCTAGGCCCGTTCTTCGAAGGGTCCTCCGGCCCTCCTACCATGGCTGCTGCAAGCCCCATGCAGCGCTCTCGCAGCCGACCTGGACACGGGTCACAGTCCACAGCCGTCGCCTATACCGGTCGTGTTTCGCCACGCTCTACAGTGGAGGGCGATGGCCCCCTGCCCCCTGCCCCAAGACACGTGTTCGGATCCGCGTGCCGACGAAGCAGCGGTCGTCAGGAGGCGCCTGAGGTATCTGGCTCAGGCATCGTCACAGGCACAACGGCTGCTCGTCCGGCTCGGAATTCGGGAATGGGCATGCGCAACATGTTGCTGTCGGAATGCAGCGAGCGGTCTGCTGACGGTTTGCGCGGGGAGGACCGAGATGCAAGGTGCTTGCTACTGGAGCGGCAGCTGGCGTTGGTGCAGGCGCAGCTGGAGGATGCACAGTCGCAGGTTGCAACCCTGCTGGCGAATCCACTCAAGGTGTGTTTGGGCAGTACCGGTGAGGCTTAGCAGGGGAGTGGGATGACAGCGGCGACGGCCACATGGGAAACTGGAACTTACATGCGTATTTGTGGGGGTGCGGCACGCAGCGGGCGCACCAGGAATGTTGTGTTCTTAGCCGAGCATAGCACAGTAAACATGCTAAACTGCATCCTAACATGTGCGCTGCAGGTGCCAGCCGTCGCGGCGGTGGTGCGGCGGGAAGTTGATGCGGCGACGGCACAACTGAACACGCACATGGAGGGCATGCTACAGCGGTTCATGGACGCCCTGCAAGCAGTAGCAGGTGGGCTCTTTACTTCTTACTGATGTCGTCATTGGCAGCGTTTTAGACGAGCTGTGTTGCGCTTGGCTTGCTTGTCTAGATGCCTGGGGTCCCCTTATCCTTGTGTTTGTCCATTTGCCATCCCAAGACACGGGCTTCCATTTGCCTGTGTTTCACATGTTCATTTCACGCCTCGTGTGCTCCCTCACAGCCCGCACGGACGAGCTCACCCAACAAGTGGCAGCAGCGGACGGGCGTCTGGAGCGGCTAGAGGAGGAGCACGACGCCTTCCTACAGAGCGGCGGCCAGGCAGGTGTGGGCGTCGGAGTCGGTCTGTCTACAGGAACTGGTGTGCTGGACAGCCGAGACATTGAGGAGTTGGCGGTGGCGCCTTCACTGGGGCTGCTCAGGTCACGTGGCGTGACGACAGGGCAGCTGAGCATGCTTCGGCCGACGTCCACAACGAGCAGCGGGGGTGCGGCGGGACGAGCTGCCGGAGGGGATGCAGGCAGAGCTCAGGTCAACTACGCCAGGCAGCAGTCGTATACTAGGATGCAGCACCAGGTGTCACGTCGGCCATCAGCCTTTGGCGGCGCACCTGAGCTGGATCCCTTCAACGAAATCAGCGCCGCTGCCATTGTCACCGCTCCTGAAGGGGATATGAACCCCATGCTTCAACGAGCCAAATCAGGTGCCAGGCGCAGATCTGCCTTAGGGCAGCAGGTGAACGGAGCCGCTGCACAAGGTTCACTTGCCGGCGCGCTTGGGGTTCAGCTCTCCTCCTCACCCTCCTCAGTTTCCCGTCCGCTTGCACCGCAGACACAGCCGCAGGGAATCCGGCACTTGAGCTCCTACCCGTCGGGCGAGTTTGACGCACGGACCAGTCCTGTCGCCGGATCCGACGAGGGGAGGCCGGCTCAGCGGCCAGGGCCTTCCCTGACAGCAATCGCTCCTGCACTTAACACGGACAGCCTCTCACGCGTGTCTACTCCCGTCCTGGACACGAGCGTGCGCAGGGGGGAGTTGGGGCTACGTCATGGGGATGCAGGCGCCCGCTGGGGGGAGGGCAGCGCTCGGAGAGTCGAAACCAGCGGTGACAGCTTCAACCGCAGGGGGGACAGCAGCGTTCGGAAAGGCGAGGCGTTTCTGGAGGTTAGCCCTCGTTGGGGGGATGTGAGTGTCCGCAGGGGCAATCGCCGAGCGGCCCAGGCGGCTTCAGCGGTAATGGCCACCCGGACGGCAGCAGCAGCAGCAGCAGCAGCAGGTGCTGTGGCTGGCAGCAACTCGGGAGGACCTAGTAGTACAGTTGTAGACGAGCAGCAGCTCAACCAACGGCAGTCCTCTGGACCGCTATCACCGAAGCAGGCCGGGTGGACACAACTGGAGGTGATTACGGCTAAAAAGACGGCATCGGAGAGGTTCCAGGAAATTACAGCGGAGGAGGATTCCCAGCCACTCCCGCCTGTAAAGCGAGGTGACGAACGAGGCGAGGAAGGCAGTGGGGCCGCTATGGGGCTGCGGAGACCGGGTTCGGGAGCTGCAGTGCTGGGCCGCACGAGCAGCAGCAGCACGGTGAGTGGTGGCATGGGTCGGAATGGCGGCGGGGGTGGTGGAGGTGGTGGAGGTGCTAGTGAGTGGGGCACGGCAGTCAGGCGTAACAGATTCCGACGGGGGGCTACTTCACAGCAGCAGGAGCAGAATGAGCAGCTGCCCCGAACGGGGGAACCGCAGCAGCATGCTGGGCAGGGCGCGATGGCGCCACCTGAGGTGTAGCCGGTGGCTGCGTTGCGGCATTTGGTATACGGTAGTAGCAGGTTGTGAGGCTGCAAAGGCATTTGAAGGCAACAATGGCTTGAACGTCTTGTACGGCTACGATGACATGTGACAATGTACGTTGTAGGGCCCTGCCGCCCTAACGCAGAACGGTTTAACGCGAACCGCTTAACATTGTCTGTTTGATAGCGATAGTAATGGATGGTACGTCTATGGTGACATGGTTCCTGAACCCAGAATGTGACCGAGGCAGGTGGAATGTTGGCTGCGGTTGTGAGCGCACTCAGCACTGTCTTATTTAACTTTATGCTTCGATTTCGACGTCTGTGAGCGCGCCCGATGTGCAAGGGCGAATCGCCTCTAGTGCTTTTCCTTATGTTTTTTTGCTTGCCGTACTGTTGAGGCGCGCCTTGTCATAAACATGACGGCGGCCGTTGAGGTTGCATGATACTCAAGCGACGTTTCGGGCTTTGAATTAGTGATTCACAGGATTGACGTCGGAGTGCTGGACTGATCACTACAGGCTTGTTCCTTTGAGTTTTATTAATGGGAGTTCCTGCGCTGGTTAGTACGGCTGACCGCTGCTTCTGGCACGGAGGTCGTGGAACAGCTACGAGGGGTTGTGGTTCATACTGAGGCGTCAGAGCGCAGCATTGTTTGAGAGTCCTTTCATGTGTAGAAGACGACATGCGGTCGTCTTGCGTCAGGTGTTGCGCTGCGTTTTTCGTGGACTTGCTGGAGTAGTGCTACTTTTGTCCCCATACCCAGTTATTGCTTCAAGGCTGTATTACAATATACTAAACTTGTGCCGCGCTTCGTCGCGTAATTCGTCTGTACCGGTACTGCCCTCCTTTGAGGGGTTGCGATGAAGAGGTGGCAGTTGGCTCTCGCAGCTGCAGTATACGTCAGTCTCCTTATATTGCCGCGCGCTGCCGTTCTCGCCGTGCGGTTTAAACATTTTGAGAGGCATCAGGGCGTTCACAAGCGCACGTCCTCTGGAATGCCAGCTGAGTGCGGCTGCTTTGGTTTCGTCAGGGCGGTGAATTGTTCACGAAGCAATCGTATTGTCATTAACGAGCGTGAACGGCCGCAATCGCCGAACAAACGTACTATCGAGGGCATGCAAGCTTCCATGTGTCGAGTACATGTGTCCAGTAATTTGATGAACACTGAACAACCCAGGCCACTGCTCATTATTACTTATCCTCGGGACAGGTCACGACCAGTCTTGGTTGGCTACTCAGCATGCTGATGTCAGCGTGCAGCTTGATGCAGTGTCCTCGTCTTTTCCATTGTGTGAAGTATAATAAATAAATATAATATTCAAACTGCAAGTGCGATCCAAGCACATACTAAACCGTGTAACGTCCAAGCCTTTATGCAATCTCACGCACCACCTGTTTGGTTCATGGCATCTCAACCACACCTGCAACACTACTCAAGCTAGCTGAGCAGTATGCCCAAGTATGAATGTATGATAGCACGCTACCAAAGCTATACCGCTGATCACGTGGACAGGAAGACCACGCTGCTGCTAATGTGCTAGCTTGCACGGTTATCGCCGTCCTATCGGCCGCTGCTGTTGCTGTTCGGCTCCACAGCGGAGGCAGCGAAGGAGCGCAGGTCGAGTAGCTTTGAGCCCAGCAGCAGTGGCCGGTGCTGTAGCGCTGGAGCCGCCTCTGCCAGGGAGCGCTCCTTCGGAATAGGAAGAGGAAGACAGCACAGGGATCCACAGCGGTCAGCAATCAGGCTAGCCCACCGGGAAAGTAGGGCACGGAAGGCAACATGTGTCCCATGTGACCCATGGGTCAGGTGGCGATTGCTTTTGCCAAAGGAGACTGAAGTGAACACCGCATGCGCTTGTCAACTACAGCATGTTTTCGAGAAGGATAAGCTCTTCTCCAAAGCCCAGTACCCTCACCCGTACCTCCCCCTGGCAAGCAACTCAGAGCCCACCCAGCCCCCCACACCTGCAACTCGAACCCTAGCTCGGCCGCCGAGGCCGCTATGGACTGCACCAGCGCTTGCCGGCCGCGGTGCGGACTCAGCACGTCGCACAGTCGTGTCACAAACTCCCCGTGCTGCCGACCCTGGGGCGCATAACAGACAGACATGCATGCATGCAGGGCGAGTGAGAGAGAGTGGGAGATGTGGTATGGTAGTATTTGGGTGGTGCCTGTGACAGCTCACCCCTTGCACCCCAACAACAGCACGAGCAAGACTTGTCCGCAGCAGCAGATGTCGGTCCCCCCGCCTCCCCACCCTGCCTGTCGGTACTTGGGCGCCTTGGCGGGCTGCCTCAGCAGCGCCATGTGCTCCCGCTGGTAGTCCCAAAGGAAGGAGGTGTGGTGCAGCCAGCGGCGACCCGTGATCGCCTGCGCGTTGCCGCCCACCTTGAGGCCGCTGCCCACCACATAGTCTGGAGGAGAGGAGGAGGCAGCAGGAGGGACGGAAAGATCGTCACGGCGTTCCAAACGGTACGGCAGGTTTCCGTACTACGGCCGTATACCTACCGTTTTCCCGGAGGGTAAAATCGGGGCAGCCAGCTGCCGCGAAGGCTGGCCGGTAGAGCTTCTCCGTCCATGCCATGATGGGGTGCGGAAAGCAGTCCACCTGAGGTAAGGAGGAGCCCTGTTGTGGGGCGGGGAAAGGGAGGACAAGGCTGTGGTATGGTGGGGAAGAAGAGAGGAAACCACAAGTGCGTCTTCCCTCCAAAGGTGTGGTAAGACGACGAGTGCATAACGTCATGCGTCACTGACGAAGTGCGATCGTACCTGCATAATTAACGTGGAGAACACCGTATCTTGATCCACCACGACTGTGCCGCCGCCGGTGAATCGGCGGATGGCTTGGATGCCATGCTGCAAGGCTTCCTCGCAGTGGACCAGCTCCTGGGGGCGGCTGCGATCAGGTGTGGTTCAGCCAGGATGCTAGAAAGAAGGTGCCTCTGTTTTCGGGTGTGCTTTGCGGAGGATGTCGGCAGGTAGGGAGGGCATGGGCATCCGCAGGACCCACCGGGTCCGCCTTTGCATCAATCAAGCACTATAGTTTCGTGAAATATAAAGCAGCTCGCAGCCTTCTGTTTGTCACTTACCCTGAGATGCCGATTACTATGGCCGGATGAAAGGCTCCGTCGTTAATGATAAGCCAGTTATCCGTTGTAGCTCGAAGCAGCGCCTCCTCTAAGTGCAACTGTGTAAATATTGGAAGCCTAGAAACGCGCAGCAGGTTTAAGACTGGCCGCGACATATGGCCAGCGGAACCAAAAGAGTTAAGAGATAGGTGGCAAGGTAAAATGGGACAGTTTCAATTCACATTCACATATATACTGTACTGTGCTATTGTGCATCGCTTTGGGTCATATTCTGAACAAAACGCTTACGACCTGGATCCGCGATCCGCGCTAAACCAGCAGCTGCGTCTGCTGGGACCTGCGAGCCGCAAACTGGCACTCATGCTTCAACTGTAAAGATGCTTAACCATGCACCATGTAAACTGATATAGCATTTAGTGTGACGAGTGATACCGCTCAAGATGTCTATGCGAGCCTTCGGTCAACTCCCGCAGTCGCACAAGGTATCCTGCACGCCGCCTTAGCAAGTACAAATTACAATCAGGCATGCTTCAAACTGGGAATGTAATAATAGAACCGTCTAGTGGCGGACTGTGCCTCGACCATCGGCCGGAGGAGTCGAAATGGAAGTCCGCTATCGACAAAGCTCTGTGGCATGTGCAACAACTCCGTAGCGTCCTGCAGGTAACTGCATGTGTTAAATGTACATTTGGGCCATCGTCCTTCCCGCAAAGGTAAAGCCTTACCATTTGCTTCCATTTATTTTCCTAGGTGCAAGCTTCCGACGGGACGATAACAGCAACGCACCTAATCTCGCCGCCTGTTCGGTCCTCAACAACGACTGATGCACAGACGCAAACCGAGGCTGTTGTGCCAGCCACGCAGCTCACACCCTTCCCACTTTTGCCAAACGGATGTATCCTCTCAGCTCGTGACCTTGTAGAGGTTGCAGTCGAAGCTGCCCCGTCATCGCCTCACGCCCACGAACTTCATTCCCACCCAGTTGCCCTCGCCAACCCCGCTGCATCCTCCCCAAGCAGCGTTACCTTCACACCCGAACACACAAACACCCACAGCCTCTGCAAGGCGCCCTTCCAGCCTTCATCAGACCTCTCACCAGCCTCTACTCCCATTACCGCGACTGCTGTTCATACCGCTGATGCTGATGCCAACACCCAGCTCTGCTCCCACCGCCTGGAAACACCCCTCTCGGAGGCAGCGGCCCCAACCGCAACGCCTAGCAGAAGCAGCAATGCTGACGATGACGCCCACGCAGCCCCGGTTGTCGCACTGGAACTAGCGCCGGAGGACTTGTGGCTGGAGGCAGCGCTGATCAGCACTCCGCGTTGTGACATCCCGGCTCCAGCTTCTGCCGGAAGTACACCCGCATGGGCTGTGACGCCCGACATTGCCGTTGGCTGGGAGGGATGCGAGGGTTGCGAAAGCGGCCGCCTTCTTTCACCGTCAGCTGCCAGCCCGGGCCCTAGCCTGCTACAGCAGCTGGCGACCCCTCAGCCGAGTAGTCCGGCGTGTGAGCAAGCGGCTGTGGAAACAGCCGCCGCACAGCATCCTGGGACTAGCGAAACAGCTCAGCTGGCGAGAGCTGACACGGTATCGGCTATTACCTGTAGGGCAGCTGGCAGCAGCAACGGCAGCATACCCGCCGGACCCACGGGTCTCTCTGCGGCTACGGAAACCTTCACGCCGTACACCACTGCCGTACGCCTGCGTGCTGCCATGCAGTGGATGCGGCTGCAGCTGCAGAGCACTCCAGGGTGGATGAACAGACCACGGCGGCATAGCGAATCAAGTGTCGCCCCTGCGATGCTTATCCTAGGCGATGGGAGTGCTGCCCCCGCCGCTGCAGCAGCTGCTGCTCCTGGTGCTGCTGCCGGTTGTGATCGGGGTCAGCAGCCGGCGGGCAGTGCATCGCCAGGAGGTGCTGCCTCCCTTCCAGGAGATGCCCCTTTCATGGCCGCAGCCGGTTATGTTGTTGGAGCAGCAACAGCGGCAGAGAAGCCGTTGTCGCCGCAGCCTCAGCAGTCGCCGCCACAGCGGGGAGGCATGTCGCCACCTGCTGGTGCCCTTGGGGAAGACAGCCAGCAACAGCAACAGCCGCTGAAAAGCAGGCGCGGCACAACGCAACGAGCCGGCGGCACCTGGGCTGGCCGCTCTCCATCTGGCAGCAACAGCAGCACCTCGCCCGGTTCTCAGACCACCACAACACGCCGCACAGCCGTCGCTGCTCCCCCAGGCCGGCAGAACCATGACACTGCTTCTTCAAGCTCTTCCCCTGCTGCTTCTACCGGTACTTTCCGCAGCTCGTTCCAGTCAGGCCAACAGCGGTCCTCACCTTCACCCACCGGGCCCAACACGCACCAGCCGCCCTCGCCAACGTTCCCCGCGCTGCTGGAATGCGCATCCAGTCCAGACGCGGGTCTTGGGGCCAGCACGCCATCACCCTTGTCTGCTAGAACAACGTCCACCGCCGCGGCATCAGCGGCACCAGACGCTAGCTCCACGCGTGGTGCTCTGTCCAGTCGAATGGGGCCGCCGTCTTCCGTGCGCGGACTGCCCGCCTTGCGGGACGCCTCACAGCGGCTGAATGCTGGCAACGGCAGCGGCACTCAAAGACCCCCACGAGCCGGGGGTACCAAGGATGCCCAGTCGGGTGCTGTTAAGAAGGCACCGCAGCATCAGCAGCCTGCACGCACACGGAGCTGGATGTGAGGAGCCGACTGGGCAGCGGCTGATGCGGTGGTTGGGGTAGTGGTTGCAGCGGGTGGCTTGCGCAGGATGGAGAGTTGAGGCATTTTATGGGGAGAGAGGGCGTGTGCAAAACACACCGCTTATCGTTCTGTGCATTGACGGGTGTTACGTGAGACTGTTGCTTAGGACAGGATGGGAATGTGGGGAGGTGAGTGGCTCTGAGAGCACGTATTGGGGATGTGAGGCGGAGGATCCGCATCCGGGGACAGCGATTAGGGCGCAATGTGGCACCAGAGGTGCGCTTGTGGTGTGGTGGGGCAGCATTCCCGCGGGTGGGCACTTCCCACCGAGCTCGAGGAGGGCCGCCGTGGTGCTCATACGCCGCGTGTGGGCGGAGCTTGTTGACGACTGAAAGCCCACCCCGGGGGCATTGAGTTGTGCTCGACTCAGAGACACACCAGCTAGTGTGCTTAAGCTATCGTGGTGTGGGTGGTGTGATGAGGCTTGCGGAGGGTATTCCTAAGTTCCTTGACTCTTGAGGGTTTAAGCGGAGGTGGATGAAGTCGTTGTAACGGGCACTCAAACATGGAGCTAAAGGATTGTCTTGTACCGGGTAGCGGGTAGGGTTACAGGTGCCGCCAGCCGCAACAGCGATTAGTACGGTGTGGAAGTACCACACAGCTCTGAATGTTAGTTTACAAAGCGGATCCGACTTCGGGAAATATTGCTCTCCCACGCAGTATTCCAGAATCCAAGAATGGACATAAGTCCCGAGCTAAACCGCTAAGGGGCGCAACACCAGCCTCAGTTAGCCTCTCAGTCGCCACCCGGGGCAATTACAGTATACCCTGAAGGGTGACGAACCTCGCATACAGACACGCTACATGCAAGCCCCCTCAAATACACGCATATGCTCACGACGCACCGCCCACTCCACTCTGTACGGTAACTCTCTATGACGCTTTCTCTCTTCTCGACTAAACGCACTTATGGGCAGCGCAGCAACAGCTAAGCAACTGACTAGGACACCTGAGCCACCGGCCCGAATCAAACATCGTTCGGACACGCGCCTGTGACAGGCGGCAATCAACAAATGCTACGAAATCAGCATTCAGCCCTGGGTGCATTAACCAGCACGCAGGGCTGCCATACTCGCCCTCACTCCAAAGATAAAACAGTACATGAGCACACGACGAAGCCCACAAGCACAGGTGAACAGCCCCCACATCGTCCTTGAGCAATCCTTGTCGCTGCCTCGCCAGCCTCCCGATTAGGACAAGACAGAGGCCCTCACGGCCAGCAACACACAAGGGAGGTGCGGCGCACACACACACACATACCATTATCGCAAGCCCACGGGATTCCGTGGCCTCACAGCGGGATTCGACAATAGAGCCGTGATACCGCCAGCGGCTCGATTATAGGACTGCTGATAATCATTAAAGCCATTATGTGAAGCGAAAAAATGGACAAAGCCACACTCCAGCATCCTGAAAACGCCTGCCGTATACTGGTCTGCCTGCGCTCACGTGCGCTGACGCTTCTCTAGGGAAACGAGGCCAGACAAGACTCTCGCTGCAGCAGTACTATTGTACAAGATCCAATCCACAGGAAATGAGCCTCCTCATTCGTACGGAATCCGAAAGAACACACGACAGACACCAAATAAGCACAACAAGGCACTAACTAGAAGCCACCAACAAAACCCTGGCCTCTGATGCTTCCAAAGCCATAAACCACAATGATGACAATTACTTTGCGCAACAGAACACAGATACGAAGGTACACAAACGCTCACGAAACGTACGCTTACCCATACCAACAACCATACTACGGCCCCTTAGGTAGCGCTAGTACGAGGGGCCCATGCAGCCTGCAGGAAATCCGTACGTCTTGTGTTCAGAGCAGCCCTTATCCAATTATGCATTGATAGAGGAAAGCTGCATGAAAGGCCGCCCTTCCTGCATCCTCGTCCTCAATAGCATTAATCGAATATATGCGGCGGTACTTCAAATTTGCCAACCGCATGCACCGAACGCACAATCAGGGCGCCTATGTGACCTATGCGGTGGTTACCAACCATGGGAGCAAGATCCCTGCCAGCCCACAAGGGCAGCTTGCAAACAAGATGGCAGTTTAGACAGACCCACGGGTCTTTCCTCCCGCTATCCTGCAGTCAGCTCAGCTGTACCTTGCAAGCACGCTCAAGCTCACGCCGCCTCGCGACGTCGCCGACGCCAGCAGCGGCGGTAGCCCCCATACCGCCCCCGCCTCAGCCGGCTGCCAACACACTGCGCTCACAAACTCGCAACCACCGCCACCAGCGCATTTACTCCCCGCAACGGCCCCGCTAGTGTAGCCACCAGCCACCGTGACGCCAGTGGCGGCGGCGCCACCGCGAATGTCAATGGTGGCGGCATCGGCGACAGACCCGTGGGTCGCGTCCGACAGATCCACAGCCGCCAGCGGCGCAGACCAGGAGGTATGGTAGGCGAATGCGCGGCTGCATTCGGAGCCGCACGCCAGCAGCCCCTCCGCAGGCCGCACACTGAGACCCACAAAGTTCTTCTCATTGTGATGTCCGCGGAATACCCGGTAGGGTGTCGTACAAACGGTAGCTGCGGTGGCGTCATTGCCGTACGATGCCGTAGCGACGGCCGAGTCCATCGCCGTCGGCAAATCCCACAACGCAATGGAAGCGTCCGTTGCAGCCGTTACAATTCGGTTAGCGCCGAAGAAGCGGCAGTAACTAGCCGGCCGGCTATGATACCGCAGCGCCGCCAACGGTCCGCCACCCATCCGTCGCATGTCGTACACGTACGCCGTACTATCCGAGCAAGCCGCCGCGAGCAGGTGATCCTGATCCGATGAGAGATCCACGCAGCACACTGACGCACGTGGGTTGGGTTGCAGCGTAACGACGCATTGGGCGAGATCGCGACCCGACCACAGGCGCACGCAACGGTCGTCCGCGGCGGAGGCGACTAGGTGGGGTGTACGGCGACTGTGTACGACGGACCAGATCTTGCGACCTCCGTGCGCCTCCACGTCAGCTAGCTGGTGTCCGGAGGCGAGGTGCAGCTGGGTGAGAACTCCGTCGTAGTCGCCCACCGTGAGAATACCGTCCTGCGGTGGGGGGGACGGGAGGGAGGGGAGGGAGGCGGAGGGATGCGACGGGGTAAGGATGGAGACGTTGGAGGAGTAGGGTGTTGGAGTGGTGCGATGGAGGAATGCGGGCTTGTGCGGAAGTAGATGCATGAGTTCATGGGGCTGGACTTGTGAAAACTAGCGGATAGCTATGAACACAACAGTTGCCGGTTATGGACCGAGGACACGATTGCATTCTGTGCCGTACTCCCATGCACCCCACCTGGAAGGGCGACCAGGCCATGCTGCTGATCTTGGAGGGCATCCGCTGTACGACAACCAATGGAGACATGTCAGCATCTCCGCCGTACGGTTGTACAACGTCATCATAGCCGATGGCGCCATCGCTCCCGCCGCCGCGATCGCCGTTGCTACAGCCTGCAGCCCGTCGCGGCGGCCAGCACGGCAAGTCGCTGCAATGGCTCGCAGGGAACCCTGCCCCGTCAGCACCCCAGGGCACTTCCGCCGGGTCTTCATCCTCCTCCTCCTCCGCCGCCGCCTCGTCTGCCCCGGCGGCTACAAGGGGGTCGATGGGGTCTTCCGACATGTCTCCGAATGCGTCCGCCAGGCTGTAAAGTCTCACCTGAGGGCGGCAGCGGGAAGAGGGACAAGACCACCGGGGAATGAGACAGGGTGCATCGGAGAAGCCTCCGCAGGTCTCAGCTTCCTGGCCTTCCAGCCCTTTAGCCCATGGAGAAGCTGGGCCGCTGTAATGTCGAGAAGCAGTTGGCTCTTGTCATGGAATGCGTGTCCACCACAAGCCCGGCCAGGTCAATGCGGCCCCCCCACCTCTCGCCACTCCCGCCCCCCTTCCCCCCACCTCTCCTGCCCCCCCACACCTGCTTGTCCACGCCCCCAGCCGCCAGCAGCCGCCCATCCGGGGAGAACTCCAGCGCACACACAATACCCGTACCCGCGCCGGACCCGCTGCCGGACCACCTGTGCGTCACACGGCTCCTCCCGCCGCAGCCCCAACTGCCGCCCCCGCTGCCGTCGCCAACACGACGTGCACCTTCCTCCTCCTCCCTTTCCACCTCCTCCCTCCGCTCTGTCACCGTCGACACTCGTGCCGCTGGCTCCTGCCCACAGCGCCCTGCACCGCAAGGCGCCTCTTGCCGTATGGCGGCAGCAGCAGCAGCGGTGGCAGCAACAGCTACAGCAGTAGCTGCCGCAGCAGCCGTACAACTCCCCCCGCTGCCGCCGCTTCCACCGCATGCTGGACCCGTCCCGGGAGCTTCCGCATGCAGCCGCAAGACCTGTTGGAGCTCTGCGGGTGCGGGTTCAGCCCGCTGAGCCCACTCGGGCCGGAAGGACCAGCCGGGCGGGAGCGGTACGTGAGGGGGCTGCGAGTGACGCCGCTGACGCGGATGCTGCTGGGGTTGGCTTGAAGAGGGCGTTTGTCTGCTTATTGCTGCCGCCGATGCTACGGCTGCTTGTAGGGCTGCTGCTGGTAGGTGTATTACGGCGGTTGGTGCTGCTACTGGCAGTCCTTCGGCAGCTGCAACCTGTTCCCCTGGCCCTTGCAGGTGGAGGTGACTTGCGCAGGGGAGACCGCGCATGACGTTGCAGTTGTGTGGCGAGACGGAGCGCGAGCGATGCTGCGGGTTCAGAGCTGTGAAGTCGCGAGCATCCAAAGATGGTGGAACAGTTACAGTGGTGGAGGGCTCTACGGACGCTCCGGTAAAGCCAGTTGATGAGATTGTTGACTTTTGACGCTTCGCACTTGTCACGTCCAGTGCCGTTGGAAGCGTTGAGCTATGCTCTGGGTGTGCACTGAGGATGGAATGGAACGAGTTTCCGTTTAGGCTGCGCTTGCGCAGCAGCGATGTTAATTTACCAGCGTACGCGTTAAGATGGAAGGGGCTGTGCGACCGATATTGACAAAACAAGCAGTCGCTGCTGTCGCAACCTCCAGCTTGCAAACCGTCTCCATTAGGGCCCAAGAGCTCCTACAAACCAGTTTGAATAACAGGGCCTCCATAAATAATGTATGAGGATAGTAAAAGCATTGTAGCCCTACTATAACTTGCAATTTGCCAAGCGTCTGCGAAGTAGCTAGCCACGCAACAGGACAGGAAGAGCTTTATAGGGAGAGCAAGATAGCAGAGGGCCTACCCTCGATATCTGTGTAAGAGCCATGCACAAGTCGTCTCCTTCGCCACGTCTGGAGCACGGAAGGACGTGCATTGCGTGCAAGTCACCGGCCTTCCGGAGTCCTCTTCAACGCTGCTTTCAATAGGCTCGACCGCATGAGCTGGAAGTAGGAAGTGAGCAATGCAAAGGCGTCTCGGCGACGGGGCTATGTGGACGCGTCGACGCGCCAAACGAGTGGCGTAGAAGGTCGTGAGCAAGTGGCAATGTCTACGTTACTATGGCTAAATTTGCGATGCATAAACCTCATATAGTAGTGCAATATGGTGTCGCAACCTTAAGTCAATCTGCAACCCTGTGGTCGTTACCCTGTGTACGGCCTTGCAAGGAATGGTTTGAGGGACGAGGGAGACGCAAAGCAGGTCCACGCCAGGTGGCATACGTAGGCCTGGTGGGTTCTGCCTCTACATCTTTCTTATCATAACCTATTTGTTTTGGAGGTTAGGCCTTCGGAATACTGCTGTCATCAACCAGGGCTATTAGTGCTGCCACTGACCATTTCATAATTTTTATCTTGCACTAAGTATCGTCTCACGCAAACCAACTTTGTTTGCCCTTACTGTGGATATCCTAGGCTTTCCCAACTAGGCGTGAGTAAAGCGTCCTGGCAAAGATCAACCGTTTTGACACTACTAAATAGCTACTACTGCGAATGAATCCGGACGAAGCTTTGGCTAGAATGCTGCAGGTATGCCTGGCTCTGGATAGGGCTGTTGACCTTTCCATATTTTTTTTCAAGTCATTGCGTCTATAAACTTTTGCATACCGGTATTAGGAGATTGCTTATGTGCACGAAAGCGACGGGGCTTTCGCTTTAGTGCCCTTCCATTCCATGCCCCAATGCCACCATCACATCCATTTTTGCGCAGGCCGAGGAGCTCCAGGCGGCCATGACAGGTCAGCTGCGCATCCAGCAGCAGGAGCAGCAACAACAGCTCCGGCACATCCAGGCAAACGTAGATGCCTTCAAGGCCCGCCTGCACGCCATGCTGGAGACGGCGCTTCGGGTAAGCAACATCCCACATCTCCGGGGGCTGTCACCCCCATACACCACTATACCCTAATCTCCCCCCCCCTTTAACAACCCTCCCCACCATGAACAAGCATAGCATATAACGGCAATCTCCACGCCTGCCTCCCTTTCCTGCTCATCCTTCCCTTTCGTGTGCAGATCCCTCCCTATGTCCTTGCTCGTCCCACGGCAACTCTCGTCCTAACCGCTCTGGCCCCAACCCTCCTTTCCTCTCCACCGCACCCCTTCCAACCTCTGTACTATACCCACCCCTCCCTCTCCTCCTCCTCCCCCTGCCATCAGTGTGAGGACCCAGCGCTCCAAGCCCAGGCGCGAGCCGTCATGCCGCTGGAGCGACTGCGCGCCGCCGCCGACCAAACGGCCGCACTGGCGAGCCGACTGGAACGACCGACGTACGACGCGTCAGCCGCCTCCGCCGCCGGCTCCTCTTCCTCGCCCGCCGCTGCTGGTGCTGATGCTGCAGCCAGGCTACAGCAATCGCAGCAGCAACAGCCTGCCCGGGAGGACCAACTGGCACGGGAGTTGCTCGCCTGGTTTAAAACCGAGTTCTTCACCTGGGTCGACACATTGCCCTGCACCGCCTGCGGTAGCTCCTCCACGCGACCCGTGGGTCTCGCCTCGCCGCCGCTGCTTCCCGCCGAGCGATCCGGCCTGGCAACCCGAGTGGAGCTGCATGGGTGTCCGGGTTGCGGCGCCGTACAGCGCTTCCCGCGGTTCAACCACCCCGGGCGGTTGCTGGAGGCGGGATGCCGGCGGGGGCGGTGTGGCGAGTGGGCCAACGCCTTCCTGCTGTGCTGCCGGGCTGCGGGTGAGAGGGAGGGACAGGGACAGGGACAAGGCGGGACAGGGACAGGGACAGGGGCAGGGACTGGGAGGAGACAGGGACAGGAATCCTGCCGCCTCCTATCCCCATTTGCTTTTCCCCTAAACTGTGGCTTCCCGATGCTTTGACGTGTTCTCCTCCTCCCGTCCCCGCCCCTCCCCTCCCTTCCCAGGCCTGACTGCCCGCTACGTGAGTGACTGGTCTGACCACGTGTGGACTGAGTACTACAGCCACCGATTGCGCAGGTGTGTGGGAAGGAGGGGGAAAAATTCCAATGTGTGGAGTGGGGAGGAGCTAGGAGTGGCTTGGGGTGGGAGGGACAATCCACCTAGGGGTGCGTGAGTAAAGAAAGGTCAGCGAGTGAGTCATCTGGACCCAACCCCCAACCACCTTGACCCCAGGTGGGTCCACCTGGACGCCTGTGAGGCCAGCTACGACCAACCGCTGCTGTACGAGGGCGGTTGGGGCAAACAGGTGTCGTACGTGGTGGCGGCGGGAGCGACGGGGGTTGCTGACGTCTCGCAGCGATACACGGCACGGTGGGCTGAGGTGGTTGGCCGCCGTACGCTGGTTCCAGAGCGGTGGTTGGAACGGCAGTTGGACGAGATGACGTCAGCGCGGCGAGTGGGCTGGTCGGCGCCACGTCGGCTGGTGTGGCTGGGACGCGACGCGGAGGAGCGCGTGGTGAGGGGCGCGGAGCGGGGCTGCAGGGGGGCGGCGGCGGGGCGGGTTGGATGCTGCGGGTTGGGGATGTGTCGTGCTTGGTGACGATGGGCAGGGATTTTTGGATCAGTACCTGGTGGAGGAAGAGGGAGTCTGTAGGATTACTTCTCTTCGTGGAGTAGTAATGGAATCCCGGTTACGGCGGATAGGGGCTTTGCTGGCCCACATCGCCGCATGCGGGTGTTCATGGCTGTTTGTTGCCGTTCCTCACGGCTCCACCTTACCATGATGCGTTGGCAGGTTGGCAGACTGTTGTGCTGATATCCACTCTGGTGTGCATCTCTGTATCTGTTGCATCAAACCGCAGGAGTTGGCGCGGCTGCGGGCGGGTCAGCGACCCGTGGGTCAGCAGCCGCAGCAGGCGCTGCCGGGGCGCCAGACGGGCTCACTGGCCTGGCGGCAGGAGCGCGGAGAGACGGGTGCGTTCGAGTGAAGCAAACGGTCTTAGTACATGCACACTTTAACGAGAGGTTTAGGCTTTTCCCTTTCAATCCATATCCTCTTCCTCCTTTTCCTGCTCACCCCCCCAGGTACTGCCGCCGCCCCTGCTGCCCCCAGCAGCCGCCCCCGAGCCCCTCTGTCGTACCGCCTCGCCCCTGACGGCCCCGACCGGCTGCCCCACGTGTTCGCCGCCGCGGGGAGGCTGTACGGCGGTGCATGTACGGCAGCGGGGCACAACGAGACGCAGGAGGTGGTGGAGAAGCTGTTTGACGGTGGGTGGGTGTTGTGCCCTCCTCCTGCTGTGTCCTAGTAGTACCTAGTGTTGCAGGAGTGTGGTGTCCCATTGTGCCTTGTGCCCCTGCGCTGCCTTGACCCGGCCTTCTTGTCCGGCTCTTCCCCGGCCAGGTCGCGTGTCCACCAAGTGGCTTGACTTCGGTGGCGGCGGTGCGGGTGGCTGCTCGTGGGTGGAGTACCGCATACCCCTCGACATGCCGGTGAGGGGTGGGCGGAGTCTATTGCTGCGGCGCAGTGAGCGCACCGCACTGCCGTATAAAGGCGCCGAACCCGCACATGTTCAGATGTGCATACGCGTCGATTTACTGCATTGTTTCGCCTCCCAACCGCGACGCGAGCTAATCATTCCCTCCTTCAACCCCCTTCCCCCCCCGCTCCCCTTTCTCCCACACCCACTCCCAGCCCGTGTGTCTGAGCAGCTACGAGCTTGTGTCGGCAAACGACTGCCCCGAGCGTGACCCCGCCGACTGGCGACTGGAGGGCGTCACGGAGGCGGACTTCGCCGCGGGTCGCACCAGCAGCTGGACGCTGCTGGACTGCCGCAGCGGTGTGCGCTTCCCGGCTCGCCAGGCGGCCCTGGCGTTCGCATGCCGCACGATGCGGGGTGCAGGGGAGGGGGAGGGGCTCTGTGATGAGAGCGGGGGCAGCGGGGGCGATGGTGATGGTGATGGTGGTCGTGTAGGTGACAGGTCGCCTCCTCCTGCGGATGGGGAAGGGTGTGCGGCAGGGGAGGGGTGTGCGGCAGGGGAAGGGTGTGCGAGCGTTTGCAGTTCCACGCCTCCCGCGTTCCGGCGGCTGCGACTGAGCATCACTGCGACGGCTGACCCCGCGGCCGCCAACAGTGTGCAGCTGGCTTGCTGGAACCTGTACGGCAGGGCTGTTGCTGCTACTGCTGCTGCCGCCGCGGAGTCTTCCTCCTCCTTTGATGACGGGCAGCAGGTGTTGCAGCGGCTGAAGGCTGCGGTGTCTGCAGGTGCTGCTGCTGCTGCTGCTTCTGACGGGGCTAAGAAGGAGGCTGCTGCTGGAGTCGTTGCTGGTGCGGCTAATATGGCTGATGCGGAGGGGGTGCAGCCGGCTGCGTTGGCGCTGCTGGTGCGGCTGCTGGGCAACGTGGTGCGGGAGCCCGGGGAGGCGAAGTTCCGCAAGGTAGGGGGGGGGGCTGGAACTTGGAACTTCGCTCTTTCGTTTAGTCCAACCGAATCAATCAATAGACAGACACATGCACCCTGCACCAGTCCTGCTCCGCCTCAATCTAGACAATCTAGCGGGGCCGGGCTGGGGCAGGCGCCCTTCGTGCTGTGTGTGCTCGCCATGCATGCAAGTTACAGCATGCATGGCGTTCCTCACAGTTACGGCTACCAACTAAATGAATGACTCACTACTGCGCCGGGTCGCTTGCCAAACCTCGTGCCCCCACCCTGCCCCCCTCGCCCTCCCCAGGTCCGCTGCAGCAAGGTGGGCCCCCTGTTGCGCAGTCCGCTGCTGTCGGAGCTGCTGCTGCGGTACCTGCGCTTCAGGCCGCTCATCGCACCCGCTCCTGCTCCTGCTGCTGCTTCCCCTGCTCCTGCTGCTGCTTCGCCTTCACAGTCGCAGACACCCGCTGTCGCTTACCCTGCTGCTGCTGCTGCTGCTGCACTCACCGCAGCTCCCGGGGTGCCTGCTGGGGAGGATGTGTTTCTGGTGCTGGCGGGGGACGCGAGCGGAGAGGAGATCAGGCGGGTGGAGCGAGTGTTGGCACTGCTGGGGCCGCAGCAGTAGCGGCAGCAGTAATACGGTAGCTTGAGTAGTACTTCGGGAAGTTAAGCTCGGGAATGGCAAGGTTTGGGTGGTAGGGATGGTGGCTGGGAGGTGGTGGTGGTTTCGGGGGGAGAGGGAGAGGTGTACTGCGCGCAGGGGTGATGAGAGAGACCCGCAGGGGGGGTAAGATCCAAGGGCAAAGTAAGGGCGGTCGGCTGTGACTGGGACGGAGTTATAAGGCAAGCCGGGATGTGGGCGCGCGGATTTTGGTTGCACATAACTGTTCGATGCATGTGGTGAGGTGCGAGTGATGTGCGGTGGGCGCAGCGGGAGAGGCTGTTGCTGGGTCAGGCGCAACGAGCGGGCAGTGACACAGGACACGGACCAGTGCGTGGTGATGAGACGGACAATCGCTGGCATTCGTTATTGCATTGGTTTTAGGACCATTGTAAACCTCAGCTGCCAGCTTACAATCAGCTACAAGCACTGAACTATACAATGTGCAAAGTGGCTGTCGGAGGTTGAGGTTTGGGGCTGTAGGAGGTCTGCTGCCGTCGCGACATGGCGTACGCTTCAGCGCTCTAATTTCTGTGCTTTCCGAGAGCGGGAACATACAAATCAGTAACCGGCAGCACAGTAGCTGTTTTACCACAAATATACAACCTACCTTTTACATCCGCGCATTGCCTACAGGTCGGCGACTTAAGCCGGCCGTTGCCCCGCAACATCCCTGGTGCCAAGACCGTGCCGGAAAGCCGTTCCTGTAATTTAATACTTTGTAACATTACCAACATATACTGAAAGAAAGCTCGATAGCTCCTTCCCGTCCTGCTGGCCCTCGTCCGCAAACAGTAGCTACCTGTCACCAACTCCCGCAAACCACCAACACCGCAAAACATCTCCAAATGGAATATCGCTGCATCCAAGCCCCAGCAAACACTGTCAAACATCGCCTTCCTGTCCATCACGGCTTCCATTATCTTCACTCCAAGCGGCAGGCTGGCCTCGCGCTGCTCCCTCGGAAGCTACCGGCGACGCCTTTCGTCCACGCATTGCCGTCGCCGTTGTCGTCCACATCCCCAAGCAAAGCCGCCCCTCACACAGCAGCCTCCTCCTCGTCAATCCACGACCTCTCCCCAGGGGGCGCATCGATCCACAACGGGTCGCCTCGTCAGGGTCCTAACAACCCACGTACGGCCTGCAAGGCGACGCTAATGCTAAGTCCCAGTAGTGGCACCACCGAAGCGCCGGAAGCCACCCTAACTGCCTCTTCCGCCTGGAATAGCATTACCACCCCGCTTGGTGCCACCCAACGGCCATCAGCTGCATCATCATCATCAGCAGCAGCAGATCCTAGCACTCCTGCTACATCCGGCCCAACTGCTGCCGGCCGCCCGCTTGCAACTGCTTCAACCGCGGCTGCTCCAAACGCAGCCGCCGCAGCAGCAGCTGCAGCAGTGGATCAGGTGGATGTGGCGGTGGTGGGTGCTGGAGTGGCGGGGCTGGCGGCGGCACTAGCGGTGGCGCGGGCACAGCCGGGAGCACGTGTCAGGGTACGACAGGGGTTCGGGGAGTTCGGGTGGGGCGGGGTGCGAGGTAGGTGTAAACATGTGGGCAGTGCTGGGCCTTTCACGGGGCCTGAGCAGCAGCTTCGTTTTATGTGGGCCTTGGGGCTTTCATGACCGGCCACACAAGAGCCACCGAGCATGCAAGTTGGGTACCGCGAGTAAGACAGCACAGGGCTTGCATAGTGGTTTGCCCGACGCTGCGCACATGTCCGACATGCACATGTGGGAAGTACGGCAACCCTCCTTTCCCGTACGTACTTCCCCCCAGCTGTACGACAGCGCTGCCAAGCCGCCGGCAGCTCCAAGGGGTGGCGGCGCGCTGCTAACTGTCAACGGTCTCCGAGCTCTGCGAACCCTGGCACCCGATGTGTACGGCAGGTAAGGTGGCTCTGCCTCCCTCGTCGGAAAGCAACAACTGTTGAAGCACTGCTTGCCTGTCCCTTCCGCGCTGGTAATGAGCCTTGCCATGAAACCTTCGCAGCAGCCCCAATGCGTTCGTATCTCACACATGCATGCGCTCATGCTAAGCTATCCATGCACTTGTTGTTGTAAGTTCGCGGTTCAGCACAAGGCCTCTGTTGTGTGTTATTTGTAAACCGCAGGCTGGTTTCGGAGCTGGGCCGTCCGCTGCATGAAGCGCTGTGGTTCGACTTGCAGGTGGGTGTTGCAGGATGAGATATGCGCTGCCGTTTAATCGGTATTGTTTAAGTGGCTGCTATCAGCAGTGACCCCGGTTGCACGCTGCCGTGTACACGGCACATCCATTCCAGTTGCCCCATGTGTACAACTGTGTTATGTACGGCTTTTGCTGTTTGCTGCTTGACCGCAGGGCGAGCTGGTCCGGCGCGCTCCGCTGGGCCGACCCAACCTGCTGTTCGGGGCATCAAGAGCGGCATCCAGCAGACTGCGCAGGCTCGGCAGTGCCACGGCCAAGGCATCAAGCGCGTCTCGAGCTGCTATTGCTGCCCCCTCCACCTCCTCCTCCTCCGCCTCCTCCTCCTCCGCTGGTCTGATGCACGACTGCTGCAGCCCAGAGCCCGACCCCGCCGCCCCGCCCCTCATGGTGGGGTTGCATGAGCTGTCGGAGGCGCTGGCGGAGGCGCTACCTCCAGGTGGGGGCTGGTGGGGGGAGGGAGGGAGGTGGTTTCGGAGCCCGGGTGTGGATGATAGGGGGTATGCGGTCATGGCACAGGCCTAAGCCCTCTCATTGCCTTGTCATAGATTGTGTCTTAATGTATACCCGTCCCTGTCGGTCTGCGCCTGCTTCTTTCCGACGACAGAGGTGGAGATCTTCGGAGGCCACCAGGTGTGTGCAGTGGAGGAGCGCTGCACCACCGGAGGTGCAGGTACCGGTATGCTGCTGCACTTCGCGGGCGGCAGCAGCGGCAGCAGCAGTCCCCATGCAAGAGGTCGGCCGCCCCCGCGTTCCGTGCGAGCTGGGCTGGTGGTGGTGGCGGACGGGCCCTCCTCGGCGGTCAAGGGGCTGCTGGTGGGTGGGTGGTGTGGCATCGGGGGGGGGGGAACTCCGGTGGGCGGGTGAACTAGGGTGCATGGTGCATGCGTGAACATCTGTGTATGGTGGGTGAACATCTGGGTATGGTGGGTGAACAGCTGTGTATGGTGGGTGAACTGCTGTGTATGATGGGTGAACAGCTGTGTATGGTGGGTGAACAGCTGTGTATGGTGGGTGAACTACATACCGGTGGTTGCTATTATGTCTACATGTGGCGGTTCACGCGCACGTTACTGACGCAACGTACGCTAGTGTGTATGCGGGTTCCTGGTGTTGCTGCCGGGGTACTTGGCAGGGACTGTTGTGTTTTCAGCAGAACAGAACTACCGGTACTCGAACTGCATGCATTTGTGCAAGGTTGCTGTGCCGGAGATGGATACGGTACACATCACGTTATTCTCCTTCTTTCTGCATCCAGCTGCCTCTCTTACCTAAGATATCTCATCTCCAACCTCATCCCTGCCATTTCCTCCCCGCCTGCCCTCTCTGCAGTTCAACGGAGCACCTTCATCTTTATCATCTTCCTCCTTTACCGCAGCAGCTGCTGCCTCCGTCTCGGACGACTCCCCCCAGCAGCCACCACCGTCAACCCGGCGGCAACCCCCAAGCGGCCGAACCGTATGGCATGGCCGCTTCACGCTCCGCCCCCGCGACCCAGACTTCGCCCGACTACGCAACTTCACCACCGCCAGCCGAACCTGGGTGGACCTCAGGGCACCTGCGGGCGGCGAGCAGCGCACCGCGACGCTGTGTCCCGTGGGTCACAACACCTACGTGTGGACCGCGAGCTGTCCCACGGGTCACTTGGCCAGCAGGGGGCTGATGCCGCCGCAACTGGGAGGCAGTAATGAGAAAACAGCAGGAACGGCGACGGAGGGGGCCGCCGGGGCTGCTTTGCCGTACTGGCGCTGCATGGCTATGTTTGAGGACTTTCCTCAGGAGTTGTTTGCCGTACTCCGGGCTACCCCCGCCGCTGCCGTTACGGAGCATTCGTCGACTGTACGGCAGCCGACATCGAGTGAGGCGACGGGCCTAATGGCGCCGTGGCAATGGGCCGCTGGCGGCGCGGCGGCGCTTGTCGGCGAGGCAGTGTACGACGGATTGCCCGCTGACGACGTCGCCAGTACGGCAGTTAATTTAGGGCTGGAGGATGCTGCCGTACTGGGCGCCTGCATGGCGCAGTACGGCACACTGGCTCCGTCGTCGTCAGTGACGGCGGTGGCGACGTCTACGTCAGTGGCGGCGGCGGAGTTGCCGAGTCAGCACCGAGCGTTACAGGAGTACGCGAGGGTACGTGGCCCACGGGTCAGTAGCTTTCTGGCGGCGCCGCCGTTGGCGCGAGAGCGAGTGAGGCTGCGAAACGAGCCGTTCATGGGCTCGCTGGCGGCGGCGGCGCCGCGCGGAATGCAGGAGGATGCAAAGCGAGCGACGGAGCAGACGGCGGCAGCGGCGCCGTCAGCAGTACCAGTAATGGCTTCAACGCACATGCCTCCTATCCACTTCAGCCGTCCCTCCGGCGGCGCCGCCCGGGTTGCGGCTTCTGGTGTCGGCTCCGCACCGGCGTCTGCCGTACACGTCCCCTCTGGTCCGGCGTCATTGCTCTTCAGCCGGCCCTCCTCCGGCGCCCGCCGCTTGGGACCTGCCGTACCCTTCGCTGCCGGTCCTGTTGCTACGCTGCGTTCCGTCGTCGAGGGTGGCCCGCCGCCGCCGTCCCAGGCACTTGAAACAACATGGCTGGCTGCGGCCGTATCGGATGCGGCCGGTACTGCGGGAAGTGCGGCAGTCTGCCGGCGGTACCTGGCAACGGAATCGCCGGCTCGTGTGTGGGCAGCGCTGCTTGGGGGCTGCAGCGCCAATGCAACCACCACCACTTCCAGCTCTCCAGAAGGAGGCTTCACCCAGTGCAGTGAGCAGGGTGCGGCTGCTGCTGCTGCTGCTGCTCCCTCCACCCATGGAAGACTCACTCCGCCTTCTGCCGAGAACGCTGCCCAAACAGAGTGTGTTCGCAGCGTGCAGAGCTCAGCTGAGGACGCAGCCGCAGCTCGGCAGCAAGACATTACAGCAGTTCGCGATAACGTGGGCAGCTCATCAGTGCTGCCCACTAAGCACCGCCGCGCAGCTGCAGGCGGTAAGGTCCGCATCAACAGAAGGCCGAAACGCACCCTAACCGCTGCTACTGTGAAGGCGGTGCCAGGCAGCCGCCGGGGCCCTCCCAGCCAGGCTGTTGCTCCGGCTACAGCGGCAACAGCCGCAGCCTCCATGTCACATCACATGGCTGGTATGTCTCACCACATGGCTGGCATGCAGGGCGCTGTGACGCGGTTTTGGGATGATCTGGAGCGACTGAGCAGCAGCCCGCTGTCGTCCGTGGGGAGTCTGTCTAGCTGGGACGTTTAGGAGCGGACTTTCAATTTTGAGGACGTTTCTCAAGGAAACGCAAAGTGACGGATGCGGGTATGCGGAGGTATGCGTGCCTCCGCACGCATTTTAGGTGTGTGATGCGCGTCAAGGCGCCTCACTTCTGGGTTCGTGAAGGCTCTTTGATTGTGTGAGGTTGACTCTTAACTTGCCCGTTTTGTGCCTCCTGACGCCCTTGGATTGGAGGCTGAGTGACCGGCAGTGCTGTGAGAGGAGGTGTGGGCTGTAAGGGGCACATGGGAGGTCTAGAAACCGTTGCGGGTTGTAGCAGGCTACCGGTAGCAGCTAAACGCCAAGGGGCATGTATGTGTATCCGTGTCAGCTCACTGCGTGCTCGGCTGTGAAAGCGGTTCATTGGTTCATCCTCTCCGCATGTCACTGTGCAATACACCCGCCCAGGTTTTGCACACAGCAAGGACGAAACATGTGTTGGGCCATTGTAGGCCTGTACCCGGTACAACTGCAACGCGGAGCGATGCATTCCATCTTGGATTAAATAGTTCAGTACGTGGACCGTACGTTTCTGCTGTAAGCCGTACATGCGACATCACATTGCACCCTGCTTACCGGTACTTCACCGCCGTCTATAAGTTCTTGAACACCAGCTCATCCGCTTCAATCCAGCACAAAACCTAAACCACCCGCTGTCACTCTGAAACCGCTGGACCCACGGGTCGCCAACGAATTGGGCACCCACCGCCTCTCCAGCCCCAAACACATTGTCCCCGACCTCCCACACTCACACCATCGGGGTCCCCTACTACCAGGGGGCGAGTACCCGCAAGGTTACTACCCTACTCTACCACCACCGAGCCGCTGACCGTCGCTGCTAAAAACCTATGTGTCTACTTAGCTATACCACCTAATGCGCTTTACGACTCTTAACCCCCCCCAGTGCTTCCGAAAGCCCCCCAGCCCCCACCCCTAGGCAGCCTTTCACGACGTCGTGCCGCAGGATGTCACGGGCGCAACGAGCGGCGCTGCCACACCCACGTCCCTTCACTCCTCCTCCGCTGCACCCCCGCCAACCAGTGTCAGGAACTTGCCATCAATGGCCAGCCCGCTGTTGCTCTTCCGGATCTGCGGCGGCAGACAGACAAGCCGGAGGGGTTATAAGGGGACGGAGAAGGGGTCGGAGTTGTGAGCGCGTGACAAGCACATAGACAGCAGCATCACAGTCTAATCAGCGAAGGTGTATATCCACAGGGGAAAAGACGAGATGCACTCATGCATGCATGCACCTAGAGCCACCTTACAGCCCAGCCCAGCGCACCTTCCGCTCCAACACCTCCTGCACGAACTCCAGATTCCAGGGACTCTCCGCCACCACTGCTGCTGCCGTCGCCTCGGCTCCTGCAGCTGGTGCAGCGACACCTGCCTCAGCAGCCTCCGATTCGCCGTTCTTCCCCTTCTTTGACTTCTTACTCTTCTTCTTGCTGCCTTCTTCCGCTGCCTCAGACTGCTGCTGCTCCTGCAGGTGCCGATGGTGGTGTTGTTTGTGTTTGTGGTGGTGTCGGCGGTGCTCCTCCTCCGCGTGCGCCAGCAGCTCGGCCACCACTCGCCGCAGCTTCACACGCCGATCGGAGGACTGCGCCGAGGGGCCGGGGGGGGGGGGGAGGAGAGGGAGAGTGGAGGGGGGCAGGGAGGAGGGAGGAAGGGAACATGGGACACGAGGCAACGGCAACGGCAGCAGCAGCAGCAGCAGGAGGAGGGGCTCTCAAAAGCTTAAACAGCGGTTTTCCACCACTTCCTCGCCATTGTAATCGCCATCAGCAGGCTACCCCACCTCACCCCTCCCACAACCCCCACAGCGCACCTTCTTAAGGACCATGCGCGCCAGCTTGAGCCACTTGGGCTGCGGAGCGGGGGGCACCTCCGCGGCTGTCGTGTTGGTGGTTGCGGTGGTGGTTGCGGCCACAACGGTTTCCACATCTGGCTGCTGCTGAGGCTGCTGCACGCCCTCACCGCCGTCCTCACTTCTCCGCTTCTTGCTCTTCTTGTCCTTCTTGTCTTTCTTATCCTTCTTTGACTTGTCGCCATCTTTCCCCGACTGCACCTCGCCGCCTGCTTGCTGTTCCCCACCGTCCTCCTCCGCCACCTCCTCTCTCCGTGCCTTCTTCGCCTTCCGCTCCTCCTCCTTATCACCCCTGCTCTTCTTTTTCTTCTTCTCCTTCTTCCCTGCCTCTGCCACTTCCTGCTCCTCCTCCTCCTCGGCATCCGCCCCGACCCCAGCCTGCACCCCGCCCTGCTCCTCCTCCTCTTCCTCCTCTTCGTCTTCCCCAAACGTCTTCTTGGTCCCCTCCCACTTGGCGCCCCCGACCTTCAGCTCGCCCTTGCCCAGACCCCGCCGACCTACTCGTTGGAACTCGTGGGCCTGAGGGACGGGAGGGGCGGGCAGAAGAGGGGAAGAGGAAGCGGGGAACGCACCGGAGTGAGGGCGGGTGCAAGGTAAGGACTACCTTTAGCACAGGGAATCGCAGGCGGCATGACGAAAACCTAACGCAGCATCTACCCCGTACACTCTACATGTGCCGTTACCGGTACCGTTCACCTTACCTCACCCCATTCCCATCCCATTCCGCTTCACCCCTACCCCGCTCTCTCACCCGCTTATACAGCGCCGCCTGATCATCCTCGTTGAAGCCCTTCCGCTGACCCGCCGCCACCGCCGCTGCGCCGCCCAGTGCCGCGCGCGTCGGATCCGCCGCCGCCTCCGCCGCCTGTCGCGCCGCCGCGTCTGCCAGTCGCTGCTCGCCCGCCGCTTCGTCTTCCATGCTCTCCAGCAGCCCCGCACTCGCAAACATCTTGGCACCCCACCAACCGGTGGCGGGAGTGGGCGTGAAGGAGGCGAACTGGGGGGCCGGGAGGGGAGGGGACGGGAGGACGGTGGGAGTGAGAGGGCGGGGAAGGAAGAGGGGTTGCGTAAGGCAGAGCATGACGTCGTGTCAGTTCAGGAGGCAGAAGTAGGCGCGCTAAACGCGACTGCCCCAGCGACACAATGCATCCTCCCTCCCGACCCGCCCCAGCCCCTTCTCACCATCCGGGCGCGAGCGGCCGCCGCTGCCTCGCTTCCCAGCACCACCACAATACGCTTCTTGGGCGCCTGGGGTGGAGGAGCACCCTGCTCTTCCTGCCCCGCTTTCCTCCCTTCCTCCTCCTCCTCCCCTTCCTTGCCCTTCTTCCTGTCCTTCTTCTTCTCCTTCTTGCTCTTCTCCGCAGCAGCAGCGCCCTTCCGTTTCCCTCGCTGCTGCTTCTTCCCCGCCTCCTCTGCACCCCTGCCGCTGGTGCTGGGCCCCTCACCCTCACTATCACTGCTACTTTCACTGCAGCTGTCACTGCTGCTGTCACTGCTGCTGCTATCCGAGTCCCCAGCAGGCGGCGGCTGTACCACCGGCAGCGGCGGCAGCCCCAGCTTGGCTCGAGCGCGGTTCGCCTCCTCCTGCTCCTGCGCCCGAATGCGCGCCATCTTGCCCGCTCGACCCCCCCACCGGCCCCACGGGTCCTTGGCTAGCTCAGCAGCAATTCGGAGCTCCGCAGCACTCGCACTCGCCAGCGTGCCGTCACGGTTGGTGACGGCGGTTGAGACTCCGACTGGGGCAGAAGCAGCAGCGGCGGCAGCAGGTGGGGCGCCCCTGCGGGCCCGCTTGCCACGGCGCCGGTCGCCACTGTCGCTATCACTGTCGCTGCTGCTGCTGCTGTCGCTGTTACTACTGCTGTCGCTGCTGGTTTCCTGGGAGTGGGAAGATACGATTGGGATTGGGATTGGAGGGAGGTCAGCAAAGGGGCGTGACAGCTGAGGGACACTGGAAGCCACACATGCGGATGCGTGCCAGCATGCACTTGCAGGCGGCACATGCACCCATGACGTACACCCAGCATGCATGCACCCATGGGCGTCACTGCAGCCCGTGTGTGTGCACGGTATGATGTATGGGTTCAACTGAGCACACACGCGACCCCAGGCCAGTTGCGTTAACACAGCTAAACACATGACAGCTGACCACCGCCCCCACACACAGGCACACGCACATGGTTGATGTTTTGGATGGCAGAGTTGTAGGCGTCCTCCCAATACTTGCGGTCCCAGTTCCAAGCGGCATTGGCACCGACCTGCGGAACAGCACAGCAGCAGCAGCAGCCTAGGTAAAGAGGAGCGGGAGGTGGTTGTGTAACATGGGGGATGCGTGTTTTCACATCTGGCAGGCCGGACATCCATCTTTCCCAACTTCCTAGGGGGGATTGGGCCCAGCCCATGTGAGGTACATACGCTACCGCAGCAATGGTGTGCGCGGGCCAAGCATTACGAAGGTCTTAGCCGTCGAGCGCAGGAACGCAGGCGAAAGAAGGGCCTAACCTTGCTTTGTATGATTACAAGCCAATTCTGCGTTTGTCGGCGCTTTTTGGGGCTCCGGCGCGAGTTATCGGCGGCTAATGGCGGCGGGCATGGTAGTTGGCGCCGGAAAAAACAATACACGGCCTTACCCCGAGGGTATCCTCCTTCTTCTTGACTTCAATGGCCTCCTTCATCCCATGCTTTTCCTTCCCCAGGCCTTGACCCTTGCTCCAACCCATATTCTCCATGAGGCGCTGTCCCAAGCCGCCAAAACCTGTCGCCTTGTGGACACCCACACCGGCGACGTATCCTGGCGGTAACTTCATCTTTCGGTATTCTTAGCCAATGCTCTGATGAGTGATGGGAAGAACAACCCTTGGCTTTGGTCCGGTCTAGACGTTCAATGTTTCTAAGACTATTACTTTTCAGTTACGCTGTGCAAGACACGGGCGAAGGTTGCGTTTCACGGCTCTCAGCTTAAAAAGGGAATATTAAGGGTATGCCAGCATCAGCTGTCAATGGCTGAAAACCAATTCGTTGTACACACTTGCATAAACAATGGATAAAGACGGATAGCCGGCCATACAGCCAGCATCCGCCGTTCTGCATGGGGGCGTCGTGAACACGGCTGTCGTGACAGCCCGTCTCCCATCGCCCACTCTTTGTGCCAGCACATTGTTCGATTTTATTCGTTTTTAAGACGAGGTGCACACGATGCAGATGACAAGGTGTTCATCCTGGGCTCAGCAATCGCCCAGGGCTGACTGCTGCGCGTTGTGCCCTCGTCCACGGCGATCGCTGAAACTGCATTGTGCGCTCTCGCTTGAAAGACCAAATGACAATATAAAGCGCAAGAACAAGCCTAATGCACCTGCGGCTGCGGCGACACTCGTGGTAGAACCTCTCACGACCCGCGTGAGCGAAGACGAGCAGACTGCATATGATGCGGGCTTCCAGGCAAGTACTCCAATAAGTGGTATCATGTTAAGCTGTATTTCCCTGGGATATTAAGGGCGTTATCTTGGGATAGAACGCAGGCCTTTGCTTGCTGCCTGTTTGTCTATCACCAGTTGTGTGAGACTTGTGCTTTATTTGTCCTTTCACAGGCTGGACTAGCAGCAGCGGCCCGGCAATCCCAGGAAAAGGTAATAGGTGAAAGGAGGGTTCATGCTGGTTCACATAGGATGGGCCTGTAGGAAAGGTGGCGGTAGCAACGTTTTATGTGCGCGGTCTGAACGTCTAGGCTCTTCACAAACCTAATCGTACGTATGCTGGACTTGCTTGCGGCAGGCCCGGCCTGTGCACGACTCCTTGATGCGGAGTATCGTCAAGGCGTTCTCCTGGCGCTTCTTCTCCACGGCTACAACAATCGCCCTCGCGATGACATTCTTCCATGCTTCGGTGAGCTCGAGCAGGGTCTGGGAATAGGGGTACTTTTATCGCCAGCCTATCCTACGTGCCTTTACAAAAGCATGGTTTAGCCCCTTCCGTCACGTGCAGTACCGGGGGCAGAGCATGCTGTTGCGCCTTTGTTGGAAAGGGAACAGTTGCCCGCCAACAGGATAGCAGAGAACCCTGTCCATTAACAGCCCTCTTGGCGGTTTCGCTGCACCTCCAATCTCCCTCTCCCATGCGACAAACCCATGCAGGCCAACGGCCAGCTCTCCGCGCCATATCTCATGTCATGGACTGTCGCCCAACACTGTTCCCTCACCAAGTCACCCTGCTACCCTGATCCGCACTCCTTTTGACCTCCCGCCCGCTGCTCCTCTCGCAGCTCGATACAGCACTTGAGATGGGGGCGGCGGAGTTCGTCTCCAAGTACGTCCTCTACCTCATTCACGAGCGGCTCTGGATCCTGGTAACCATGTTCTAAGCACAGCAGCACGGGACAGCAGCGGACGCCTCTGCACTCTCCCACCTCCACGTTCGCTGGCTTGCTTGTTCGCTTACTTGTGGAGCCGTTTTCCGTACGTATCGTACAAGGCAGCACTACTGTGGACGGACCGGAGGCTGCAGGGAGGGGCAGCGTGAGCGGGGAGGAGCAGCCGTACAGAGGTGGGGGAGAGCTGGATGGAAGCAGGAGGGGGGTACGGTCCGGGACTGACGGGGACATTGCAGCCTAGTCAGGCATGGAGATTAGTGATGCGCTCAGCAGGTCGCAGCACCTCTGCTTCGGACCCTCACTTGGTGTGGGGCGCAAGGCTGTGCGCGTTGTGACATTCCTTGGACTCGCTCTTGGTTGATTGCAAGTAGGAGCAGCGATTGAGGGTTCAAACGATTGTGCAGCAGATGTGTGAGGGTTTAGGAAACTCAGAGCGACAGCTAGTGTTGTCCTGTTGGGGTTTGGGTTGGGGTTTGGGTGCATATAAAGGGATGGGCTGGCTGGGGGATCAAGGGCTAGCTTGCCATCTGTTCGGCGTTGGGCTGGGAGATGCGGGCTGGGAACCGGTCACAGACTGCATGCGACTCGTTAGGGAAGGGTAGACGCGCTTATCTAGTACAGGAATATGAAAACGGCGATGTTTATGGAGTGAGGACAGTCGGAGGGAGGAGGGCTTTTACTGTTTTGCACAGGCCATGAGATCTCTTTACGCAATATGGCTTTGCATGGATCTTCAATTTGTCGGGTGCAGCGGAATGCCCGCATGCAATGATGGCAGCGGGGCAGCTCGTTTCAATGCGGCATGGAGGCATGTCCATGATTTACCAAGTTTTTCATGCACGAACGGGCCGCACTAGTGCGGCTGTCATCCTGGATGTTGTTGTTGTACTACCTGTTGTGTTGGTTTCGGTCGCTGTCGTGCTTTAACAAGATGTTAACAGAGAGAGTTAATGAGAGGGATGCGAGTAAACGTCCTGGCACTAGACCCTGCAAGACCAGGCTTTTTACAAGTTAACGACGAGTATTGCTATTTCATGGGTTTGCTTGAGCGCGGATGCTTTCGCATGTTTGCTGATCCGGGGATAAGAGCGTAGCGTTGTGTGTTGAGCTCCGAGGTTGTCCCGCGTATCCCAAGCAAAAAGAGGTATTGCCTTCGTGCCTGCAAGCCAAGAGAAACACCTCAGAGCTGGGTGACCGACCTGGCCTAACCAGACGATGTTGGATCGCGAGTTGCAGTTATATTGTTAGTACCTGTAGTCCTTGGAAATTGCGCTTTGTATGATGACGATGATGGTGGTGGTGGTGTGAATGTCAAGGTGGCAGTTGATCAATCAGTTGTTGTTGGAACGCTGGTGGCCTAGGTTACCTGCAAGTTGGAGCGTCCAGCGTTTGCCTAGAGCGCTTGCGAGCTGTTCTTAGGACGCTGGGTGGTGCCGTGGCGGTTTGAGTCTTACTAATGGGTTACACGCCAGATGTCTTTGGTGCGTAAATAGTAGGACATCCATGCCGTACGCAGCAAACAACAACTCACATATCCCCATGTCACGGCCAACTCACATCCTCGTTAGCGATATGGCGTGTGGGGGTGGGTGTGGTGCGTGCCTCCTTTTATAAGCAGTGTCGGCGCTACCGGTTATTGGAGTTCAAGAGGATGGGGTTGGGAGGCCCGTGGAGAGCTGGGGGAAACGAACGAGAGGGGCGGGACGCGAGAGCCATGCACCCTATACCCTGGTGCCGATGGCTGCATGTTGGGAGGTATTGGAGCGGCTTTTCAGGCGCTGCTGTTAAGGCTGGCAGTGGCTATATGGTGATAAGCCCGTTACATGATTCACTGGTTGGTGCGCAAATCCAACGGGTCAGGGCGCCCTGCCACCGACTGTATCGCACATGGATAGACCTGCAGTGAACAGCACGACAACCTGGATCTGTAACCAGACCGTGCGCTTGCGACCAGTCCAGTCCACTGCTGCAGCTATTCCGCTTGTCATCAATCAAGTTGCCGCAATGGTTGGCTTTCCCTCCGAATGGCGTACAGGATATCTTTCCTCATGGTAGTTAGACTTGAATCCACCTTAGCCATTACCGTACTCTAAAATGTTGAAGGAGTCGTATTATACTTTACACCCATGCTACCTCAGGAGCAACGCGATAGACGCTGTAAACCGTCAAGCTTGCTTGCCGCTTGCCGCCTGATGTGCGAGACCAGCGAAACCAGCTGGAGCATTGGACATTCTGCTTATTCAGCAAAGGGTTTATCATTTCGGAAATACATTAATGTATACTAGTCATTATAAGATGTATTGGGAGGGAGAAGGAAAGTTATAGAGCCCTCGTCGCGTTGCCATTTATCGCGCAAGGCGCGCCATAGCATTCAATCCCAACCGGTGATAGCTAATTTGATTGAACACGTATTTATAGACGGGAATTTATGCCATCAAGAAGCATATGGCCGCCTCGGTGAGGGCATCGACCCTGCTTGGCTGTCTACCATTCGTCGTTGACACATGGACCGAGCGGAGCAACGCAAGCGGCAAACCGCATTTTCTAACGCATTGCCACAAGGTGTGTGATACCGGACTCACTCAAATAGTTTTCGTGCCGGCATTTAGTCATATCATGTGAAAGCCAGGTACCTCCCAGCTTTGGGCGTTACTCCCGCTCCAGCCATGGGCTAAAATCCTTTGACTCCGGACCTTACAAATACCGCATCTACCCAGTCCAAAACACCTCCAGTGCCCCAAGCAGCCCCTCCATACTAGGCTCAACCAACCACCATAACAACCATTGTCTAAGAGACCTCGCAAAACCAACCTGCAATCAACCCCACTCAGGACCACACGGAGGGAATCGAGAACTGCTCCGTCGATGTCTACTGCACCCCCCTCACTCGCCGCCTGCTGCTGCTTCGTCAGCCTGAAGCCGCCCGCAGCAACCGCTTCCACCTGTTGCAAGCCAACACCAGTATTGAAGTGACCCATGGGTCAGTCACCTTCACCGTCACGGCCCTGGACGCCAACCACTGCCCTGGTTCCGTGATGTTCCTCTTCCAGGGCTGCTTCGGCAACATCCTGCACACCGGGGACTGCCGGTGATGGGGAGGGAGGGATTTCACCCAATGTCCTACCCATGAATCTTTGACTTTCCTTGACCTAGCGATGACCCATACCCCCACCCGACCACATGACAGGCAGGCTCCACCGTGTTTTGCAGCAGGGTTGCCAGCCTATGGCGGGGGCCCAGAAGGCAGTGAGCATGTACCGGCATGTGTGGTTAGCCTGCATGTGGTAGCGCATCCTGGTAGACACATCGTGTAAACACACATTACCGGTACCCCACTTCCCTCCGCCCGCCCGCCTGCCTGCCTGCCTGCCTGCCTGCAGGCTGACCCCGGATGTGGTCCGCTCAGTGCGGCAAGCGCTGGGGGCCCTGCAGCAGCAGTATCCAGAGGGGGATGTCGAGGACGAGGAGGAGGGTGGTGACTGCGGCGGTGGCGGTAGTGGCGACCAGCAGGGGGAGCGCCTGGACCTGCTGTACCTGGACTGCACCTTCGCTGACCTGCCGCTGGTGGGTGGGCAGTACGGCACATGACTCAATAACACACATGTACTGCAGGTGTGTCGAAGAATTGAGCAAGGCATGAGCTGCTATTACCGGTATCGTAAGGTTCCCTGCCAGCTAGCTCGAGCAATAGCGCTGCTGCCGACCGCAAGTCTTCCTCTCACCCGACTGCAGGAATTCCCAAGTCGTGAGGAGGCGGTACGGCAAGCCGTACAGCTCATTCGCCGCCGTACAACCCCCACCGCCCCATGCAGCAGCAGCAGCAGCCGCCTCTCCCGCGTGTACCTGTCCAGTGACCTGCTGGGTACGGAGGCGCTGTGCGGGGTAGCGGGAGGGGAGTTCGGGCAGCCGCTGTACGTGTGTCCCCCGGAGCTACATCGGGAGGTGAGGAGGGGAGTGAGGAGGGGGTGCGGCGGGGGGTGGGGAGGGCAGTAGTTGCTGGCTGGTGGGGATGTGGTAGTGCGGGTAGTACCGGTAAGCGTGAGCGCTTCCCCACGTGCCAGCAAGCAGCGATACATGTGCATGTTAGGGATGTACACCAACGTACGTGTGTGTATTTGTGACTGTGTTTGTATGCAGTACGGCTTTGCCAACGCCGAGCTGGTACGTCAGCGGCGAGAGGAGCTGTCGCTGCTGCTGCCCCAGCTGAGGTTGTCAGACGACCCGACCTGCCTCTTCCACTTGTGTGGAGTGCGGGACTTCGCACATCGGGGCAGCAGGCAGCAGCAGCAGCAACCGGGTTGCCAGAAACAACGGAAACAGCAGCAGCAGCAACAACAGCGGAAAAGGCCCTTGTCGTACGAGGAGGATGAGGAGGAAGGTACTTTCTATGGCATGGGAAGTGAAGGAGGCGGCAGTGGCAGTGCCGGAGCTAATGTAGGAGGTGGAGGAGGTGAAGGGGCGTGTATGTACATCCGCGCGTCCACCCAGATCTTTGCAAAGCAGATCCGAGATCGGTACGACAGGTGAGATATCGCGCATTGACTTCTGCCGTACCATTCCCGATCTCCCCCGTAAAGGTTACCCCTCCAAGCTCGCTCTCCCGTAACCTCCCTCTTCTCCCATTTCTCACGCCAACTCGTACAGGCCCAGCCAGATCCTGTCCGTACGGCGCTGCGCCCCCGCCCCCACAGCTGCCGTACAAGAGCGTGCCGTACACTACGTCCTCTTCTCGGCCCACAGCAGTCGCAGCGAGCTGGTGGCGGCGCTGGGGGCGCTGCGGCCCCGGGCCACTCGGCCCATTGCTGCGGACCAGGTGGGGTGGTGGGGTGGTGGGTCGATGGTGGTGGCGGTGGTGGGGTGGTGTTCGGGTTGTGCACCAAGGGACATGCACAGGCATGCGGGGTTGGAGGCAGAAGGCATGTACGCAGCAACAGCTAATGAGCTCACCACCACCGTGGCTCTTCCTCCAACCCCTCTCTCTCTCTCTTGTCGTACTCCCCAGGTGGGCTGCATGGCCGCAGTGGTTTCAGAGCGAGCAGGCAGTGAGCGGCCCGAGGCGGTGGAGGCGGAGATCGCGGCTCGGATGAGGGAGGCGATGATGGGAGCGGCGATGGAGGCGATGGAGGCGATGGAGGCGACGGAGGAGGAGGCGGCAGGCGGGTGGACTGCTTGGGCTGAAAAGGCGGAGGGGGGAGTAGCGGCGGCTGCTGGTAGGGAGCAGGGTGGAGGCGGAGCGGCTAATGCCGTAACAAGGGCGTGGGAGCAGCAGCAGCAACAACAACAACAGCAACAACAGCAACAGCAGCCGCAGCGGAAGAAGGACCATAGCATGCCGGCGACAGCAGCAGCAGCAGCGGTAGTTGCCTCCTCCGTTGGACCTGACGTCAGCGCCGCCAGGAGGGATGTCGTACCGTCGCAGCCTTCCAAACCAACCTCCAATTGTCAACCGGCGAGTGCTAGAGGAATGCCGCCGCCGCCGCCACCTGCGCCCCTGCCGCTGTCGCTGTCGCCTGGCCATCACTCCCAACGCAAGAACACGTCCGTCGCCATTTCCACCACCGCCGCTGCCGCTTCTGGTTTCCCACTCGCCCTCGGCAGTCATCAAACCACGCATTCAGCTTACAGCGCCGCCGCCGTCGCCGTCACCACCTCCGTACGAGCGAGTGACGCCACTCGTACGACAGCAGCAGCAGAGGCGGCGGCTGCCGTACAGCGGCTCACGGCGGCGCTGCAATTTCCGTACACTGCGACACTGGCCGGCGTGCTTGGTAACCCGGTGCCGCGGGGGAGTGTCGTACTGCCCGTTACTGCCGCCGCTGCCGCCGGCCTCGCTGCTGCCCCAACCGCTGCAAGACCTGCTGCTGAGGACTATGCCGCCGCCGGAGCCACCGTGAAACATCCGGCCTGCGACTCTCCTCCCAAGCTGGGGCATGTATCTGAGGGGCAGCCCGGCTCCGGAATGATTGCAGAAGCTATCGGTACTGCTGCTGCAGCTGCTGCCCCCGCCGCAGCAGCAGCAGCAGCAGCGGGACCTTTGGTGAAGCAGGAGGTTGAGGAAGCCCCATGCGGTGGAAGATGTGGGGTTCGGAGCCCCGAGGAACAGCATCAGCGACAGCAGCAAGGGCAGCAAGGAGAGATGCCTTCTTTAGAAACCACAAGTGCAGCGCCGTTACAACAGCAGCAAACCCCTACACAACCCTCGCCTGCTTCATCATCTCCAACGGACAGTACGGCAGACCCGCGACAGTTGAGACCGTTGCAGGTCGTTGCTGGCAAGACGGTTGCATCAGCAGAGGCCCTTGGCGGCAGCCCCACCACCACCACCACAACTGCCACTACCGCCAAGTCCCCAACCTCCTCGCAATCTCCGGGTGGCAGCAGTGGCGGCGGCGGCGGTGGTAAGAGTGGCCCCAGCTCCCCTAGCGGCGGCAGCGGAGGGGCCGGAGGAGCAACCACCACCACACCAGCAGTAGGGGTGGTAGGGATAGTAAAGGTGGAGGCGGCCGCAGCCACAGCTCCAGCAGCCACTACTGGTTTGGTGCATGGGGTCTTCGACAGCGGAGTTCAGAGCAGCGATGGGGGTCCGGGGTTGGCAGGGAGGGGCAGCAGAGCAGCATGCGGGTCCGGAAGGCCTGCTGCTGCCGCTGCTGGCTCTCGCTTCCTGGCGGCCTTGCTCGCGAGCAGCAGCGATGATGATGATGAGTAGGATGGACGGGGGCCGGGGCGGGTGAAGGGGGAGGCCTTAGGTGGGGGCCTTTCTTGAAGCCGGTGATAAAGGATACTTAATGTGATCTTTATAATACATGTCGTACGCAATTTACCTATTTATGTAGCGACTGAGCGCTTTTTGCTTTACGAGCGAGCCGTGATGGCTGTATCTCGATATGTGTTTACGAACTACCACCGTGATCTATATACCGGTATGCTACCTGCTAGCTAACACCTGCCGGCCGATTGCGAGTGGACTATACGTTCGCATGCATGTACGACATCTTATTACTGCATTGCATGTTGGCGTTACAGTGCCGTACAGTCGGCGAACCAACTTATTATTGTCGACGACAAGGGCGGTCCAAAGTTGTGCATGCATGGAGGCAAAAGGGAGGCGCGCCTGGGCGTGTAATCTGGCCATCATGTTTGTTCCGCCGGCTGGGGACTGCCGGCTAGGGACTGCTACTCGCTGTCTGTCTCTGTTTACTCTTAACCCTCTCCTGCCTTCATTGTCGTGCGGCAGCCACATGGAGCCGCACAGCCACACACCCGCATGTGACAACACTGCGGGCACTCTGATGATGGCACACAGCATGTGTCAACACTTGGACGATGATAGCACCCTGCTGCTAATTCATGAATGACGGTCTCGCGGCCCCCTTGGTTGGGGGGATTTCTGTAGACGCGCACGCACTCAGCCTTACCCCGCTGCACTGGGCTGTCACAGCTGCTGAAGAAAGGAATGCACCCGCCCAGCTATGAAGGTAAACGTCAACCGCCAGCCACAACCAACTACATTCCCACTTGCCCTTCTATCCGGCCAGTCCGCCGTACTAGCTACCACCTAGCCCAACCTGACAGATGCTCCTCCTCTCTCCCCTCACAGCATTCTATCATACGTTCAGACCCCTCGCACGCGCCTCCTCCCTCCCTCCTACCCTCCCTCTCACCCTAACCCCGGACTCCTCCCTCTCTCACGCCACCACACCCGCAGCCCCCCCAGCACTCCCCCCGGGCGACATTGGCGCTACCGGCGACGGCAGCAGCCGGCCCAGCGCCTCCGCATGCGCCCCCCCGAACAGCACCCGCACCACCGGATGCAGCACCATGTCGCAGGGGGGCGGCCCCGCAGCCGCGGCGGCACCCACCTGGAGCTCAGCCTCCACTGACCCGTGGGTCACGGGGGGCGCGGATCCCGACGTACCTCCGCCGCCACCGCCAGCGTTGTGGCCGCTGCTGCTGCTGCTGCTGGTGTCGGTTGCATTCGGGGTTGTCGTTGCAGGTGCAGGTGGGTGGGTGCAGCTGTGTGGGGTGGTGCCAGCAGCGGCAGCAGCGGCAGCAGCGACCAGGTGCGGTGCGGCGAGTGCGGCCGCATGTCGGAGGTCCACCCAGCGCCAATCGGTATGTTCGTGGTTGAGGGTGGGCTGGTAGGTGCTGCGGGCGGTGGGGGGCAGGCTAGCCACGAACACGGTGTAGTGCTTCTGAAGGCACTTGCCGCGCCTGAGCAGCAGGGCGCAGATGGGGGACGGGGGATTTAGACGTTAAGAAAGGCAGGGCTATAACGTTGCGAAGGAGGGAGACCGTCATTTAGGGCAGCAGGCAGTACCGTAGTAGGGGGGGGCTTGAAGCGGTGGGGTGCCTCACAAAAGTACTGTAGTGCGGGTTAGTGGCCCTCCCTCACCCTCTTCCCCCCTTCTCCTCCCCCACCCGCTCCACCCAGCCCGGCTCACCTGGTCAGCACGGATCCGCGCACCTTGAGCCCCGCCGGCAGCTCCCCCACCTCCTCGCGCGCCTCCCGCATGGCGGTGCCCAGGAGGTCTCCCCCGTCCGCCGCATCCGCGTTGCCGCCCGGCAGCCCCCAGCTGCCCGGGTTGCCGCTGTCCTCGCTGCGCTTCAGCAGCAGACAGGAGCCCTCGCAGCTGTGTGGGGTGGAGGAGGAGGGATAGGAGAGGAGGGGGGAAAGGGAATTGGAAGGCGAGCTGGGTAGGAGCGGGTGCGGGGAAGGGGTTGTGTTGGGAAGGAAAGCAGCAGCAAAGTGAAAGAAGACACGCCAGGGTCCCTTGTCACAGTGATTGAGCATTTGCTGATCTCAAAGCGAGCTGCCATTCCTTTTATTACGTTTGCGCAAGCACAGCGTCAACAGTTACTGCAATAGAGGGAGGTTGCAGCCCATGGCGAAAGAAGCTTACCAGATAAGAAGGCCCGCCCCAATCTTCTTAGGTTCTGCTGCGCCGCCAGCAGACATTCTAGCTTACAAATATGCCGCAGCGCGAAAGGCTTGATAGCGATGGACGTCGATGACGACGGTTGGCGTGAAGACGCGGTTAATAAAACAATGTCGCTGCGGAGGCGCCTAAAAGCCTCTGTCTTATGCTTTGTTTATAAACACGAGCGCGGTTATTTCCCAGCAAGTGGTGTCAGGATAGCGAGTAGCTTCCCTGGATAAGAGGCTTCTCTAGCTGCGCTATATCGCTTAATAAGGGAGTGATTGGGGTAATGGAAGAAAAGATACGTTCGCCGTGGGCTAAGTAAATACCAGCTCCCGGCTGTGCGAATGACAGTTTGTTCGAGAATGCGATCCGATCTTTTAATTATTGCTCAGCATTTGCACGCACGGTAGAATGCCCATAATCCCTTAATGCCATAATTGCCATTCTAGTAGTAATTGCTCGTCCTCCTTGTCCTTTGTACCGGAAACATGCCGTTTGACGGTGCCCCTGACATGCTTCAGCTCCTGAAAGCACCACTTCAGTACCAAGCGCGTCTTATTCTTACAGTCAACAACGGAAGCCACCAGGCAGACCCAAAATGCCGCACTAGCACAGTCGCTCCTAGCTGACCACGCTAGATGGCTACTGTTGGGACTCCCCATTAGCCGCGCTGCCATCGCCCCCGCTCCCGCTGCCACCAGTCTTCGAGCGCCTCCAGCTCCAGCGGCTGAACCACTCCCGCCTGCAGCCGGGGGCCGTCCAACCACACACAACATGTCGGTTTACATAATACAATGTCACCGTTACATGTCAAGAGCTTACAAAAGTCGACCAACAACCGTGCAAGACCCACAATCCAACACCCACGTATCGTACCCACCATGTCCGCTTTCTCCCAGCGCCTTCCGCCGCCGCCGCCCCGGCCACCTCCGCCCCGCTGCTCCCGCCCGCTCCGGAACCACCAGCTGACTTAGCTCCCTCCTTGCTGCTGACCCCGCTGCTGCTGCTGGTACTGCTGCTGCCCTCAGCGGTTGCACCCGCAGCTGCCGCCTCCGCCCCCCGCGGCTGCAGCAACGCATCCGCCTCGAACCCGTTGTTGCGCAGCCACGCCAGGTAGCCCTCGTCATCATCCGCGATGTCATCAACCCTCAAGTCCTCACCAGCACCAGCACCAGCAGACGCGGTGGCCCCCGCCCCTGCTGCTGCTGCTGCGGGCTTCCCTGCCGCGAGGCGCGCGTTCAGCTGCTGCATCTCCCGGTCCCGAATGGCCAGAGAATCCAGCAGCACGTCCTGAGGGACGGATGGGTGGGTGGTGGAGCGGATGGGTGGTAGAGGGAACAACAAACTACCGGTAACTAACCGTGTGAGGCTGTGAGGTATGGATGGTGTAGCGAATGGTATAGCGTCCCCCGGCTGCCGGCCTCCCTCCCCTCCCAAACCCAGCAGGACCTCTTCCCTCCCCTGGCCCCTCCCCTGGCCCCTCCCCTGGCCCCTCCCCTGGCCCCTCCCCTCCCCTGGCCCCTCCCTCACCCGGTGCTCAAACCGCTGCAGTCCGCGCTCCTGTCCTCCTGCAGCCGCCGCCGCAGCAGCAGCTGCCGCCTCCCGCATCACTGGAAGGGCGACAGGAAACAGATGCCGGCAGGCGGCATGAAGCAGGCGACGGGTTAGGTAGGGAGTTAGTTAAAGGGTTAAGTGTACTGGATGGCTATACCAGCTGCTGCTGCTGCGGTGAACCACTGGCCACGACCGCAGGAACGCAGGGAGCACAGGGTTCCGACAGCGGGTTAGTTAGGCGTCAAGGTACTGTAGCCCAAGCAGCCCGAGGGTACCGGTACTCCTTCCATCACGCATGGACGGGTTGGATTTTCTCTTCACCCCCCTCCCCCTCCCAAGCCGCTTACATGCCACCTGCGGTGACAGCAGCCCCTCACGGATCAGGTAGTCCTCCAGTAGGTGCCTGAGGGAGGGGACGGGGACGGGGGCAGCGGGGGTGGTGGAGGTTATGGGTGGTGGTGGTGGTGATGGTGGTGGTAATGGTGGTTGGGCTGCACGGCGGAGGGCTCCTCTCCCCCACTCCCCGCCCCGCCCCGCGCCCCACCTGGGTTGCATCAGGGAGTTGGTGAGGTGCAGTACGGCACACACGGAGCTCCACGTCAGCAACCCCAACATGCGGTACTGGGGGCCTGGGGGCGGGGGGGGGGGAGGGGGAGGGAGGGAGGGGGAGGGAGGGAGGGAGGGAGGGAGGGGGGGTGGGTTCAGGGTAAGGAGGTGGGGCCCCAGGGAAGGGCAGTAGGTATTTTGAGGCAACGGTAGGAGACCAGTATGCAGGCACAGGAACGTATGTTGGCATTCCCCGCAGCCAGCCCAGTGCTTACCTTGATAGTGGCCGACTACCACAGCACCCGTAATGCCCCCTGTAGATAGGGGCAGCAGAAGGAGTTAGCTATGGCAGTGTGAGGCAGGGGGTCCTGCCTTGGACCCAGGCAACTACCCATCTTACCGCTAACAGCGCTGTTTAGGAAGTCGTGGCGTCCACGCACAGCACGAGATGTTTCCTGGATGCCTGTCGAAAGGAAAAGCGGCGTTACGTTGGAATGACTTAAGATATGCCGGGGGTGGGGAGATGATGGCTATGCCGGCCCTCGCCAACCCACCGCTGAAGAGAAGGGCCGCGCCGCCGTATCCCACAAGTTTGTGTGCGAACTCCTGCAGCCTGGAGATTGTCCTGAGCGGGCTGCTCCGCAGCGATAAAGCAGCAGCCAGGCATCCTGCGCCGTATGCGTCGAGGCGCTGCTGAGGGAACATCCGCATCCTAAGCGAACTATGCCGAAGTGAAACTTGAGGAATTAACTATACCTGCGACGGCTAACTTCTGTTCAGTTCTTTTCTGCCAGCCCTCCGCTAGCCATCCTTGAAGCTCCATGCTGCCTAGTTATCTAGTAGAGAGCAGTGCACTGTCAGTGCTAGGAGACGAAAACCGTGGTGCTCAGTATGTGCCCAAAGGAGGGTGACCGACGTAGATGGATAGACGAACGATGGGGGCTACCCAAAGATGTCACCAGCTTCTTTATTGAAAACAAGAAACCCCAAGTTAATTGCATTAACGAACAACAAAGCTCTGTTTGCATTGCTTGGCGCGGCTTGCAATGCCCGATACGGCGCATGTGACATCGTACGACACCCCTCCCGGTGCGACGCCACAACTTGCCCTTCACCGGGCCGTGCAGTATGGCCCGGGAGCAGGTGGTGTGAACGGATTTGCCAGCTAGGTGGCCTCCAGTAGCCGAGGCAAGCCATGGTAGCCAGGGTTACCAGATGCGGGATGGATAGGCGGGAGGCTGGGCGAAACGGCGAAACGCATATGGCTAACCGCAGGGCTCAGTTACTACGCAGCTGAGTTGCGGCGGCGTTAGCTGGGGTGGGGCAGGTGCGGCTTACTGAGGTGGAAAGGATCGTACGTTTACGTTTACAATCGAGGTCAGTTGATCTAACAGCAGCAGCAATATACCGGTAAGGGCCGCAGCCTGGAAACACGCAGACGGCGGGCATCAGAGTGATAATGCAGTTAAAACCCCTACGAGCGCACGGACGAAAGCACAAGCACCCGTACACGACCCAGAAGAGTCATTACACGACTCATCTTAAGACTGTAACAGCTTATCCCTTTACGTGCGATGTATGCGACACGTGCTCTTGGAGAGGTGCGCACACAACCGCCACCAGGCAAGCACACCACAGCCGCCACCTAGCGAAGCAGCGAACATGCATGAACCCTGAAAGGCAGCAGCAGGCCACAACACTATTGCCTCCGCTGCCCTACTCCGCCGCACAGCGCCTAGCACCTAACTATTGCTTGACCAGTACACGAACATACAATGCAAAGCGTCCAATCCTCGTGCCAACCCTGCAGCCAACGGATGTACGGATGTACAAAAACTTGCTCCTTCCTTGTTCCTTCCGCCCCATATACTGCGTCACAAGCGCGAGGCCAGGACCCCTCCAGTTTGCAGCATGCTATACGCCTCTGCAGGCCGCCTTTCATCTTCAGCAGGCCTCGAGAAAGGCACGCACACAATCATGCGCCTCCATTATCATGGTATCTTGGAACTCTCGCTCATCCGATTTTACCAAACTCGCTACAACCATTGCGACCTTATTAGCGCCCATTACGACGTCATGAAACATCTAAACAGGCGATGACTCTCGCTCTCCGTTCTTCATGTTCCTTTTCCTTCCCTTCTCCCAGGCAGCCACCCCTCCCCTCACAGCACATCCATCTCCACCGCCGTCCGTGGCAGCGCCAACCGCAGCGCCGGCAGCAGCCGCTCCGTAACGTCCTCCCAAACCGACCCATGGGGCAGTCCGATCCGCAGTCGCCACAGCCCTTGCAGCGCCGCCAGCGCTACGAAGCTCTGACCCGCCAGTAGCGCGTCGTACACTCGCTCTGAGTGGTCGCGACGCGGCGGCGGCGCCGAGTCGCTGCCGCCGCCTGCATTGCCTTTGCGACGAGCTGCTGCTGCTGCCGCGCGCCGCAGAGCGCTGACTCCGGCGGCCCCAGAAGACGAAGCGTCGCTCGTGTCGTCAGCCGTCTCGATGTCGGATTCATCATCGCTGTCGGCGCCGCCAGCCGGCGTCGTCGTCGCCGCGTCGTCTTCTTCATCGCCGCCTTCCTCCGGATCGTAAAACAGCGTCGGCGTGTCGAACGACAGCGTCAGGTCAGTGAGCTGAGTTAAGCCAGCAAGCGCGCCCAACACCGAAGTCAAGTCATCTCCACTGCTTCCGCCACTGCTTGTGCTGCTGCTACTGCTACTACCGCCGCCACCGCCGCTGTTCTCTGCTGGCTGTTGCTGCCCTCCTTGCGCCGCCGCCGTCGCTGCGGCCGACGTCGACGGCCCCGCACCACTACCGCTACCAAGTACGGCACCTGCAGTGCCGGCGGCGCCAGCATCCTCCTCCGTACTCATGTATGCGTCACTGTCGTCGTCATCCTCATCCACCAAGTCCGCCACCGTCGCCCTAGCAGCCCATGCCGACGATCCAGAACCCCCGGCGGCTGCGGCGGCATGCGACGAAGAGGTCGCACCACTGGCTGCCGCCGCTGCCGTCGCCGCCGTCGGCGGCTGCGGCGGCTCCAGCGATGCCGCATCCAGCTGCAGCTGACGCAGGCACCTCAGCCCTGACAGCGCCGAGAGCTGCCCGGCGGACCACCACCCGGGCGCGGAGGAGTGGCTGACGTCCAGGATGACGCCCCGCAGGCAGCGGAAGGGCGCCAGCAGATCTCGCAGCGGCGTGGTGGTTGTCGTACCACCCAGGCGGAGATCTTCCAGCCGCGTGGCGCGACGGAAAACGGTGAGGTCGGGCGCGGCGCAATCGAAGAGCCAGAGGTGGGTGAGGTCGGGTAGGTCGGGGAGGGCTGCCAGGGCGGCGGGGGAGTTGGGGTCGGTGCCGGGTGGCAGGGCGGGCGGAGTGGGGATGGTAATCTTCTTGAGGGTGAGTTGCAGGAGGCGCGGAGGCAGGGCGGGAGGCGGCACGGAGAGCGGGCAGGGCACCTCGCCCGTGAAGCGGAGGTAGAGGGGACGGAGCTCCAGGTGCTCAAGGCGGGAGAGCGAACGGAGACCCTGGGCGGGGAGGGCGAGGGAGGGAGGACGCGGGAGAGGGACTAGGTAAACCAGGGTAATACCGGTATAAAGTAAATTGGTAACAGATGTGCGTAGGCAATCCTCGGTCGTAGGGTCAGTTTGTCGCTCAGCACGGTGCCATCAAACGTGCTGTGGAATGCCACCTTGGAAACTGGTGCTACGCCAAGGGCGAAGTGTGCGCACGTGGCAGCAAGCTGGGCACAAGACAAGACACGCCTGCGCCTGCATGAGACGGCCGCGGCTTACATTGATGGCGGTTGGGTCGTTGGCGGCTGACGGCAGAGTGTCGTACAGCGCGAGGTACTCGAGGGAGGGCATGCCGGCGGGCACCCGGGACAGCCAGCCGCGGGACATCCAGGTGGCGGGTCTGGATGGGCGGGTGGGCGGGTGGTAAGAGTGGGTGGGTAGTTGAGTAGGACAGTTGAGTGGGTGGGTGGTAAAACTGGGTGGGTAGTAGAGGGATGGGGAAAATGAGTGGATGGCATCGAATTGACCCATACCTAGCAGCGAACAACACCTGCGGCTGCTTTCATAATGCCCATGCCCACCAAACAGCGGAAAAGCACACACATCCCTCTCATCCTCCCACCCCACCGAACACTCCTACAGCCCCCACCCTGCCCCCAGCCCCGCCCTCCCCCCCCACCTGCACTCATGGTCCACATATCCCGTGATGGCCAGCGACTTGAGCTGCGTGTAGCCCCCGCCCCTCACATCCAGCAGCACAGGTGCCACGCGGGTGTCCGCGGGGGGCTGCGGCGGCAGCAGCGCCTCCCCGGCCGCCCCCAGCCCCGGCGCCACCGCCAGCTGCGTCACCATGGGCACCAGCGCCAGGTTCAGGTAGCACATGTGCGGGCTCAGCGGGCCCAGCTGCAGCTGTACGACACGCGCGTCCAGCGGCCGGCGACCCGCAGGAGCGCCGTTGGCCTGGTGTTGTGCGTGGTTGGGAGGGTGAGGGTGGTGGGGGTGGGGGTGGTTACCGCCTGCGCCTCCGCCGGCGCCCCCGGCACCACCACCTGCTCCTGCTCCTGCTCCTCCGCCCCCTCCTCCAAGCTGAAGCTGCGCTAGGTGGTTGAGGAGCAGCGCCAGGGCTGGAGGCATCTGCCCGGCACCCGCACCACCGCCCGCGCCACCCGCTGCGGCTGCCCCCGCTCCTCCTCCTCCTCCTTGCTGCTGCTGCCCTCCGCCTCCGCCAACCAGTTCCCAGCCGTGTTGCATGGCCTGTAGCACCATGTTGAGTGGCCCTCCTGCCGGCCCCGCCCCCGCCCCCGCCTGCTGCTGCTGCGCCTGCTGCACCTGCTGGTGCACCTGCTGCAGCTGCTGCTGGAGGTGCTGGTGCAGCTGCTGCTGCATGTTGTTCACGGCCGCGAAGAAGTCCTCCTCGTCCTCCAGGATGTCCAGCCGCACGCCCAGGTGCAGGTCCTCGGGCTCGGCTAGGGTGCCCTGGGATGGGAGGGAGCGCGACAGGGCACAGCGCGCGGAGTTGGAAGCTTGAAGGCTGAACAGATCAGAAAACGAAAAATGGCGAGGAAAGCGATGGGGGAGGGGCTACGATGAAGCGCATGCAGACCTGAGGGCTCCAAGGCACAGCGGCCTTCCAGAGTTAAAGCCTCCCAAAGCGAAGCAGACACACCAACACTACACCACACTAAGTAGCGAACCCACCGTGAGTCCGAGCTCCTGCTGCAGCAGCCGTTCGTACTCCGCGAGCACCATCGGAGTCACATCGTACGGCGGTACGACATCCTCGTCATCCTGCTCGTCCTCGTCATCATCCTCGTCATCGCTACCAGCAGCAGCTGCCACGTCATCACCCTTCTCATCATGAACATCACCAGCATCCTTGTCCTTGTCGGACGGAGCAGTAGTCCCTGCAGCAGCACGGCTGCCGCTAGCGCCGCTAGACCCTCCAACGGCGGAGGCATCAGCAGCCGCCGCCTTCTCCTCCTCCTCGCTCCTCGTTCCCTGCTGCTGCTGCTGGCGCTGCTGCCGGCGGTCGCCCCTCCGGCGCCGCCGCCCCGCAGCCCGAGACCCCGCCATGCTCACAGACGGCAGGTCCGAAGCTGACACGCTGATGGTCACATTGACGTCCATACGCGTCACACGCACGCCCTTCTCCACAATCAGCACATGCAGCCCGGGTTTCGGAGCCAGATGATCCACCGAGTCCCACGGCTCGTCCATATCCTCGTACTCTCCGAACTGCCCCTCCTCATCATCATCAGCTGCACCAGCCGCTGCGGCTGCACCCCCAGCGCCACCGCCGCCGCCTCCCTCGCCCCTGGCCAGCCGCCTGGCAAAGGTGAGTGCAAAGTTGGTCAGGCGCTGCGACAGCGGCAGGGCCATGAGCTCGGGCAGCTGCCTGGCATCCCGCGGTGGCGCGCAGCAGCGGAGGCGCAGGTCGGTGAGGAGCGGGCACACGTCCAGCAGCTGCACGAGCGCGGACACCTGGGTGGAGAGGCATGGGGAACAGGAAGGGAAGCAACAGGTAAGGTTCATGCCTGTTGAGAAGCCATGACGCGGTCATCCGACCCAAATCAACACCGAATGAAGTGTTCCCTATTCTCGCCCTTTTTCAGTTATCCGTTCAACTGGATGTACAACATTCAACTTCCAGCCAATCCCACCACTCCGTCCCGCACCTGCGGAATCCTCCACAGCGCAGACATGTGCCCGAACGCCAGCGTGCGCAGCTGCGTCAGCGAGGCAGTCGCCAGCGAGGCCAGCGCACTTAGCCCCAGCGGCGGTGGTACGGCAGTGCAGAGCTCCAGAAAGGCAAGGCCGCGCAGGTGACACAGAGCGCGCACGTCATCCTCGCTGAGCGTGTGCGGCGCACCGGTGAAGGCTGGGTTGCGGGAGACGACCAGCGAGGTCAGCTGCGTGAGGGGGTGCAGCGAGCTGAGGGAGGCGAGGGCGAGCTGCGGTTCGGAGGCTTCACGGACGGGCAGGTGGATTTTGAGTTGGATGAAGTGGCGGTTGCGGGAGAGCGAGGAGATGTGGCGGTCGAAGCCTCGCTGGGATTGGGGAGCTGGGTGGGTGACTTCGAGCGTCACCGCGCCGTGAAGGTTGGCCGCGAAGCTGCGGGGAGGAAAGTAGGGGAGGAGGTGGAAGGGTGGTGGGAGTGTGGACACAAGGCGCGAAAATGCGAGGTTGCTCGCATATAAAATAGATATATTGGCACATCTATGGGTGCGAGAAATGAGGGAAGATCTGAGCGCTTCAGCGACCGTGAGTACTGCCGACAAAGTAATCTGCTCCCGCCGCCGGCGATCGTCAGGTGCAAGCGGAAGCACGGGCATCAGGGAAAGCGTTACCCTTTATTCAGCACAAGAACAGGACCCAATTAATCAGGAAGGCATCAATCCTTCTTACTCACCGAGAGCGCGTCCCATCCACAGCCTCGCTGGAACAAAGGGTTGAATTTAGGCAGCTCAGCCCAAACGCTTCCCTCCAAGCCCGACAAACTGAATAGCAAGCCACAGCCGTAGCGGCATCAACGTGTTCGCTAAGCGTCTTCAGTACTGAAAGGTTCTGCAGCGCATCTCCGGCCACATCGCTACAATAGTCTCGAGGCGGATACTGAAGGACTGGTGGCAGCTTTGGCCCTCCACCATGGCCACCGCAACAAGGCATTTTGAGCAAGACGTGTAAGCGGGCTCAGGCGTCCTTCCTTAGGGCAGGTTGGAGGTATTCGATCGACGGTCTGCTGCGCCACACACGCTTCAACTATGCTGTAAAAGTTATAGTTGCTTTGCAATTACACTTATTGCAATTGGGATGAGGTGGTGTTGCATGAAGTACACCTGGATTCAGCCAGTGGACGGGATGAACCTGGGACCTTCTCCTATTCGTGATATCACAATGTCAGGCTACTTGTGTTTTTAAGACTTCACTAAGCATTTTTAGGTGGCTCTTGTATCTACCCACAATGCAGCTGCAAGCGTCCTCCCGTCTGTGTGAGCCTGCGGGCTTGGTGCGCTGTGGTCGCCGTGCCTTCGCGCCAATCCACTGCAATGCTGTGTCACCACGCGCGTCAAATAACGCTAATACATCCAGCACACCTAGCCGATTGCCTTTGTCCCGGCCTGCTCGACTTGTGAATGGTCCGCACGTGCCGCTTCAGCGCCAAGCGCCGATCTGCCAATCGGTTGCAACCGGAAAACTTATTTCCAGCACTGAAGTACCGTCGTTTATTCCGCGCGATGACATGATGGACCAGCTATATCGCTGGAGCACGATGGAGGCCGGTGAGAGCGGCCAGCGGAACTTTGGTATGCCCATGACGGTGGAGCCAGTGTACTATGAGGAGAAGCTGTGGGGCTATACTGTATCCATCTTCAAAGAGGGCGTCAAGCTAACGGACATTGGTGTCATGTTCGATAAGAATGCGGTTACCAAGTACGAGTGGGTGGGCCGCGGCGAGGACGGCTTCCCCGTAATGGAGGGCAAGACGGATGAGGTCAAGGGGAAGAACTTCGAGATCTGGTGGGTGTTGGGCCGGGGCCCCGGGAAGGTGGGGAATGGGTTGGATACACCACCTGGGTAACCGTGAACGTCCTTTATCCTCCCGCTCTGGCGCTGCATGTGTTTCGTCATTCCTCGCAAATATGCCACTCCGACACTCCACTCATGTTACCTGCTGCAATTGGCCGCACAGGAAGCTGGACAGTGAGCCGGTTTCGGAGGATCTGCGCTCCGTGATCCGAGCCTACTGTACGGCACTTGTGGCGGCCCTGAACCGCTACTACGCCTTCGGCTCGGTCTTTGTGGACGATGCGCAGTAAGGGGTTTCGGAGCAACCCAATTGGATCTCATGGCTCGCTGGACTGCAGCCGCTGTCCGGTTGCGGCTCCGTAGTGGTTGCTGCCTGGGCGGCCGCCGCGGACAGCGGACATACTGATGATAGCGGTGGGGCACGACAGCGATGGTGGTGCTGGCTGGGTTGCTAGGTGGCAGGTGGCAGCGGTCCCGTGCGAGTTGGGGCTCTCATGGGGCGGTGGTGCTTGGGGGGCCCTTGAAGCTGGCTTGGGTAACACCGTTTGTAGCTTTAACGCGGCTCGAGAAGGGCTATAGTTGTTGTAGCAGGGCTACAAATGATAAGGTTACAGTTGTTGTTTGAGGGCGAGCAGGAATGTGAGGAATGGAGCGGGGGGTGAAATTGGCTGAGGCCGCGCTGGTCGCCGTTTAGTGCTCGTTTTTGCTCGTGAGCTTATACACCTTTCCGGATTTTGGCTTGGTCGTAAGCCATTTTGCTGAATAGGCACAGTATATATGCGACATTATCGTCCATAGCTATGTGAAATTGTCGTGCAATTTTTGCTTTCGTATATTGACCGACCCACTGACCCGCGGGTCAACTGGCTGGTATTGCCAGCACACAGAAGCTTGTAAATATCACAAGGCATGAGGCATTGTGCGGCGCATGGCGGTACAACACCATTATTCTTTGGCTTCTCGTGGTCCCGTTGCAACGTGTGTTTAGCTGGGGGCCACCCGAACGATATCTACTTCCTGCCCGCACGTACGAGCGCGTCAAACCTCACCACCATTTGCGACGGGCGTACCATACAAGCAACTTAAGTACCAGCTCACCTACAGGCAAACTATAAATCATTGCAGGCACTTACTATTGAGGTCCGGCAAACACGACAGCCTTCTTTATGCTCATACCACCGGCACCCTCATCCCTAAACACGGGGGCACCCTCACGGTGCCTTGGTTTCCGGCTTCACATACGCCCCCACGATATTTTGCAATGGCAAAGCCTGTCATGCCACCCTCAAGAGCCCTTAGGCAAGCCTAGGTGCGTCCGGTATACAAACATACTTGGTCACGGTTTCCTTAATGCCTTCATGCCGCACCACACCTACGCCAGCTGCAGGCAGTTGCACCTAGGCCTCGGAGGCAGCATATCATGTTCCATGTACGGCACTTCAGCTGAGCGCACTTGCGCTTTTATTCCACATAGGGGCACGCCGCAGATTACCAGATTATTCTTCACAGCGACACGCTTGATCACTCTTTTGACAGAGCTACGCACACCCAACATATATTTCCGCCAGCGCACATCCGTACTCTTTACCCGCAAAGGAAGATTAGGGAGCTTAAGACCAGCCATCTGAAGCTGCACCTCCAGTGGCTGCTGACCCGATCGTGGGCCCTCATCAGGCACGCACACGTTTGGCTCCCGGCTCGTCCCACATGTCTGCTGCCGTGCACAGCTGTGCACAGCCGTGCATGGGCTCCATTACGCCCTCCGTCGCGGATGCTGCTGCTAATGAGCCGCAATCGCACCGCTGCGTCCACATGCGGCGGTGACCCATGGGTCCGAAGCTGGCGTTGCCACCAAAGCCGTCGTCAATGTTGCTGCCACCGCCGACACCGCCGTTGATGCCTTGGAAGCTGCTGCTGGCGCCCGCCAGGGGACGAGGCTGCATCGCAGGCGTGGTAGCAGGAACTGGCTCAGCCTCTGGCACATCAGCGTCTAGAAGCGCCTGCAGGGGTGGGTGCATGTGGGTTGTGGGACCAACCGGTTATGAGAAGCCACCATGACTAGTCGATGGACTGAACGGTAACGGTTTACGGCCGTACAGTTATCATGACATGTACGGAGCGTGCTTGTCACATTGATGTGCTCCAACCGATGACAGCAGGCTACAACGCCTTGAGAGTCCCCTTTCCAGCACCGCACATTCCGACCCCATACCCGACCAGGACCCACCATAAGCATGTTATCATCAAAGGAACCGTTCCGCTGCAACATTATGTCGTACATGTCCCCGACGCCGCCGTACGCATCCTGGCTGCCGTACAAGCCCTTTCCCGTTAAACAGCGATCTGGGTCAGCCGTGCCGCACGAGTGGGCATTTGGGTCGCCAGCAATGTATGCGGAAACGCGTGATTCTACAGCAGCCGGGATACTGAAGACTGCTGGCGGTGATATGGCATCTGGGTCGGGCACGTTGTCGTTGATTTCAGTTGGAAGAAGGCTGCCGTACATGCCGTACAATCGCCCATCTGGGTCAGGCGCGATGGCGAAGGGAGGCACCAGGAGATCCGCATCCAGGTTTAGATCCAGGTCGTCAAATGGCGACGGCGCTTCGGTCTCGCTGTCTCCCGCGGCACTGTCCACGCCCTTAGCAGCAGCAGCACTGGGATCGACGTAGCTGACGACATACCCGGATTGGGGCGAAGGATCTGACCCAGATCGCATTGGAGATTGCACCAGTCGGGCATGTGACCAGGCATGCCGCGGGGACCCGCCTGGGATGGAACGGCCACTAGCCCTGATCCCTCCGTCCATGTCCTCAGCGCTGCGGCACAGGGAAGAGGTCTGCTGCTTGTCGCCGCCGCAGCTGTCGTCGCCGCCGCCGGCAACGCCAGCTTGTACGTCAACGCCAAGGTCATCACGGCTGCCACCGCCGCCGCTAGCACCATTGCCGACTTGCATGCGGGTGCCGCCCATCAGGACTGCATTGCCGCCCCCACTTGGCTCCGCGCGAGCAAATGCCGTCGACGGCGCCCCTGCCGTCAGCGTTGCACAGCGCGCCGGGGGCAATCTGGAGCTAACTGCGTTTCGCCGCGACGCCGGCGGCGGCAGCGGTGGCCTCACCTGCACCTTCGCCGCCCCCCGCGGCGCCGCTGCCGCCGCCTTTACCTTTATCGCCGACGCCCCAGCCGTCGTTGTCGCCGGCTCCGCTGCCGCATTCGCCGCCGGCGCCGCACGCCTGCGCGGTATCTTGTACAGCTTGTTTAGCCCTCTAGAAGCGCCCTCGCCGTTGCACAGTAGCAGTCGGCCGTTGGGCAGCTGTGACAACACCAGCCGGCCCCTGTACGGCACCCCCAGGTAATCCAACACGTCCGATGCCTCACTGAGGACCCAGGCCCCAGTCTGGCGGCGGCGGATCTGCACCTGACAGGAATGTAGCTGGTGGACTGTCGATGCCGTTGCCGTCGCTGCCGCTGCCGCTGTCGCCTCTGCCAGCGGCAGCGTCGCTGCTGCCCCGGATTCGGTGGCGGCGCTGGCCTCGACAGCGGCAGGATTGTTAGCGTCGGCAGCAGCCTCAGCCGCAGGCACTAGCAACGTGACGGGCTGCGGCTGCTGGGGACAAGAATGCAGGATATTGCTGAAGAAGAGCTGCATGGCGGTTTGGGTCAGCAGCACCGTGCCGTGCTCTCGTCGCAGGACGATGGGTGTTGCGCTCCAGGGGCGCCGGAGCCAGGAAAGGAAGCTGGGCGGAAGGAGGTGCTGCTGCTGCAGGTGTTGAAGCAGAGGGGGGTAAAGCGGCTGCTGGGGCTGGGGCTGCAGGGATTGCTGGGGCTGTGGAGGTAGGAGGCTTGAGGGGGTACCGGAGTCGTAGTGGTTGCTCCCGTAAGCACCGGAGAAGGCGGAAGCAGAATGGCCGCTGCTGTTTGGCAGCGAGCTTGGCGGGCAGGAAGGTGCGACACTGCAGGCAGCAGCTTTCATTATACTTGGTCTTCTTGCTTCCTCGTTGCTGCTGGAGCTGCTGTTGCTGTGGGAACTGGAGCGCGACAAAGTCCGTTGCTGCTGATCGCGAGCGAATTCAGCAGCACCTGCTGCTGCTCGTGAGGCTTTGCCTGTTGATGAGGTTGAGGTAGGTTGCGAACCAACATCGGCGTAAGTAGACTCCGCTGTCACGTTGCCGCACCGTAAACGTTTCAACGTCACCGTGCCACCGCCTTCGACGTCCAAATGCTGCGCGAGGCCCGATGCTTTGCCCAGCTCCCATTTATTAGAGCCTCGCCGGCTGCGCAGCGTTAACTGGCAGGCCTTTAGCTGCTGGCTGCCCTTTTGTTTAGGCCTTGCGGCAAAAATAGTGACACGTGCACCATCGGTTCGCTCACGCGCAGCTTTTATGTCTTGCTCCAAAAATATTGATTCCGCAACCTCGCTAGATAGCACGAGGACAGCGTCGCTGAAGTCCAGAACAGCGATTCCGGTAGCCAGCACGGCCATCCCACGGCACTAAATAACCCTTACAATTACGAAGCTAATTATGATAGCAGGTTAAAACATACTATTTACGGAGCATAAGTATGGTTTCCCACGATCGGCTGGAGGCAAGAGCATGTCGGCCCGCTGAACGATCGCCGTTATTACTAAGACATTTGGACGAGCCATCTACAAAGGCGCGCGAAAGCTGCCAGGAGCGCTATTTTGTTTGCTGTACGCAACGCTTACAGGCGTGTAAAATGCAATGTCTTGTGCAGGATTCTTAGCGGGCTGAGGGTGCATAAATTACAGCGTACACACCATGTTCGCCTCCTCCTTAGCCGGCTTCAAAGCCAAAGATGGGACACCACTACAACTACAAGAGTTGGACAACCTAGATAGGGGCTTCGGCCCATCTGACTGTGAGGGAAAACGCCGTTCCATTCTCGGGGGCCCGCTTGGGAACTCGACATCCGTCCAAGCGTCAAGGCATGCCCTAGCCTGGAACACACCCAAACGCACCCAACTCTACCGCATCCCTGACCGCAGCCTGATCTCCTGGTAAGTCCATGCATGCCGGCGTTACGGCCTACTTACAAATATGACAATCGATTGTCTGCCTTGGGCAAGGGAATTACTTGCTTAGTGACGCAGTATCCATTTCTGCAACCCTCTACAGGCCTGGCTAGGACCAAGCTGATAGGGCATTCTCCACCTCAACCAACATGTCTCCGCAGCCTACGCTGTCTTCATGGTTCACGCTACGTTCCAACACATCTCTCCGATGACGCCCTACATCCTGCGGCTACCTGTAGAACCAAGACTGTCACCCGTCTAACAGTGGCATTAAGCAGGTAAGCAGCGACTTCAATCAGCTGAAACATATTGGCAACAGCAACGCGCCCGCGAAGTTGATAAGTACATACATATGCGGGTACAAGGAAATCCGCTGCTGTGATCTTGGCAGACCGATGTAACCTGTAAACCCGGTGCAAAAGCGAACGCGAGAGGACCAAAAAACCAACCCGTTCGCGAGAGGGCGTAAGGCGAAGATTATTCCGATTGCCCATGTACGCTACCTTGGCAGTTCTACTCTTATTGACTAGAGCACGACCAGCATTTGCAGCGCCCCTTCAGCAACCTCCTTTTACGCACGAAGGACGCTCGCAGCCTGCCAGGGGGATACCCTCCTCATCCCTCTCCACCTACAACTTTCTCCAGAATCCTGCCGGTCAGCTTTTGCGCGCCTTGCCTTGCTCCTCTCATCGCTTGCTTCTAGTTCCTGCTGAACACCTTAATTTCTTCTCCCGCATGCGTCCTCAGCCCCTCATCCTCAGCCCCAACGGCCTCTCGCATGACCCGCGTGAGATGGCCGGTTACCCAGCTTCCAGGAGGATGATTCCGATTTGGGTCGGTTCCGAATGCATCCCAACTAGCTTCCTTGGGTTGACTGCCTAACCGCCTCGCGTGTCCCTCACGTGTCCAGCGTTAGGTGATTGGCCAGGTGGTGCAGCTCCGGCTGCTGTCGAACCCAATCCGCGAAGGAACACCTCCGGAAGGCGCCGTGGTCCAGATAGCACCTGTCAGGAGGAGAGGGGTCGTGGAACAGGTTGGTTATATAAATCTTGAGGCAAAAAACACAAGACAAAGAGACAGAGGAAGAAGTTCAGACACGGAAAACCCAAATACGCGTTACAGCCGGGCAGCATCTCGACGCCATCCTACGGCATGACCCATGGGTCACCACGTCCTCCATTCCGCACCTATAGGTAACGAGCAGGAAATAGCGCTTCAGGTAGTGCAGTCCCAGCTGTCGGGCTGCGAACTGAGGGCCTAGCAGCGCCACTGCCGGCACTGCGGTGCCTCCGCCTGAGGTGGCTGCTGCTGCTGCAGTGGTGGCAGGGCCAGGCGCCTCGGCTTGCGCCTTGCAGTCATGGATATCCCGAAGCATGTCGCCCACCTGTGAGGGGAGCAGCAGCGGTGGGAAGGGACGACCGCTTCTTAACGCTGTCGTGATGCTTATGACCCGCGCGGAAATTAATTGTATGGTTCTCCCAAGGCCGCGTCCCCCACCACCAAAGGTTGCACCCATCCAGCCCCAGCTATCCCCACGCAACCCACCTCCTTTGCCACCGCCGAAATGGCCCCATCCACCGCCAGCTTGGCCTCAAACCCGCCCGGCAACAGCCGACACAGCGACATTATCCCGCGGTACTCCCCGGCCGACACGTCCAGCGAGCGAGAGGCATGCACGCCACTGCCGCTGCCCGCGGAGCCAGGCATGGGCGGCGACAACCCGCCGGCGCCGCCTGCCGCCGCGAGGACGGCGGAGCGAATGGGCGAGCCGCCGATGGGCGAGCCGACACCGAAGCCAAGGCCGCCGCCTGCGGCGGCGTGCTGCGTCGCCGCTGCCATCGTCGACTCCCTCGACAAGTAGGTTCCGAACAGCGAGCACACGAAACGCGCGGATGAGCCCGTGGGTGTGCGTGACAGGATGAGGTGGATCACCTCTGGCTTACCAGCTGCCGGGCTGCCGTCGCCGCTGTCGCTGCCGTCGCTACCGTCGCCGTCGGCGGCATCATCCACCGTCATTGCTGCCGCCGCCAGCGACGCCGCCGCCGTCGCCGCCGAGTCCGCGAGCTGCGCGTGCAGCGCATCCACATCCGCCGCCTCGGGGGTTCGCTCTCGCGACAGGGGAATGCGGCGGTAACTGATGCGGTACCCTGCCTCCGCGAGCTGTTGCATGAGCTCCAGCGGCGACAGGAGCGCGGAGGGCGAGTCACCGTCTACCTCTTCCCAGAAGGGTGCAACGCTGCTTCCAGGGTACAAGTCCACCAGACGAGTTACATCGTCCATCTTGCCTCCGGCGCCACCGCTTTTACCGTTGTCACTGCTGCTGCTGTTATTGCCGCTGCTTGTGGTTGTGGTAGTAGCGGTGATGGTAGCGGGAGCGCCGGAGGAGTCGCTGGTGCCGGCAGGCGCGGGGCCGGGGGAGGTGGCAGCGGAGGGAGCTCCGCTGCCGCCGCTGGGCTTGCCCGGGGAGGCTCCTGAGGGACCGGCGGCGGCGGGGGCGGCTAGCTCCCGGTGGAGCAGCACGCGGCCACCCCACAGGGCCGCCTCGTCCTGTACGGGAGGGGAGGGGGTCAATCATGAGGTTAATCGCAACGGGCTGCTGCGTCAGGTTACGTGGTGTGTGGGGTTTCTCTGTTGGCGATGGAGAAAAGGGGATGCTTAACAACCCCGCCGAAACTCCATCAGTACGGTTTCTTCCTCGCTGCCCCACCTGCACATCCTCCTTCAGCAGCTGCTCCAGCTCCTGTAACTGAGCCGCATGGATACCCGCATGGTGCATGGCGGCAGCCGGCATCTCCAGCTCACGACGCATGTACGGCACTCCGTTGACGTACACAACCAACTCCTCTCGTACATCGGATATGACCACGTGTGCCGTACGACGGTGACTGTGACGGCGCCGAGAGGACGACTCGGAATCCGGTGGGGGTGCGGCGCCCAGGTGACGGAGCAGCGCGGCGAGCTCAGAGGAGGGCACGTTGCCTGAAGAGGCACAAAGGGCATACAGATTATTGCGGTTTACGGCCTTTCATGGGATCTTCCTGGCTAGATTCCCTGGCAGTTAAGGAAAGCAGCTTGTTCAAATTGTACGACAACAAGGCAATGGAGGCAAATTCCGATAGCCCACTTACCCACGCACAGCACGGGGAAGGGTCCTGCTCGCACTTGCTGTGGCAGCAGCTCCCCCTCCTCCTCCCCCTCTTCAGCCGATGCGGGGGGCAGCTGGTAGGACTTGAGGATGGTGCGCTTGGTTAGGGTGCGCCCCTTGCGCCGGGAGAGCACTGCTCGCTGGTCCACCACACCGCCCTCGCCGCCGTCCTCGCTCACCATGCCCTGACGGCACACCACGAGGCCATGTGACAAGTTGATAATCGTGTCCAGGTCAAGAGAGGGTCAGTGTTGGCGGTATGACCATAACGAACACTCACCTACCCACAACACCACCACTACCCACCCACCAACCCGCCCAGACCCTCCCGGCCCGGCCCTACCGCTCCCACTCCACCCGGCCACGTTCAGTCTTTTATCGCGCTTCAGTTTCACTACCCCACCTTGTACACGGATGGCAGTTTGGTCACGGGAACGGGCTCCAACGCGGCACCGGGGTTGTCGTGGATGGCGGCAAAGGCAGCCTGCGGGGGTTGTAGGGTGCAGAAGGTGACAGGGCGCCGGGGTGTTAGTTGCCGAGAGGTGATTGGAACCAGAGAAAACAGAGAAAACCTCCTCTCTCTCCTCCCACCAGCCCCGACGGCCTCCCTCCCTCTCACCTTGAGGTCGGGTCGTGCTGCCAACCAGTCCACAAAGGATGCGCTCTCCGGCCCCACGTGCTCCAGGTAGGAGGAGAACGCAATCAGCTGCACGTAGCGCTGTGGGTGGTGGTGTTGGTAGGGGGGTGTTGAGGAAGGGTGGGTCCATGGGGGGGCATGGTTGGGCAATGGAATGTAAGGAAGAAGGAATATACTCGCATGTTGTGAAGGATCGCGGCAAGCCTTGTTGGATATGTAGGGGCGGTTGAGGTGATGGATGAAAGTGAGGATTGGAGTGTTGTGGCTCCTCCCACCCTCCCTCTTCACCTCTTCCCTCTTACCTGCAGGTATGCCGAGCCGCGCTTGAAGGCCGCGTGGCGCTGCTGCATCTCGGGGCGGATGTACTTGTAGGAGCTGCGGGGCTTGCGGTACCTGACGCAGGAGGGCAGCGAAGAGGGACAGGACCACACAGGAGGACCGGAAGATGATGTCGGAAGGTGATGGGGAAAGGATATAATAATAATATAATAAGCACCCAACAAACAAGCAAAGGTTACCCGCCCTGCTCTTACTTCATGATTGCCACCCGCAGGTTGATAACGTCGGAGGCCGCATCAATGATCTGATCCACCACCGCCTTGGCGGCGTCCCCCTCCTGTTATACAATAAGTAGGACGGAGAAGGGGAGAATAATGGAGACAGGGAAGGGAGGAGTAATGGAGAAGAGGCAGGTCCTGGCCCCCCTCTCCCAGAAGCAACACTCCGCAACCCACCAAGCCACCAGCGCCCCCCAGCCCCTCACCTCCAGCAAGCGGGCCACCCTGCGCACCCCCACGTAGCCACCTCCCGCCAGAGAGCGCTGCAGCTCCAACTCCTCCGGACTCAGGTCCCAGATCTGTGTTTGGCGAGTGAGGGGGCACGACGTCAGGGAGTACCGGTGGGAGGTGGACAGTAGAAGAAAGATGACGCCCTGTCTCAATTCACTACCACACAAAACCCCAGCCTTCTCAACATCCTCCACACCCATTCCTGCACCCCGACCACTTCTACCGTACCTTGGGTTCCCGCTCGTCCTCCTCGTCCCGGTGCTCGCCGTCCGCATCCTCCTCGGCGTCACTGCGGGGACTCACACCCTGGGGGGGGGCAGGGTTGGAGTGAGTCATGTTTGGGGGTTTGGGGAAGGAACTGAGGAGGAGCGGCAGCGGAGCAGCTACCTGGTATGGAGGACGTAAAGGAAGGGGCTGACACAGAAAGCTGGAAGAGGGATGCAGAAAAAGGGCGCACCAAACACTTACCTCCAGTATGAAGCGGTGGAAGGCCTCATCATCCATGCCGTCAATTGCTGACCCATGGGTCGCGGCCCCGCATGCCAGCGACCCGGTGGAGTACAGGTGCACCAGGCCGGCGATCACCATGCCGGTTGTCGTACGGCCGATGCCGAGCTGGCAGTTGAAGATGACCGGGTTCTCCAAACCCCAGTCCAGGATGGAACGGAGGATGGACTCGAAGTCACCCGCCTGAGGAGAGGGTGCAGGGGTGGTTTGGAAGCTGAGCCTGCAACACACCGCATGCAGGCAACACCGACAGTCCGGTTGCAATCACCATCGCAACCCAACCTGTCCCTCCCTTCCTATGTTTTGGTGTGGTCTTTGACCCCCCCTCCCCCTCACCGACGGCGAGGTGCCATCCGTCACCGGCACTCGGAAGTACTTGACCGCGAACCCCTGGCTGGCCAGAGCGCCGTACACCTCGGCGCTGGTCATCACGTCCTGCGGCCCCTCGATGGCCTCCCACACGTCGCTCAGCTCGCCCAGGTGTCCGCTGTCCTGCGCCTCGAAGGCAAGCAGGATGCGCCCGCCGAACTTCTCAGCCTGGCGGGAGCGGCAGCGGGTGGGAGGTTGATATGGGTTTGATAGGAGGGACAAGGAGGAGGAGCATGATGAGCGCGCCGAGGCCGTAGGCGTAGGTGAGGCTTGAGCTTTCTCCTCCTTAATTCACCGAATTACTCACCCGCTGAGTCACCACGCACCCACCCGCCTCCACCCCCGCACTTCCCCCTCACCTCCGCCAGCACATCCCGCTTCAGCCGCTCCTCCATCTGCGCCACCCGCTCCGCATCAATACCCGCGTACTCCGCCATGTTCTTCAGGGGGCGGCGCTGTGAGGATATGTTGAGGAGGAGGGGCGTTGGTGGAGGAGGAGAAGGTTAATGGACTAGTCAGAGCCTCTCTCTCTCCCACCAGAGGCAGGAGCAACACGCAGCGCTTCTACCCGGCCTTTCATTCACCATCCCCCCCGCCTCCCTCGCCACCCCCTCACCTCCTCTCTCAGCACGAAGGGCCGCCCCTTGATGTACACGACGGGCTCCTCCCGCATGTTGATCCACAGCGCATGCACGCGCTTGGAGGCGGTGGGGGAGGTGGAGCCGCTCACGACCTGCAGGGGGGTGCAGGAAGGGGGGCAGGCAGGTTTGTGTGCGTGCAGGTCACCTAACTAGGCAGAGAAGCAGTGACGAAGAAGACACCGGCAGTGCATGAAACTCCGTTCCTCTCAAAGACTACGGTACCCAAGTGCGGAATATCCATACCCCATGGCAAGCCCCTAGACTACAGTAGCATTCCTCCTCGCCCCATCCCCCCTCACCCTCAGCACCGCCACGATGCCCTCAATGGAGGGCATGCCCGCTCCGAAGATGGGCATGCCGGGCAGGCCGCGGAAGTTGGGCGCGCCCTCAATGGGCTGCGGGATCTTGGGGGAGCGCATGCCGGGGAACTGGTCCTCCTTGAGGATGGTGAAGGGGCCTGGGGGAGGGGCGGGGGCAGAGGAGGGTGGAGCAGGCTGCTGAAGGGGCTGCAAAGTAGGTTGTGGCATATGCGGGGTCATGCGGTTGAGGCGCATGGACTGCAGGACCACAGCAGGGCCACTACCAAAGCTGCTCCCCTGTCCCTCTTGACACACACCACCCATCTGTCCCCACCCCAGACCCCAGCCCCGCTGCTGTCCCACGCCCTCCGCCCGCTCTCACCCAGCACTGCACCGCTCCTCGCCGCCACCACATCGCTGCTGCTGCCCCCTGCCGCCGGCCCCGCCACAGCCCCGCTGCTGCCGCCGGCCCCGCCCCCCAGCAGCAGGGAGGGCGGCACCCCCCCCGCCGCCACCTCCGCGGGCACATGCAGGTCCAGAGCTGCCATGGAGTTGCGGCGGAGCAGGCGCATCAGGATACTGCGGGGGCGGGTGATTGGCGGCAGGGAGGGTAGTTGGTGGCGGTTTGTGGGACCCACAGCACCGCACAGACTACACAGCATCAGCAGCATCGCAGCACTCGCAAGAAACGGCCCCCCCGCAGGCTTCTCCACCACCAAGCCCCCCCACACCCCACACCCCACCAACCCCCTACCCCCCCACCTCCTGAGCTCGGGTCGCGAGCTCATCCAGTCCGCGAAGCTGGCCTGCGTGGGCAGCTCCGGGTTGAAGGCGGGCGAGTAGAGGTAGGAGGCGAAGGCGATGAGCATGTAGTAGCGCTCCAGGTACTCCTGCGTGGGGGGGGGGGCAAGGGTTGAGGAGGGTTAAATGAGGGGGAAACGTGTGTTCAGACAACTGGCCGCGAGTCCCTCCTGTTACTATCTGCAAACCACTATTCCAGCCCTGTTCGGAACATCCATTTCCTTTCCTATAAGCCCTATAACCTCCCTCCTTAAGTTCCTTCTTCACCCCTCCTCACTCCTCCCCCTCCTCACTCCTCCCCCTCCTCACTCCTCCCCCTCCTCACTCCTTCCCCTCCTCACCAGGCACACTGCCAGCACCGACTCCCTCTGCCGCTCGCGCATCTCCTTCAGGAAGCGGCTGCGGTAGGAGCCGATGGCCTGCGGAGGGGGGGGGGCAAGTGAGGATGAAGTGTGGGGTGGGGTTCGGGTAAGGGGAGGGTGAAGGGGCGTGGGCGGATGGGTAAACAGGCCGCGGACCATTGTTCACGTGGCATATCGCCTTCCGCATGTCTCGTGCTGAGCTGCCCCTCACCCGCCCCGCCTCCCTGCTCCCTTACTACCAACCTCCCCCCCTTTCCCGCCCCCGCCCCGCACCTCCCGCAGGTTCTGCATCTGGCTGCAGTGGTCGATCACCGCATCCAGCACCGCCTTGCCCGCCACGCCGTTCTCCAACACCCTGGGGGTTGGATGGAAACGTCAGTTTGGAATCAAAAATCAGGACGGGAGAGGGAGGAAAACGACGGTTACTTGATAAACGCCGGATGATTAAAAGCCGGGCAGACAAAACAAGAGAGGGAGAAGCAAATGAGCATTATGATGTCCGCACCCAAACCATGCCCATACACGCAGTCGCCTTCCTCCCCATTGGGTCTTCTTCTTCTCCCCCCCACCTCGCCCACACTCCTGTCGCACAAGGCACGTACCTCAGCAAGCTGCGAACCACGTCGTACATCCCCCACTTGAGCTTGTCCCGCGTCTGCTCCCCCACCGGCGGGGCGGCGGCCAGGGCGGCTGGGAACCAGGCGGGGATGGCCGCGGCGGCGGCAGCAGCTGGGCAGGTAGCTGCTCCCGCCCCCGCCCCTGCTGCCCCTGCAGCTGGGAAGGCCCCCAGCTTGCGCAGGTAGAGCAGGGTGCCGATGATGGTGCCGGTGGTGGTGCGCCCGCGGCCCATCTGGCAGTTGAAGATGAAGGCGGAGGTGCCCAGGTGCGGCCACATGCGGCTGATGAGCATGTCGAAGTCAGAGTCCTGTAGGGGGAGCGCAGAAAGGCAGGCGGGACGAGCGGTAAACCACGGTGCCTTGTGAGTGCCGTTGACAGACGTAGTACGACATATGGCCTGTCAGCACAGCCTGTCAGAGGCGACGCGGCTGCCCCAAAGCACCTCCTACGCCATCCCGCAGGCAGGGTCGTGGACACCTTTTCCAATCCCTTCCCTCCTCCACAGCTCGTTAGTGTCCTCTTTTTTGGCCCCCCCCCCGCGCGGTGTCACACGCACCTTGGGCGCCTTCTCATCCGTGATGGGAATCCGCAGGTAGTTGATGTGGTAGCCGTCAGCTGCGGGGCGGGGGGAGGATGGAGGGTGGAAGGGGATGGGGATGGGGATGGGGGTGAGAGGGGAAAGGGAGGGCGGAGCGAGGATCAACAGGTAGGTATTGCTGCTGAGCCAGCAGAACACGGTAGGGAGCCCAAAACAGCGGTGCAGAAGAAGGGAAAGCCAGCCCCTGTCTTCGTTCTTTTGTTTCTTAGTTCGTGCCGCCGAAGGCGAAGCACACGTCTTATATTTTCATGTTATGGTTTTGTTCTTTTCCACACCCCCGCACCGCCGCACCCCAGCAGGTACGGGTACCGGTGCATCCCCTCACCCCCTCACCCCGCAGCTCCGCGTACACCTCGTTGGGCGTCTGCACGTCCGCCGCCGTGACGGGCTCCCAGCTGTCGAAGAGCGAGAGGTCCTCGTTCTCGCCCTTCACCAGGATGCGGTTGCCGAACAGCGCAGCCTCGCGGAGAATGTCTTCCTGGGAGAGGGGTGAGAGGTTAGGAGGAGGGCGAGGGGAGGTGGGAGAGGGGGTAATGTTACAAATAAGGAACACATCCCCTACGTCCCCCATGCCTTGAGAGCTCGACACGATGCCCTCTACTATCACCCCAGCTCCTAGTGACCTCCGATTTCCCCGTCCCCACAGCTCCCTCCGCCGCATCGTGGTTGGTGTTGTCCATACCCCTTCCCCCGTTCCTCCCCTCCCTCCCTCTCGCCCCCCTGCCGTCTCCTATCCCCATTCCCTTGCCCTGACCTGTAGTTTCCTATGGCATGGTAAGGTCTTCGACCACCCCCACCACCACCCACCCACCTTGAGCCTCCTCTCCATGTCCTCCACTCGGCTCCTGTCGATGCCCGTGTACTCCAGATTGCAGAAGGGCTGGTCCGCCTCGCGAACCACGAAGGGCTGTCCGTTGATGAACACCAGCGGCTCCTCGCGCAGGTTCTGCCAGTACACCTTGCGGGCGCCTGGTTGGGGGGGGTGTTTGGGGGTTTGGGGGATGGGGAGAGAGGTGGGAGAGGTGCGAGGGTGCAGGAAGGGGAGGAGAGGTGGACCGGGTTGGGGATGGATGGATGGGCGTGCAAGGATGGTAAAGACAGGGCCTTCACAGTATGAAGGAGTGCGGCTGGATATAGCTTTGTATACACGTTTTGTTCCTGTGCAGCGCAATCCATCGCTAGCCGGTACCGGTCTGGGTGTTGAGACGTACCTTTGTTGGCACCAACAGCATTGAGCGCCGATCGGACACCGGTGACCGTTGGAATGGCCACTCCGTACATTGGCACGCCGGGGATCTGGGTTAACGGAGAGGCCAAGGGAGAACAGATGGTGCGAGTGTCAAGGAAGACGTGAAGTTGAAGTCAGGGTTCATGGTCAAGGGGTCAAGTTTGGATGGCAACTGCTGACATCCTCAACCTGCATACCTGGCGGAAATTGGGAGCGCCGTCTATGATAGGTACGAGCTTGGTGTTGTGACAGCCTGGGATGATAGTTCGTGCACCGGATCAGAAGAAGAATAGTTACCATCCGATGCGTGGGCGGGCCCCGTAAAAACCCTACTGGGCCTCGTGCATGGCACGAATTAATTTTATTACACCCTTAATAGGTTGCTTACTTGGAAAATGGTCTGCCTTAAGCGTCGTGTGCTTAATTAGCACGTCGCCTGCGCGACTTGCAATGACCTCCTCTGGTGCCGGAAGCACATCCTGGGCCTTGGGGCCAGGTGCACTCATGTTGTGCTTTCTTTACTTTTACCTTGTGCTGCTAATTAGTTTGATGCGTCGTTATAGAACAACTTGACGAATAGCCCCACGTTTGGCGAACGTACAATAGCGTGAATTACTGCATTAGCAAAGCATGTGTGTAATGAGCACCAAACACTTGAAGCTTTGAGCTCTGATGCTGCTAAAGTTGGAAGATGCCAAGTTGGCAGCATGTCGCTGATGTACTACAATGTATGATACCCGTGATCGCACGGTTACTTGCAACAACGTACCTTTGGCAGAAAGGTGAAAAGTACGCACCGCCGATCAAGCATACTGATCAGGATAACTGCGCTCGGTTGTTATAACCTGTGATTATTGTAACATTGCAAAAGCTGGACCGCGTTCCCAAACGCATTGGGTGCCAGTAGGGTTATGTTTCTTACAACGGTAGTAGATGGTACGCTGCATAGAGCGATGGTACGTTCCAATTGGTCGGAAAGCGTGTGGCATTCCAACGGACAACATGTCCAGCAACCAACGCAACACCTCACATGTAAAGTGCTTCTGTCCACAGTATTACTTCATTCATAAGCAGGGCTGTACCGACGTGTCCTGGAGCCCTTGTCCCCGTCACGCCATGTCCACTGCCAGCTGCCACATCCACGCCAATCGCCGTGCTGCATGTGTCTCATTCATTCCCATCCCGGTAATTCCCAGTTGACCACCAATGCCGCACTGATTCAGTACACCCCCGCATACAACCCATACTACCTGTGATGCTCTTTCTACCCCCTTTTCCCCGCCCCTGCAGCCGCTGCTGCCTTGTCCCGAATAACCCGCAGCACCTCCCCCCTCAGCGTCGCCACGTACCCAGGCGTCAGCCACCTCCCCATCCCCGCCTCAGCTTGCTCCCACACCTCCACCTCACCGCAGCCCCCCGGACCCTGCACAGCCTTCTCCGCCGCCGCCTCCCCTCGCCGCCTCTTCCCCCCCGCTCCCTCCTCTCCACCCGCACCTGCACGTTCCACCCCCGCCAGCCACCACCCACACACCGCTCGTGCCACTGCCAACACATACACGCCGCAGTCGTAGCCGTTACTCTGCGCCGGCATGTGCCGGACCTCCACAAACACAGGGGAGACCCCACCAGCTTCCCGTCCGCTGCTGCAGCTAGTGCTGCTGCTAATGCTACGGTCTGTACGGCAGTCCTCCCCACTGCCTAAACCCAATGCAGGTGCTACAGCCGCCGCAAGCCGCCGTGCTGCGCGCGAGTTGGACCCCCGTGCCGAATCGTAGTGTCGCAGGGTGTGGGAGGGCCGGTGGTAGATCAGCAGGCTCCTGGGGGTGGAGCGTGAGGCGTGGGGGGGGGTGAGGTGTGGGGTGGGCGGGGCGGGGTATGTGACGGGAAGCCCCGCAGCACAGCGCAGGTCCACGTGCAGTCGTCACTTCACTTGGCGAGCGCTGGGGTCACAGAAGCCGGCAGCCCTCAGTAAGGCCTTATCTAGTGAATGCGCCCCCCCCCGCCCGCCTCACTTCCCCCTCCTTCCTCCTCACCAGTGGCTGCCCCCGCCTGCGGAGGCGACGTCGGGGTTGTCATTCACCGGCAACAGCACCAGAGCCCGCTGGTCGGGCTGCCGGTGTTGGGAGAAAGCGGCAGGAGGGAAAGAATAAAATGAAGTCCGGACGGAGTCCCAATCCCAAAGTATTCCAACTCATGGCTTCAGAAGGAGGGGGCAGGGCAGGTGCGTGATCGCTCTGGAAGGGGGGCCTAGGTACATGATGGCGCATGCATCTGCCTCAGCGTAGCAGCAGGCGGGGTGGCGGGGAACGGCCGCATGCATGAGCGGCGCATCAGCATCCCACAAGGTGGTGGTGCGTTGCAACCCTTGTAAGTAAATTTCAAAGCCATTAGTAAGGCCACAATCACCGGTACAACTGACAATACGATTGATTTGTGGTGAATGGAGGTGTGGAAAGCAGGGTAGCAGTGGTGGTGTGGGGCATACGGCTATGTCGTACCTTCAGAGGCGCTAGGATCTCGGAAGCAGCATCCGGACCTACGCTCATATGGCGGGAAGGGAGGCGGGAAAGGCGGGAAAGGGGTGGTGGGAGACACGGCGGGGTTGGTGGAGATGGCAAGTTGGGGACACAGCCGCCTCACTCACTCCTCGCGCTCCGCTTCAGTGGAGTAACCCCTCACCCGCGTGCATGATCAGGAATGAGGTGCCCGGCGGCACCAGCAGCACACTGTTGCTGAAGTCTGCGGCGCGTGGGGGCGCTTGCGGGGGACCTGCTGCTGTTGCTAGTGCTCCTGCGGCTGGGGTGGTTGCAGCAGCAGCGGGGCCCCGGCTGCTGCTGCTTTTGCACAGGGCTGGCAGTTCTTCCCGTTCTAGATACTCAAAGAAAAAGGAAACCACCTGAGAGGGCGTCAGGGCCGGACATGCATGCATGTATTGGAAGCAAGCAACACACCATGCAGCGGGGCAGGGCAGGGCAGGGCAGGAAGGGTAGGGCAGGAAGGGTAGGGCAGGAAGGGTAGGGCAGGCGGGGCAGGACATGCAGCAGGGCAGGGAGGGCATGCATCTGCACCTGGTCGTTTAGCCAGTAGGGCCCCTCCAGCAGCGATACATCCTGTTCTCGCAACAGTACATCGTGGTAATCAAGGACTTTGCGCTCGCGATCGCGAGGGTTGCTCATGTCTGGAATGTTTGAGCTACCTAGGTATGCTTGCTTGCTCCCTTATATACACTAAATATGTTTTTTGCAAAGGATTATGCGAAGCGTAAACACCTTTCTTTAGCACACGAATGGTCTTGTAGAGCAACGGGCAATTTAAGTCCGGTTCTGCTTGGTTTCAGAGCCACATGGTCGACGGCATAATCGCCATCGGGCCCCTTGCCAACGCCCCACACCTAGCCTGACGTAATGTACCCGCCCCTGCCGCCTTTGGAACCCAACATTAAGCTTTCAGTCAAGCTACATGAGCGCATGTGGGATTGGGCGGGTTGGCCGAGGTACGCTGGAACTGGCTGGGTGTTCCCTGGTTGGCAGGCCCCGAGTCAACCCCGCACAGCCCTGTAAGGTCCAGGAGGCCTTAAAAAAACCCCAGGGAGCCTTAAGCAGCGCATGCAAATCCTTGGGCCCCCTCTGTCCTTTTCGCTTGGTGGGCGGCTTTTGCACAAGGGTGCACAACGGTCACGCCCATGCTCAACCCACATGCCTTTCCCGGCTCCAACTCCCACGGCTCTTCCCGGCTGAGGATTGTTAGGACGCGGTGGAGGCCACAGTCGTTAGAGGCAGCGCCCACGCCCCTGGCAACACACCACTGACCCTCTTTAAGACTCCCCACCCCATTTTTGACCAGTTCTTTGGCCCCCCTTTGACTCCGTACTGTTGCCGTGCACAGCGCTGGCCCCGCCCACGAATGGCGCGTGGTAAGTGTTGCTTAGCTGCTTCGCATGGCTGCCGTCCAGGCCTATCCAGGCCTCCATAGAGAGAAGTCATGTAGCGAGGGCCACGAGGCATTGACGGTATGCTTGAGACCCAACAGCTTCGCTAACCTTCTTGCCAGCTCTGTGGACAGCCTTTGCTGTAGTGAATGGTGATTAGAGTGCTGTGCGCTCTGGGGAACGACGACATTTGCTATTAATATCAAAAAGAGTTAACCATTTCAATGCAGTAAAGTAATAATTACATTATTATTCCAGTGTATTACGTTACTGTGTCGAATGGTATCCGCCCTTTGCAAGTTGGTAAGAGCTGCGGCCGCGAAGACAGAACGCTTGTAGAAAGCGCTAAGCCGCGCACGCAATACAATAGCTGGAATTGGCTTGCAACAATACGCCCAATATGTAGCATGAAGAGTCGACATTGTAACGCCGGCTGAACTACTGATACCCCGTTGTGCCGTACAGCAACTACTGCTGACTTTACAAAGTCGCGAAGCCTGTTATGGCCCATATTTCGGCACCTACATACACATACCTAGTCCTGCACATATATACCCAGTATTCTTTTTGGTCTTAGGTCTACTGCATCCTAGCGTAACAGGAACTGAGTAGCCGCGCCGCTTCCCGTAGAAGGCATACATCTTCAGGCACACCTATAGCTATTTCGTACATATAACGATAGCATAACTTCTTCAGCGAAGGACTTTTAATAGCAAAGCAGAAAAATATGGATGGCCCTCCCCGTTCCGTATCCTTTGAAGAGGACGTCTGCTGGGTTTGCTTAGAGGGCGCTAGTCGTTCTGCTGGACGACTTGAGTATCCATGCACATGCCCTCGTGGCGTGCACGCCAAGTGCCTTGCGCGATGGCAGGTGGGTGGCTGTGACGACGCACGCGAACTTGAACACATTTACCCACTGCCGTTCCAAGCACCCGAACCCTGTACAAATCCACGCTCTAAAGACAGTGAATGGTAGTCTTCAGGCGGGTCTTTTGGTCTCCAACCGTCATGCAACTCCCGTTGCCATTAGTGCTTCGCATCATCAGGCTTACCAACAGCCCTGGCACTAAACCTGGTACATAATTTTAACGCTTTGCTCTTGCAGTTGCAATCGGCTGGCAGGGAAGAGGAACGGTTTTGTCGCTTTTGCAAAAACGAGCTTCCTGACTGGAGAGACATCCTAACGCCCAAGGTGCCCGCAGCGCCACCCGTCATGGCCATTGTATATGACGGCAAGGTGAGAACAGAACTGTTATTTGAGCCTGGGATTACCTGAGGTGTTCGCTACGCCCCTTTACCGCCGCCATGCCCTACATGTCTGACACACGCGCTGCAACATCGCACAACCGCTTTCTCCCTTTGCGACTTCCTTACAACCATTCAGCCGCAGTTTGATAGCGCACTGTTGGCTACCAACCTCGCCCTTCCTGACCACCCTGCCGCCCTGCTGCCTGCTCGTCTCCCCCTGCCTCAGGTTGTTCGGTTGCAAGTCAAGCCGGGTCGCGAGGGAATGGAGGAGTTCCAGCGCCAAGTGCGCAAGGCCTTCAACCTCGGAGAGGATGTGGAGCTGGACTGTGTGTTCGATTGCAGGTACGCAATGTGAAGTCTTGAGTGGCTGCTGGTTGGATCCTAGCAGCTGAAGTCGGGTAGTCTAGCCAGGTTGAGGGCGGTCAAGGTTTGGACATACAGCTCAAACCGCCTGACAAACTTGGATTAATCACAAACTCACCCTCATCCGCAGGGCTCCAGGGACCGGTGAGAAGATCAAGCTACGAGGACTAGAGTCTTACTCTGCTGCTATGCACTGTGCGGCTGTGGCAGCCGGGGAGCGCCTAGCAAAGATGAAGCCCGGGAGCAGCACCCCCAGCCGACCCATGGGTCCCTCGGCCTCTAGTTCCTCCGCACCCGCTGCCGCTGCAGCTGCCGCCGCAGCAGCAGCTGCTGCCGCTCCCGTCCCACTCAGCCTCCCAACCGTCAGCTCGCAACCCGCGACTCCTCGACTTCTCTCCAGTTCCACCGCAGCTGCCGACGCTTGCCCTTCCACTCCCTCATCCTCCGCTTCGTCACCCCGGGGCACCCCCGTCGCCCCTGCTTCCCGCCAGCTACCTCACATCCACCACCCCCAGCAGCAGCACCACCAGCAAATCCACCAAGCCCTGGAGGCGCATGCTCGGGCCACCTGCGTCCGTTCCAGCCCTCGTTCGCATCGCGCGAGTCTTGGCGGCATTGGTGCGGCAGGCGACATTACGCCATGCGCTAGCGACGACAGCCTAATGGGTGTTGCTGGTGACGTTACGCCGGTTGCTTCCCCCGGGGGGCTTGCAGGCGGCAGTGGTCGGAAACGGAGCCTTCTGTCGGGCCTGTTTAGGACCCTGACCTCGGCTCGTCGGATCATGTGAGGGAGATTGCTGGTAGAGAGCTTTCTGTCGTTCCTTTGTTTGGTCAACGGGGGAAACTTTGGCGTACGGCAGTACGGGTAGGGACATGTACGGTGTACGGCAAAGAATTGCCGTACCTTCGGGGGTCGTGAGGGAAGAAGGTAAGGACTAGAAATATGGTGAAGTGTAGTGTGTCGGATATGGATAATGGAGTCTAGTGACAAGAGTACTTACTGGTGACATTAATAGCGTGCCATGGTCTAGGATGAAGAGTGCGTTGGTCAATGGAAATGTTGGTTACGTGCCGGTTGCAAACAGTTGTGCAGAAAGCGAGAGGTTGGATGGAGCCGCCGCACATTCAGCTTAAAGGGACTGCTAAGGAATTGCCGTTGTTGTGTCATAAGGTATATACTGACTTGGGAAGACCTAGATTTTCATCCCGGTAAGTACGGCAATATAGTCGTACATAGGGGTGTGGTACGACATGTATCGTATGGTACGTGGATCGTGTATAGAACTGTGAAGTGGATATAGAGCATACCTGTGGGATAGCTGCTGCACTAGCGTAGAACCATACGCCGCCTACTTTGATAAGGATTGCATTACCTATAATAGCGTTGTGAGGGAGGAGCGTGTTTAATAGTTTATCTTAGGCTTTGACCGGTTAGAAACGCAAAGACCGCAGGAGAAGCGTGGGGAACAGGAAAATGTGCGCAGTTTGGTATCGCAGTGACCTAGCTTCATTCCCCGCTTTACTTTCCTTGCGTCGTTTATTTTTAAGTTGTTACGAAGGGCACGCAGGTATGCCTGATTAGGCACGCCTGTGTGCAGGGCTTCCCCTTTTCCGGCATCTGTGTCTGTCTGATGTCTCCTGTTTAGGCATTTCAGCATAGCAGGGAGCCACCCTCCCTGCCGTCATCGACGCATGCATGAGTGTATGGTATGGCCTGACGGCCCTTACCTAGTATTTGACCGAAGAAGAAACGTTGGATAGTTGTTAGCGGGAGTCAGGGGGCTGCTGCGCCTTCCCTCTTCCTCGTGTATTAGCTACCGCACGAGTAACAAGCCCTGACTGCCCCGACGGTTGACTGTTGTGGTATTATCTCGTTTCAAGTTGCTTAAGGGTTGTGGGTTAAAATTGCCGATCTTACCGTATATTGTCTTCTACGTTTGGAAAACGAGGTTAGCCCCACAGCTTGTATGTCCTCGCCGTGATGGGGCAACTTTTGCCGAGAAGTTGTAACAAGATGTTGATGGATGATGCTGCTTGCGGCTGCAATCCAGAGTCCCGTTACCTCTTACGCATACAGCTGGAGTTGTGCGTAAACGGAGGCGCACCAACCGCAGAACATGCATGCTATGGATCTACCTGCATCGTGCCATGCTCCTTTGCCTATACCTGAGCTGAACTAATATGGAGAACAGGGCATTATGTTCGGTCAGCAGCGGTTCCTCTGAAATGAGTGAGCGAGCGGTATCATGCACTGACATAATGCACTGCTGCTGCAGCCCTCTGCCTGCATGCATGGGGTGTTCAAGAGGTAGCAAACAGCGGCCGGGGGATGAAAGCTGGGGAACTTGCACATGGACTGGGGTGGCCGGGGGGCTAGGGCGCTAGGGCGCTGGGGGACTGGGGGGCCAGGGTGCTTTGTATGTATGGAAGAGGCCTGCCAAGTCCCTGTGCGCTGGGGCACCGGCGCACGGCCTGCCTACGGGTTTAACCAGTATGAGAGCCCACGGCGGATAACGGGATAAGGCATACCACCTGATTAGTATGACACATATGTTAGCTATCTATTGAATAGCGGATGGGCCTGCAGCACGCCCACACACGTTGACCACACATGGACACCAGTGTTCTCTTGTTAACCTAGTGGTGACAGATTAGCCGGAAGCACCAGGAGACATGGTGGCTGCGCAGTATGACTCGTCAGAGAGGTGTTTTCCGACCGCACACGGCCAAACAAAAGAGCATGTGAATTCCGGATTGTGAAGATACCTGTTGCCCGCCCGGCGTATAACCATTTCCCCCTTTCCTTTTACATTATCCGGCAGTTATCGTTGTCAACCGCTGCCCGTCGCGCCGCTTTCCGCTACCACACGGTAGGAGTTATAGCTTACATATGCGGAAGTGAATTGAACTTACATATACACTGGGGCACCCACCGGCACAACACAGCAGCTGCTGGGGAAAGATATTGCCATACGTCATATTGTCATACCCGAGTCGCAAGTCGTCAAGGAGTAGTGTTCAAAGCATTACAGGGCAAACATTAATGACATATCGCTGCAAATTTGATTTTAGGGCGCTCGTGGCGTTCCAGGTGTTTGCATTCGTCCTCAATTTCACCGAATAATCGCGTGATTGGTCACCTTCTGCTATCCCCTTATCGTCTCAGCGCTATAAGATATGGCCTGGGAGGATTTTGGCGAGGCGACTGCTAACGCGCCAGGTAACGGATGTCGTCGTCCGCTGTGCGGCTCCGTCATCTAGCCTAGCCGACGACGCATAGCTGTCATTATAAACATAAAATATGCCTGCACGCGATCTATGCTTGCGATGCCGCTGGGAATGTCTACCTCGCTTGGCATCCATGGCCACGTTGTTACCCTTGTGACCTAACACGCCGTGCGCTGCCCATCTCGCAGGTAGACCCGACCCCGGGCCCCCAGGCGGCATCATCCCAGCCAGCAACTCCTCCTACTCTCAGCTTGCCACCAAGTCCCACCATCCTCATCATCATCCTTACAATCTCCATCAGCAACACAACTACACGCTGCACCGTTCCTCCGCCGCTTTCGATTGCACAGCAGCATACGGTACGGCGGCAGGTTCTTCTTTCTCGGTCGTACCCTCCCTTCGCGCGCTGTGTCTTGGCTTCTTGGGTCGCCATGTGCAGATGCTAGCGGAGCAACTGGGCCCGCACCTGGGCCCCCTGCCTCCGGACGTGAAGGCCTGCCTGCTATGTGTAGCCAGGTGGGGGGCAGCTGAGGAGGGAAGGAGGCGAGCTGGGAGTATTGTGCTGGAAGTACGGCAGACTTAGTATGGCAGACCTAGTACGGCAGAGGGAGTACGGTAGAGCCAAGGGAGGACACCATCGCTGCCATGGTTAGGCCTGTCCTTACCTTCCTTATCTCATCACTCTCCCGCCCCTACCGGCATCCCTCTCCCCCTCCCCCTTGTCCTCCCAGACGCCGCCACTGCCTCACCAACCGAGTGCTTCTGGCCCTGGCGGACGAGGGCTGGCCGCTGCTGGACCTGGCGGGGGCTGTACGGCTGTCGGAGCGGGCAATACGGCAGGTGAGGTGGGAGGGGGGCAGGTGGGTAAAGAGAAAGGCAGGATGCAGGTGTTAGGGCTGCAGGAGGCAGGTGTACGAGGACTGAGTGCCAGGGACGGGGGCTTGGTAGGCCCGCGCACAACGAAAGGTAGTACTCGAACCAGCTCGACATCTCCGCTACCTTCTCCTCCCCGTGTCTCTCTCCCTTCCCACTCTCCTGCCGTCTTCCCCCTTCCAGGCTCTGCTGCGCTGCCCCCGGCTGCGCGCTCTGGACCTGCGCGGCCTCACCGCCCCCTCACCTGCGCTGCTGCGGGAGCTGCCCGCCCTGCTACCTCGACTGGAGCTGCTGGCGGTGGGAGGAGGAGGGGGAGGAGGTGCGGAAGCAGGGGAGGAGGCAGGGGGAGGCAGCAGCAGGGCGGGTAGTTGCGGAAGAGGAACTGCAGCAGCCCCAGCAGCAGCAGCAGCAGGAGCAACAGGCGGTGGGGGCGGGCCGCTTGAGCAGGCGGTGCTGCAGGTGCTGCCAGACATCCTGCCGCACATGCGGCTGCGGGAGACACCCCCTCCGGTGGCGGACAGCTGGGAGGAGGTGGCGGAGGCGGCGGAGGTGGCTGGGGCAGCAACCACCACCACCACCTCAACAGGAGCAGCAGACGGAGGCCAGCTGTTGGCCGACCCGGGGCTGCCCTGCGGTCTGCAGCGGCTGGTGGTGTTGGTGTGGCCGAGTGCTCCGCCCCTGGCTCGGCACCTGGTGGCCCGCATCAGTCCCCGGGTGGCGCTGCTGGAGGAGCTACCGCAGCAGCAGCAGTGGGGGGCGGGGTGGGGCGTAGCGGCGGTGGCGGCAGCACCGGCAGGACCGCCGGCGTGGGGTGCAGTAGAGCCCGCTGCTTACCACCATCATCACTACCACCACCGCCACCACCAGCAGCAGGCTTCCTCACCCTCTCCATTGTCGTCGCCAGGGAGGAGGGACGCGGGCTGCGGCTCGGGTGGTGGTGGTGGCGGTGGCGCGTCTAGCAGTGCTGCTGGCGGGGGTGTCGGGGCGGGGTCGCATCACCGCGGGGGCGGCATCCAGGTGTTGCATGTGGTGCGGGGGAGCGGCGGCGGGGGTGGAGGTAGGGGTGGGGGTGGCGGCTCAACCCGTGCGGCCTCAGCAGCAGCAGGCGGAGGTCAGAGGTACATGGCCCCGCACCTCAGACACAACAGACAACAGCAGCAGCCACAGCAAGAGCAGCAACAGCAAGAGCAGCCACCGCAGGGCCCCCCTGCAGGAGAGGCCCCCGCTGCTGCCCCCGCTGCGGCTGCCGCCCCGCCTCACCCACATGCGCCCGGCAGCCCCCTCGCCGCACCCCACCACCACCACCGGGAACAGCAGCAGCAGCAACAGCAACACCAACCCCCTCCTCAGCCACAACCCCGCCTCCATCCGTCACCCCCTCCCGCCCCCGCCGCCCCTCCCCCCGCGCTGGACGACTGCCTGGCAGTTCTGGTGGGCGATGAGGCGTGGTCGGGGCTGGGCGGGGGCGGGCGGCGGGCGGAGGAGGAGGCGCGGTGGGAGGCGCTGCACATCGCAGAAAAATTCCGGTTGGCCTATGTGGAGCAGGTGGGGGGGGAGAGCGGGAGGATTGGGGGAGTATGGTGGCTAGGAGGGATTGAGGAGCTGAGGGCGCATGTGGGGATAAGGACTTAAGGAGCTCATGTGGGGCACGTGAGGGGTTCGGAAGGACCTCCGGTCGCCTACCTTGCTGCATCCGCTCCCCAACAACAACCGCCCACTACGTAGCCACAACCCTGCGTCCAAGCCATGCCCCCCCCCCGCCCCCCAGGACGCCCGGTTGCGCGCCAAGGCGGTTCGCGAGGCGGCGGCGGAGCGGCGGCGGCAGCTGAGGGCGAGTGGCGCGGCACGAGCGCTGGATTGCTGGCTGGATGAGGAGTGAGGAGATGGGGGGCGGTGGGGGTGAAGAGGCAGGGAAGGGAGGAGGAAGGAGGGGAGGAGATGAGAGGGGCGGAGGGACCTAGCTGGTATGCGGCCATGTAGTTTCGAGCAGGTTTGATGATGTGGCAGGATGTACCTCGTACATTGTACGACGTGTCGTGGCCGCATGTACGGAGCCGTACTATGATACCGGCTGTGATACCGGCTGGAGCAGGGCTGTTGGGCTGCCCAAGCTGATGGGATGTGCTGTGTCGCATGACACATATCGCGTATGGTATCGCGTCTAATAAGTGTGATATATGTGTATCTGTGTTGCCTTGGGAGCCTTCACGGCTGCGTGCGACTGATCAGCAGGTGGGCAGCAGTGCGAGGTGTAGGAGCAGCTCTTCCCACGAGGAGGCACCTCACAGGGGGGCACTGCTGACGGCTTGAGGGACACATACGTCGTGCGGCTGTGATGGTGTCTGTTGAAGATGAACGACATGCACACAATGGCGTCGTTTACTGCTTCGATGTCAGCTAAGGTACCCCGTAGGAGCACATGCTGTGCAGTTAACAGCGGGTAGCAGTGCCCAAACGACAGCATGCCATGTAAACATAACGTAAGCTTCAGGTGTCTTCTAATCGTTTGAACAAACCAACATGCTCACAGCGGTGAGGAGGGAATAGTACGGGCGAAGCGAACAGCACCAGCAGCACAATGCGCCGTACAGAGGGCACCCGAGGTGATGCGGGACAGGCACCTTGAAGCAGCGATGAATGCATCTGAACACGTGAGGGACATGACACACGCATGCCTTCATTGTAGGCGCTCAAGGCAGCCTGAAAACAGGTGACGTGTTTTCGTTGTTTGAGCTTAGGAGAGGATCGTTGACCGAGATGTGTTGACTGGCTCCGCAGGTCCATGCGGCGAAGACAGCGCTGGGTGTGACGGAGCGTGTAATTACGGTCGGTTTAGCATTTTGCGAACGAATATGGGTAAGAGACGTGGCAGTCGGGGAGGGGAGAAATTTTAGGTTCGTAACTTCGTATGCGAGTCAAACGACACCGCTTAGTGGGCGTTGACCATAATGGGCGTTGACCGCGAGGGTTGGTTGACCGTCCCCACTGTTCAGCAACCACCCGCATATCGGATGTGAGGTATTGCATGTAGGGGTTGGGGGAGATGGTCTGGGAGGCCGCGGCTATGGGGATCGATACGATGCGGAGGGGCCGAGGTGGCAGTCCTCCGGTACGCCCGGTACCTATGACCTTTTGAGATCTAACGACCCAGTTGTCGGCAATGCCTCCTCTGGTTTAGGTTCATTTCGCTTTTATTATTTTGCCTTGGTTGGGCAGCCCGATATTCAAAGTCCGCGCTCGCAGATCATTAGGACATTGGTCGGTAAGAACATCATCCATTTTTGTAATGCTGGCATCCAATGTACAAGTCAACGTTCCAATTAACACCGAAAAGAGTTGTGAAAGCGCTTGGGGAAGTTGAGGGTAAGGATCCTAACCGGTGCACGATGGTTACGGAATGGGCGAATCCATTTGCCGTGGCCATCTTAAAGCCATTTTCTCTATATAAGGGTCATACACGCTCGGTGTAGCTACTCTGTGGCAGTAAGGGTGCCGAGGAATACTGCCAAGTTAACTGAGGATCATCATTACTTGACGGGCTTTGCCCACCGTATGCATTTGCTGAAAATGCTCAGCAAGCAGAGAACCTCTCTTCAGTTGGGCTCCCGGCAGGCGCAGCACAGGTGAGCAGCGCTTGTTTGCCTTCCTTGGTGCTGCACAACCGTTCGGAACGTCGCTCCTTCGGAACAGCGGGATCAGGGCCATTGTGCGCGAAGTATCGTCTGCTACGCACCATGCCGGTGTTTGACTACTCATAAGACGGACGGGCGCGTGAAGCACCCCGAAGTTGACAGCGCATGTAAACCCTTTTCTTGTTAGGCCAGTGCCTTAGCACACGTTGCACGAGGCCGGGCTTCATGGTGACCAAGGCCTCTTTTATTGCCCCCCGTGTTACAGGAATGCGCTGGTGCAGCTGCTTCACCAGCGCGCCAATGTGCGCGCCAACGCCATTGCCGGTACCGCGCCCGTAAGCAGCACTGGCCCCAGCGAGCCCGCGAAGGCTGGTACACCCTACTCAAACCTTACCATTGGTAGGTCGCGCGCTTCACACGTAACAGCGGCCCGCATGGGAGTGCCATGTTGGATGGGCAACGGTAAAAGTTCACCATGTGCATGCGCTTTACGTTTCCATATGCGCAATAGCTTCGCTATTGTGTCGCTTTTTATTGCCTTACCGAGTTTCGCATTTTCCTGTGCACGGTATACCGGTATCTATGCCATCACTAACCTTCCTTCTCCGCGCGCATTTACCTGACAGGTGTTCCTCGCGAGACCGCTCCTGGCGAGCGGCGTGTGGCGCTGAGCCCGCCGGTTGTGGGTTCTCTGATCAAGAATGGCTTCAAGGGAGTCCTTGTCGAGAAGGGTGCTGGCGAGTACTCCCACTTCACGGTAAGCCTTCACACATGCTGCTTTATATGCACATTTATTTTTGCACATTTGTTGTTACCATATTGCGACCGTCATACTTGCTATCTGTCGAAGACTGACTTGTGCCGTTGCCATCCGTTGTGTTCCCGTCAGGATGCCGACTTCGCTGCTGCCGGTGCTAGCCTGGTGGACACCGCTGAGGCCCTGAGCGCTGATATTGTTCTCAAGGTTCGGCCGCCAGCTCCGGAGGATGTGGACAAGATGAAGGAGGGCTCTGTGTGAGTCATCTATGAGCTCGGCGCCTATTTTTTGCCAGCTAGGCTTTGCAATTCCTTCATGTGATGTACCCTATCCCTAAGCGACGTACTGTTATGCTGGCATTTTGCACATTATCGCCATCGTTCCATCCAGCCCACATCCCAACCCCCAGCTTCTCAACAGCCCTTCCTCGCCCATATACATTCCCCTCCTCCCCTCCATCCTTTCCTCTTCCTTTCCTCTATCTCCTTTCCTTCCTCCCTTTCTTTACCATCCTGTCATTGCCAACTTACTATCTGTCCCTCCTTTCTTCCTCCTCCCCTTTCTCCCCCAACAGCCTGATCAGCTACCTCTACCCCGCTCGCAACAAGGAGCTGCTGGACGCGCTAGCTCGCCGCCGCACCACCGCTATCGGCATGGACTGCATCCCGCGCACCATCAGGTGGGGAAAGAGAAACAACTAACCGACTGGTGGGGTGTGGGGGCTACACTCGCCCGGTCCGCCGTCGTCATCATCATTGTCGTCGTTGTTGTTATATGACATGTGACTGCTTGCTCCAGTTGTCAGTGTAAAGCAGGGGAGCGGGGTCGTTGGGGAGTTGGGAAGGGCCTCCACATGAACACCAACTAGCATTACCCAATATCACCGTCCTTTTGCCCCTCTCGACGCTTCACCTTGACCTCCTCCCTCCATCCCCCCCCGCAGTCGCGCCCAGATGTTCGACTCGCTCAGCTCCATGGCAAACATCGCCGGATACAGGTGAGGGTGGGGGCTGAGGGTGAGGGTGAGGGTGAGGGTGAGGGTGAGGGTGAGGGTGAGGGTGAGGGTGAGGGTGAGGGTGAGGGTGAGGGTGAGGGTGAGGGTGAGGGTGAGGGTGAGGGTGAGGGTGAGGGTGAGGGTGAGGGTGAGGGTGAGGGTGAGGGTGAGGGTGAGGGTGAGGGTGAGGGTGAGGGTGAGGGTGAGGGTGAGGGTGAGGGTGGGGGTGGGGGTGGGGGTGGGGGTGAGGGTGAGGGTGAGGGTGGGGGTGGGGGTGGGGGTGAGGGGTGAGGGGTGAGGGTGGGGGTGGGGGTGGGGGTGAGGGGTGAGTTTGTGAGGGCGGCGTTGCGTTGCGTTGCTAAAGATATAGACTTGAGGATGGAAAGACGGTCGTTACGGTTCGTTACTAGGAAGCTAGTACCCGCATGTGGTGTCCCTCCCTGCCCTGCCTCACCCCCAACTGCCCCCCCCAGGGCTGTCACGGAGGCCACCACCCACTTCGAGCGCTTCCTGAACGGCCAGATCACCGCTGCCGGCCGCATCCCGCCCGCCAAGGTAAGCGTGCGCTGCGCCCCGTACACCACCTAACCTTTTCTGGTTGCTCTCTGTGACTGTTGAATCCCACCCAAGCTCTGTTTGTGTTCCACCCGCTCCCTCGCTCTCTCATGGACCCGCCGCATTCTGGTTCTGCTGTCTATTTCCTTCTCTTGATTACATCTTCCTCCTGATGCCGTACCCGCATCCCGCTTGCCGCTCCCGCCCAGGTTCTAGTGATCGGCGGCGGTGTTGCGGGCCTCGCGGCGGTGGGTGCCGCCAAGAGCCTGGGCGCCATCGTTCGGGTGTTCGACACGCGCACCGCAGTCAAGGAGCAGGTGGGGGGTGAGAGGGTGGTGGGGGTGGTGGCAGCTGACCTGTGTAGACCCGGTAGCGGAGCTGCATCGCATCACCTTGCATCGTGCGGTTGGGCAGTGGCCTGATACCTCCCCGAGTCCTTCCTTACAGCTATGGCAGCTGTTGGGTCGGCTAACCTCCGCTCTCTCTCCCTCTCCTTGTCCTCACCCTCTCCTCGTCCTCACCCTCTCCTCGTCCTCACCACGTCCTCACCACCTCCTCGTCCTCACCCTCTCGCCTATCTCCCCACCCCCCAGGCCAAGTCCATGGGCGCCGAGTTCCTGACTGTGGACATCGAGGAGGAGGGCGAGAGCGGCACCGGCTACTCCAAGGAGATGAGCCCCGCGTTCATTGAGGCGGAGGTAAGGGGGGATCAAGAAGAGGAAACTGACGGGAGGGGGAGGGAGGGAGGGAAGGGCGAAGGGCGAAGGGAGAAGGCCTCGCTCTTGCTGCTGCTGCTGCTGCTGTTCCCCGCCATCACCTGCCCAGCCCATGTGGTTTTCTCTCACCGCCACCCCGCTCCCAACCTTGCTGTCCCCTCTTCACCCCACCTCTCCCACCCCCCACCCCCCGCCTCTCCCCCTCCCAACCGCAGATGAAGCTGTTCGCGGCTCAGGCCAAGGATGTTGACATCATCATCACCACCGCGCTCATCCCCGGCAAGGGCGCCCCGCTGCTCATCACCAAGGACATGGTGGACTCCATGAAGCCGGGTGGGGGCTGGGGGGTGGGGGGGAAGGGGTGGGGTGGGGTGTTGACATGAAGGTGGGTAACAGAAATAGGCTTCACCAAAGGTTGCTGATTGAAGCCGGGTGGGCGGAAGTAAGGAAACTGGCGTCAACCGTATGACGAGGCTTCACCATAGGTGGCTAATAGAAGCCGGGTGGGGTCATCTCTTATCATCATCAATCCCGTCCCCCCAACCTCACACCAACCCCCACCCGCCCCCCCACCCACCCCCAGGCTCCGTGATCGTGGACCTATCCGCCGAGGCGGGCGGCAACTGCGCCTACACCAAGCCCGGCGAGGTGATCCGCACCTCCAACCGCGTCACCGTGGTGGGCTACACGGACATGCCCTCCCGCATGGCCGGACAGTCCTCCTCGCTGTACGCCAACAACATCAGCAAGCTGCTGCTGTCGGCGGGACCCTTCACGGGGGGACCCAAGGGCGAGTTCAAGATTGACCACTCCGACCCCGTCATCCGGTGAGGGGGTGCGGGTGGGGGAGATTGGGGTTGGGTGGGGTTAGGGCTGCGTTTACCGGGCATCTCGTCTGTTTCTTGAGTCCGCCAGCCTGCGTTGCTTGGTTCTTAGACCGTATACTGGATAGTACGGGTGCTGCGATCGGCTGTTTGCTAGCGTTTAGCTCCCACTTAGCACACCAGCTTAACCACCCACCCCCTCCTCATGCGCCACCCCACCCCCAGCGGCTCGCTGGTGCTGGAGGAGGGCGAGCTGCGCTGGCCGCCCCCGCCCGGCGTCATCCCCGCAGCCAACACCAAGATCAACGAGACCAAGGACCACAAGAAGGAGACCGGACCCATTGACCTGTACGAGCCCACCAAGAACAACGCCATCACCGCCACCGCCGCCGTGGCCGGCACGCTGCTCATCGGCTCCGTCTCCCCCAACGCCGCCTTCTCCTCCATGCTCACCAAGTTTGGTCTGGCCTCCATTTGCGGCTACCAGACCGTGTGGGGGGTGGTACCGGCGCTGCACTCGCCCCTCATGTCGGTCACCAACGCGGTGTCCGGTCTCACCGCGGTGGGAGGCATGGTGCTGGCTGGAGGTGGCCTGGTGCCCCACACGACGGGGCAGGCCCTAGCCGCCACGGCGGTGGCTGCCTCCGCGATCAACATCGGTGGTGGTTTCACCATCACCCAACGCATGTTGGACATGTTCAAGCGGCCCACGGACCCCATCGAGTACAACCACCTCTACGCCGCGCCCGCCGCCACGCTGATTGGGGGTTACGTGTTGGGGTCGCTGCTGGCGGGCGGCGACTCCCCCGGGCTGACGTCGGCTGCGTACCTGGCTTCCTCCTCGCTGTGCATTGCGGCCATTGCGTGTCTGGCCAACCAGGCTAGTGCGCGCACGGGTGAGCCGGGGCGCTGTTGAGGAGTTTGCTCGGGGCTTTGTCACGTGAGGGCTGTTTCAGTTGCTCTGGAAATTCGCGTGCATGCTCTTCTGTATGCTTTGTGAAAACCCTTGTTTGGGCTCCTTACCAATTGCGAACCTGACCTCAATGTGCCCCCCCCCGCAGGTAACGCTCTGGGTATGGCGGGTGTGGGCGGCGGTATCGCCACCACGCTGGGAGTCATGCACGCCCCCGCTGCGGTGTTCGGACAGGTGCTGGCCATGCTGGGAGCGGGAGCGGGTGAGTGGCGTGGGGGCCGGGGTAGGGGGGTGAGGAGCGGGGCTGCCGCTTGGCACCTTGTGCCAGTAACCTGTGGGATCGCGCCTGTCACAGTCGAGAGCTCCTCACCTTGTTTCTCCCATCGCTTCCTAACCCCCACACCCCCCTCCACCTCCCTCACCCCCCACCTCCCCCCACACCCCACCCAGCCGCCGGCCACTACATCGGCAAGACCATGAAGATCACGGAGCTGCCGCAGATGGTTGCCGCCTTCCACTCGCTGGTGGGTCTGGCGGCCGCCGCCACCTCCATCGCCAACATCATGGCGGTGGACCCCGCACACGGGCTGGACATGACACACAAGGTGGGGAGTGGGGGAGGCGGGGGGCGGGGGTGATTCGGTATCGTGCCCCTTTGAACGAGGTTTGCGGGGTTCAGAGGTTCGTGGCCTTGGTTGTGACGGCATACGCATACGCACTTGTCGTGTGCGTCTCGACGGGGTGTAACTCTGCATGGCATTCGTGGAGCCCTCATCTCAACCCCCCACCCTTCACCCATCTCACCTCCCATGCTGCCCCCCCACCCACCCCCCAGGTCACCGCCTACCTGGGCGACTTCATCGGAGCCATCACCATGACCGGTTCCGCCGTCGCGTTCGGCAAGCTGCACGGCGTCCTCAAGTCCGACCCGCTCTCGCTGCCCTTCAAGAACCAGATCAACCTGGCGCTGCTGGCCGCCAACCTGGCTTGCGGCGCCGCCTTCCTGGCCTCTGACCCCTCCGACCCCAACAGCCTGGGCGTGGCGGCGCTGTCGGCGGTGGCGGTACTGGCGGGTGTGAAGGGCGCGCACATGACGGCCAGCATCGGCGGCGCGGACATGCCAGTGGTGATCACACTCCTCAACTCCTACTCGGGTGGGTTGAGGAGCTGTTGTGTGGATTAGTTGTGGTGCAGTAGTGAGGCGTGTGCCAGGGGAAACGCCTTTCATCGTCCTACAACTCCGGGGGCTCTCTCTCAACCCCCAGGGACTCTCTCCCTAACCTACCACTCCACCCCGCACTCACACACACACACCCCCAGGCTACGCGCTGTGCGCCGAGGGCTTCATGCTCAACAACGACCTGCTCACCGCGGTGGGGGCGCTGATCGGCAGCTCCGGAGCCATCCTGTCGTACATCATGTGCGCGGTAAGAGGGGGCGAGGGGAGGTGCTGGGGAGCGGGGGGGCCTCAACAGAGGATGGTATAGGGTACGTGCTGGTTACGAGACTTCGCCCTCTTCTTAGCGTCTCGCTGCTTGCTTTCTTGCAGGATATTGTGGACCTTTTCTGACCCTCGGGATGCATCCCCATGCACCCCCTCGCAACCCCCCCCCCAACACCCACCAGGCCATGAACCGCTCCCTGGCCAACGTCATCCTGGGCGGCTACGAAACCGCCGGCAAGACCTCCGAGGCGGCTGCCGTACAGGGCACCCACCAGGAGATCGACGCCAACGGTACGGCAGATGCGCTGGTCAACGCTGCCAAGGTCATCATCGTACCCGGGTACGGCATGGCGGTTGCCAATGCGCAGTACCCGGTTGCGGAGCTGGCGAAGCACCTGACGGACAAGGGCGTGACGGTCAAGTTCGGCATCCACCCCGTTGCGGGCCGCATGCCCGGACAGTTGAACGTGCTGCTGGCGGAGGCTGGGGTGCCGTACGATGGTGAGGTTGGGTGGTTTGGTTTGGTTTGGGGTTGCTTATGGGTGTTGATGGAGAATGTTATGCATGATACGTCCGTACCGCTGTCCACGTACTGTAGTGGTTATCCTGTACCGCTGCTTACAAGTCCGTTCTGATGCCGTACGGACCCGCTCCCCGCCCCCGCCCTCCTGCTCCGCCCCCCCTCCAGTTGTGTTTGAGATGGACGAGATCAATGAGGAGCTGGACGACGCTGACGTGTGTCTGGTGATCGGTGCCAACGACACCGTCAACAGCGCCGCAGTGGAGGACCCCAACTCGGTCATTGCGGGTGCGTGGGGGGGCGGATGGTGGGATGCGTGGTTGCATGCCCGCGCGTGTGCGTGTGTGTGGAGTAGAGTGGGGACCTCTGGACTTGGCGGAGCAGCCTTCACAGTCGCATGCATGTTCGGTGTTCGTGCTTCTGTTGTACCCTGCGTATGTGAAGTCAGCCTGCATGGTCCCTTGTGCGTCGCTCCGCGTGCCTGCCCCGCCCAACCCTTCGCTCAAGCCGTATCTCCACCGTATCCCCATCGCCGCAACCCGCCACGCCCCCCGCCACGCCCCCCCCAGGCATGCCTGTCATCGAGGTGTGGCGCTCCAAGCAGGTGGTGTTCATGAAGCGCACCATGGGAGCCGGATACGCGGGAGCCGACAACCCGGTGTTCTACAAGGTGCGGCGGCATGCTGTGACGTGACACCCGCCTGCTGCCGTGACACCCGCCTGCTGCCGTGGTTGCTTGGCGTACCTGCACTGCAGCACTGACACCCCTTTGACATCCACTAGCAATCTTCCCCACATGCGAACCCACGTGCGTGCATGCCTCAATTTAAGCCCTGTTGCAGCCCTCTTCCGTGCCTCGTGCCGCTACTAACCTTCCGTTTGTTTTCTCTCTCCCTGCTCTGTTTCCCTCTCCCTTCTTCTTCCCGCAGCCCAACACCTACATGCTTCTGGGCGATGCCAAGAAGATGACGGACGCGCTGCTCTCCAAGGTCAACGAGATGCTGGGGCTGAAGCAGTAAGCGATGATGCAGCGGAGCGGCAGCGGTTAGGGCTAGGATGAGGATCGTGAAGAAGGATGCCGAGGATACCGAGAGAAGGGAGCGCACCGAAGAACTAGCACCACAGCTGTCACACGCAGTGAGAGTGTGCATTTGGCCGGAGGGTGCGGTTTCCGACGGGGTACGTTTGACGAGGTTTTAAGAGGTGCCACAGCGGTGAGGTTTTACTGAGAGGTAGTAGATGCGCGAGGAGCGTCTTTTTTGGTTGCGGCGATGAAGAGCTGTGCCCTGAGGCTTCACGAGGAGAGCAGTAGTGGTAAGTAAAGCGGCGTGCAGCTGACACATGTGCTTCGTTCCTGCGGCGGAGACGTTGTGTTGTCGGTTGCCCGTTTTGCGTGTGAGAGGAGGGCTGCTGCTTTACCGACGATGATGATGTAGTGCTGTACGACGAGTAAGGGTGGAAAGCTGAGATCGAAGAGATTACGAGAAGAGATTACGACCGCGCGCGGGCTTCACCGTTTTGCAACAGCGGCGGTGGTGGGCGCGAGGAGACGGGTGGTGTTGTTTTGCCCTGGTAGGGTGCGGTTTGGAGCATGCCGGTTTGTGGTGGTTCTTATGGTGGTGGTGGTGCTGTTACTGTTGTTGTTGTGTCGGCGTGTGGTATCGCATCGCATAGCATGGCAATAAGGTATGTTGGTTGTGTGTGTGCTGGAGAAGAGAACAAGAAGAAAGCTTTGCATGCGTACAAGGCTCGCTGTACAACACAACCCCTACTCGGGCATGCAACCTCCATTTGTATAACAACATGCTTGTGGTGTTTTTCGTAGCGGTTTGAGAAGAAGAAAACGTCAGTGTTGAGATTATCTTTTCCGTGCGGAGCATGATCTGCGTGTTTTGCCTTTCTATCGTACAATCCAGGCACGGATCAAGGGTGCGGGTTTGAGGGCGGTAATAATTCTTTGTCATGGGAATGAAGTGAAGAGGGTGAAGAAGAGTGTGCGCTAGAATTGTGTTTAACGTGTGTGCATGACAAATAACACACTCCTAAACGGCTGCTGCGGTACGCGTTGCAACGCAGTATCGGCGCCGTCGGACTGTAATAAGACTGGGTCATGAGAAGTCACGCACAAAATCTTCTCAAGCATCCTAGCTTACGCAAGGATACGCGCTAGGATATTACAACAGTGCAACAGACAACTGTTCCACCCATTCACATGCTGCTTTATGTGATCGGTGAAAGGTCACATGTAAAGCCCCCAAAACGCATCGGTGTGGCACCAACTCAACATTCTGCAGTTTAGTCAGACGCAGGCACTCAGCTCCTTATCAATCCGTATTGGCACACCATCTGGGTGAATGTTAGGTGGTAACACGGGAATGTTATTACGGGTTATGTGCCCCACGGCCCCAGCCTATTAGCATCCTTTGCGCCCAACACCTCTGCATAAACAGCAGCGCTCTACTTCTGGTTCATGATGCTAGGCTTCCCCAGAGAAAGCGCAGTCCCAGCCAGCAAGCCAACATCTCGACTCTACTCATTGCGTTACATTTCCGAAAAGGGACTGCTGCCTGCTATCACCCCTGCTATCACCCCTACGCCCACTCCCAGCTGTTCAGCAGCTTGGAGACCTCCTCCGCGTACACATGCGCCTGCGTGCGGGTGCGCAGCGAGAACGGTCCAGTCAACACACGGTGTACCGGTACATGCTTCCGTGCAGGAAGAAGCACGATCCTCCGTGCAGGAAGAAGCACGAATCAAGGACGAACGAGAACGGTTCAGTCAACAGAATAGTATTCATTCTCCGAGTACTGGTAGTTGTTATCATGATTGGCATCACCCCCAGCCTGGCTCTCACCTCCATGCCGCCCGTCACCTTGTCCGGGTGAAAGCGGATCTTGGCGGCTTTGAGGGCCTTACCGCGCTGCTCCGCCGTTCGCAGCACAGCGCCTGCAGTGGCAGGGCAAAACACGTTGAAAGAAACGACACAGGAGCCTAGTAAAGCACCCGATGATGAACCCCAGCTAATCCGGCACTCCTCTCCAACTGCAATTTTGTGATCCCCAGCAAACATGCTCCAAGATACCGGTGCATACCTTTGTTGAGCACACCCAACTGCTTGAGCAGTTTCGAGAGGCTGCGCTCCTCAAGGGCCTTGCGGTGCGTCTCATGGAGGAGAGATCGGACCTGCCAGATCGGTGCGGGGTTTGGTGCGGGGTCAGGGAGAGCCAGGGAATGCTGCAAGGTAAGGAATGACCCACGGGTCGGCGTGATAGGTGCAAAAGCCGCATTCCATACGGGAGAGCGAAAGCGGTGTTAAAGAGTATGATGACAGGACAGCCCAATGCCGCAATCACGCTGGGACCAAAAGGACTAGCGGAGGAAGAGGAGGAAGCGTAGAGACGGAGGTGCAGGCACGGGACAATAACACACAGACGCAAGTATGGGCCACCTGCGACTCACCTTGGCCCGCACCTCCTCCTTCGCCGCCGCCTCCGCCGCCGCTGCGGACGCCAGCTGGTGGTGCTCCTCCAGCCGCTGACGCATGCGCCGAGCCAACTCCGCATCCGTCTGACTACCCAGCTCAGCTGCCGCCGCCGCCGCAGCAGCAGCAGCTGCGCTGCCGCCGGCTTCTTCCGCTGCTGCTGCTGCCGCGGCCTTTCGGGCGGCTCGGGCGCGGCGAGCGGCCTCTCGCTCCGCCGCCGCCTCGGCACGCTGGCGCTCTATCTCGGCCTTGTTGTAGGAAAGGGAGTTGCAGAGAGAGAGGTTAGGCACATGCAGTGAGTTTTAGTCGTGGAGCACTGGGGATGTGAGCACGAGCAAGCGTTTACGATCATGCCAACGTCTCGCTGTCCATTAGGTCGGTCAAAGGACGATGTTTCCTTTCGATTCCAGCTCATTGCGTTCGGGCAGTAGAAACCGAGCAGGAGAAGCCAGCCAGCACTAGCAAGTAAGCCACACTCACCCGCCGTCTCCGCCACTCCTCTCGTTCCACCTCCGACATGCCCGCCTCGGCGCCATCCGTATCCGCATCACCCAAGCCCTCCTGACAGCCAGTACCGCCCCCGCCGCCGCCGCCGGCTCCTCCATCGCTGCTGTTCCGCCGAGACTGCTCCCCACCGCTGCTGTTGCCGCCGCTGCCGCCGCCGCCGCCGTCACCCACATTCCGGCCCTCAAACGCAGGCTCTGCTTCCCCAGTCGCCTCCACAACAACAGGCCCCGCCGGCTTTGATGCCTCAGCTGCTGCGGCTGCCGCCGCCACTGCTGGTTGGTTCTTCTTCTCACCCTTGCCCTCCTCTTTGTCCGCAACTTGGGCAACTGCGGAACCGCGGAAGGGTGCCCTCAGGGGACTGCTAGCGGTGTCTGAAGGAGGCGGCTGAGAGGACGCCCGAACGCCCCGCTCGAGTCCCCCCTCCTCCTGCTCCTGCTCGCCCCGACCCGCACTGCCCAGCCCTGAACCCTTGGAAGCTGCACCGGCTGTACATGGCGCCGCTGGGGCCCCATTGGGTGCCGCCCCGGCAGCAGCAGCAGCGGCAGTACCAGCGGCAGCAGCAGCCGTGTCGCCCGTCTGCGCCTCCAGACTGCCCTGACTGTCGTGAGACCGCCGAGCAAAGGTCGGCGCCGCCGGCACCGCCGCCCCCGCCTGCTTTCCCTTACCTCCAACGCCGTCACTGGCTGCCGGTGGTGCAGTGCCATCATGACTTGCGGTCGTCGGCTGTGGCGCCGCCGCCGCCGCCGCCCCACCGCCACCGTCGCTGGGTCCACAGCCGCCGTCGCTGCTCCCCAGCTGCGCCGCCATGGCCGCCGCCACCGCCGCCAGCTCCGCATGCAAGCTGGGCAGCATGTCACATGCCAGCGCACGTGCGTGTGCGGGCCGCCGTGACGGCGCCGTCGGACGGTACTTGCGTTCCGGCTTGGTGGCGGGGGCGGGGCCAGCTCCGGGACCAGCGGCGGCAGCAGCAGTAGCAGCCTTGGTGGAGTGCGTTGGGGCCTCGGCGGCGTGCTGAGGAGGCTTGCTGCGGGTGGTATGTTGGGTGTGGGCGTTGCTGGCGGGTGGAGCAGTGACGGGAGGGGGAGCGGGGGGAGCTGGAGCCGGTGCGCCCGCTGACATGCCGCCATCAGAGGCCGAGGAGCCGGGAGCTGGTTGTTGCTGCTGCTGCTGCTGCTCCTGGTGCTGCTGCTGCGGATGCTTCGGAGCTGGTTTCTGTTGAGCAGGCAGCGGCGCATGAGGCTGAAGCTGTGGCTGTGCTGGCGGGACGGCTGATGGAGCCTCTGAAGAAGCAGCAGGAGCAGCAGCAGCAGCCGAGGCTGCAGCAGCAGCAGATACCGCGGCACCAGCGGGGCTGGCAGGAGGCGGCGAAGGCCCAGACGCAGCCATACCGGGATCGGCGGCAGCGGCAGCGCCTTTCCCGGAAGCCTTCTTTCGGGCGGCGGCAGGGCCTGCTCGCTTGGCCGGGGAAGCAGGCGGCGTCCTGAGGCCGGCAGCGGCGGTGGCACCTCCTGTATCCGCCAGCGCCGCTGCCTCAGGTGGCGCCTCCGGTGGCGCCGCGGCAGCAACCCCGCCAGGCAGCTGAGGGGCGCTTGCTGCTGCCTCCCTGGCCGCATGACCAGCCGACCGCAGATGCGGCGCATCGGCGGCGACCGTAGGAGCGACGTCGCCGTCAACAGCAGCAGCAGCAGCGATGCCACCACCACCACCAAGACTACCACCACCACCACCACCACCATCAGCAGCAGCAGTAGCAGTAACCACTGCCGGAGCGGTGGCAGCGGTTGCCGCCTCAGCCCCAGCTGGGGGAGAGGCGGCAGGAGGCTGCTCCGTACCGGCCGGTGGTACGGCACTTGACGGCGCCTGGGAGCACCCTGCTGCTGCTGATGTGACCGTGCGACTATCGCCGCCCGCACCTTTCACAGGAGAGGCGGCCCACCAGCCCCCTGCCTTACCAGCCTCCAGACCACCTGCCGCTGCCGCCGCTGCCCCAGGCGCTACCACCGCACTGCTGGCGTGTGCCTTACCCTGCTCCGCCGTTGCCTCCGGAACCTTAACAGAGCACGCAGCTGCTGCAGCTGCTGCGGCGCCTTTCAGGGCAGCAGCAGCAGCTGCTGGCACTGCTGCTGTGGAGGGTGAATCTCCCGAAGTCCCAGTTGCGGACGCAGGGTCCCCTGCTGCTCCTGCTGAGCCCACGGCGGCGGCAGCCGCAGTGTCCTGCTCAGCCCCGGTAGCGGTAGCGGCTCCTTCGGCCTCTTTAGGGCTCACCGCTGCTGCGGCCGCCGGGGCCTCTAGGGGTCCCATTACCGCAGACGGTGATTGGGAGGGTGATTTCCGCCGCTTGGCAAGTCGCGACGCTAGGGGTACGTCCATGAAGGTCTCCTCCTCATGGGCGCTGCCCTCCTTCGCGGATGTTGTTGCTGCTTCCGCTTCCGCTGCTGCAGCGGCGGAGGCAGCAGTAGCTGGGGGCAGGGGCTTGCATGCCGCCTCTTCAACCCCAACAACCGCGGTTGCAGTTGCAGTTGCAGGGGCAGCTGCGCTAGCTTCCAGGTGCAGTGGGGGATGCTGCTTGGTCGCGTCCGCAGCAGCACCCGCAGGCACCGCGGAGGATGACGGTGGTGGCGCTCTCGCACCCGTACGGCCGTCAGGCTGCTGTCCAACAGCCAGGTGGTGGCCTTCAGAGTCGCTCCCGGAGGCCTGTGCAGGTGCAGCAGCCGCAGCAGCAGCAGCAAGAGAGATACCAACAGGCGCAGCGGCGGTCAGCCCCGGGAGCTCGTGCTCCTCACTCTGACCACCATTCGCCTTGCGCTTCCGGCCCAGCAACGTTTCCGCCACTGCTGCTGCCGCTGCTGGCTCCGCTGCTGCTGCCCGTCTGCTTCCAGCCTCTACCGGAGGACATGCCGGCGTCAACCCTGAGCCCTGCGCCGGCTGCTTCTCATGCCGCCCCTTCTGCACACCACCACCACCGCCGCCGCCACTTGCAGACGAGGCGGCTGCTGCTGCTGCTACCGCCGCCGCCGCAGCGACCGCCGCCAGCCCTGCAGCTATGCCCATGCAACTGGGAGGCACCGTGGCGGCGCCGCCAGCGGAGGCGAAGTGCTGCACACCCTTCAGCGCCGCTGGCGGCGGCGGCGGCCAGTGCCCATGCCCATGCCCAAGGGCCGAGGCAGCGCCCAGTCGTGGATCCTGCTTCAGCCCCCCCAACCGCCTGTCATGCGGCACCCTGCGTTGCGGAACGGCCTGCAGCAGCTCGGCGGCACCTCCCGGCATGGGGTGAGGGGTGTCATCCTTGATAGGCGGGGCTGCGGATCCAGCAGCACCGGTGGCAATGGTTGCAGCAGTAGCAGAGGTGGCAGCGGTGTCGGTACCATTAGCAGTAGCAGCAGCGGCAGCGGAGGCGGCAGCGGCCTCCCCCGGCAACGAGCCAGCGGACCGCCTCCGCTGCCGCCGTCGCTTGCCGCCCCGCCGCTTGCCTCCATGATGCTGAGGCGGCGGGCTGCCAGACGCCGGCGCGCCTTGCCGGGCTGCTGCTCCCGTTGCCGCGGCGGCGGTGGGAGCAGCTTTGCCTTCCTGCCCGGCTGCGGATATCCCTTCCTCGGCAGCAGCAGTAGTAGCGCCACCGTCTCCGGTAGCATCCCCACCACCGCACAACACCTGTCGTACCTCCTCGGGCCGCTGCTGCTGTTGCGGCCGCTGCTCCTCCATTCCAGGTATCTTGCCGCTGGTGGCGTCGGGCGCCGCACCCGGCTCCTCCTTACGCAACCGCTTCTTAGAGGGCTCCTCCTCGCCCTCGACAACAGCAGCCCTCCTGGGAGAGGGCGGCAGCGAGCGACAGGATGGCAGCGGCGCTTTCCGCGACTGTGGTGACGTCGGCGGCGCAGCCGCTGAGGCCACCGGCGTTGCTGCTGCAGCGGTGGCGGCGGTAGCAGCAGCTGGAGGCACTGCTGGTGACGCTGATGCTTTGATCGGCGCTGCTGCTGCTGCTGTGGCTAGGACGGCTTTGTTGGGAGCTGCTGCTGACGCTGCTGCTGCCTCCCCGCCCGCAGATCCCACCTCCGCCGCCGCCGTAGCTGCAGCAGCAGCAGCGGTACCGGGTTGCTGCCCTGCCTCCACAGCGCTCATGCCGCCTACCCCAGGCTCGCGCTCTTTCGCCTCCGCATCCGCCGCTGGAGCACTAGCAACAGCAGCAGCAGCAGCACCACTGCCTCTGGAAGCCTCAGCAGCACCCGTAGCAGCAGCAGCACCAGCACCTGTAACAGCAGTGCCGGCTGTGGGGCCGTCCGCTGCGCCACATGCCGCTACCGGTACCTCCCTCCGCTGCTGCTGCGATGCCACTAGCGGACCAGCCTCCTCCTCAACCTCCAACCCCGCATCCGCACCCCACGTAGGCGGCACCGCACGCGGCTCCAAGCAGCCCACAACACCCCCTGGTACCGGTCGGTGCGGCGACTCTTTGCTCCGCTTCGCCTCTCCGCCGCCTCGCAGCCCTCCCAGCCCGTCAGACGCTTCTCCGCGCCGTCTGGACTGCCGACGTCCCTGGGCAGCACGACCAGCACGACTAGAAGCAGCAGCAGCAGTGCCAATCCCACCGCCCCCCGCCAGCTGGAAGATCGGCAGCTCCTCAGATCCTGAAGAACAACCGCCGCCGTCGGCGCCGGACGAGGAATACGAAGAGTCGCCACCCGCCACTGCGCCCAGCAGCAGCTCCAGACGACTAACCGCCTCGGGCAGTTCCTGAGGCGGTGGCGAGGGGGACGGCAGCCGCCGGGCCCGCAGCTCCTGATGCTGCTGCTCCTGCTCTTCCTGTCCTTGCTGCTGCTGCTCCTCGCCTGCCTGATGAAACCCGGCATGGGAACCTGCAGCCGCTGGTGCAGACCCAGACGCAGGTGCCGCTTCCAACGGGGCTTGCGACGCACCGGAACCTGAGCCGCCCCCGCCGCCGCCCTGAGATGGTTGCTGGGTCTCCGCTGCCCCCACCGGCGCTGCTGTTGCCGCTGCCACGCCTGCGGTCTCACCCCCTGCAGCAGCACCAGCGGCAGCAGCCGCCTGCTGAGCGGCCTCTACCTGGGGTGCGGGTGGTGCAGGTCGCGGCGGCGGCTGCGGTGAGGAGGGCAGCAGGGCAGCAGGGGCGTCAGCAGCGGCCTGCGCCACCTCCACCTGCTGCTGCTGCTGGGACACCGGGGAGCCTGCTGCGTGCATGGGTATTGCTGCTGCCGGTGCGGCTGCTGATGCCGCGGCTGCATGCAGCGGCTTCTCCAGGGAGGGAGAACGGCCAGCATCCGCCGTGGGGCGGGGTAGCAGCCCGCCCTCTGAGGGCGCCAGAGGCGTGTCATGGTTGTCAGGCTGAGTACCGTTCTGGCTGGTGTTGGCGTTGCTGTTCTCAGCGCTGGTGCTGGTGTTGGGGTTGCTGGTTGAGGGGGGAGTGTGTGCCTTGGGGCGGCCCCGACTCGGCAGCATCTGGTAGAGCCACATGGGGGCTCGCTTGCGAGGCAAGAGGCTGGGGAGCTGCTGCTGCTGTGTTTGCTGCGGCGGCGGCGGTGGACACGTGTCCTCGGCTGCTGCTGCAGGGCTAGTGTCTTGCACTGCTTGCAAGGAGTTCGGCTGGGGAGCCGGGGAAGAGCCTGTGCCGGCGGCAGCCCCGGCTGCTGCTTCGCCGCCGGAGCGGAGCTGGGTGTTGAATGCCGGTGCTGGGCCCTGTGGCTGCGATCGATGAGGCCAGCGTTTGAGGATGGCGCGAGGAGGCTCAGACCTGATGCCTGTCGGGATGTCATCGTACGGCACAGGTGAAGCCACTTCCAACGCGGATTCGGCTTTCGGCGGCTTTGCGACGGTAAAAGGAGATATGGACGCGACAGGATGGGATGGGTGAGGTACAAAGTCTGGCGCAGTTGACGCCGCAGCGGGAACATCTCCGTTGACCTGGCGGCTTCCAGCTCCTGCTATAGTCGCATTCGACGGCCCGGCCTGCTGTGCAGCCTCCGCACCAGGACCACTGCTGATAATTGTCGGAATGCCAGGGGACGACCCTGGTCGCTCGGATTTTTTTTGGCGTTTGGAAAGAGGAATGTCATCGGTGTCGCTCTCGGCTCCGTGGGCTGTGTCCGAGGCGCAAACTGTCGTCAATTCACTGTCCACAGTTGACAAGCCGGGCAGGTCAGGGAAGGATCCCGCCCCCAATGCTGCACGAACAGCATCTCTTATGTTTTGAGGAACAGCAGAATATGGTGTCGCGTCTGCGAGGGGAACTCCACGGACAAACGCAAACGCCTGACCAGCTAAGGCTTGCAGCTCGGCCTACACCAAACATTGAAGGACATAAATAAATCGACGGGTTGAGTGGTAGAAGGAACTCTAGATCACAACCAAACTCCAACCTCCCACCTCAAGCCGAGAAAGTTCCTCAACCTTTGCCGACGCAAACCGCGATAGTTGCACTGCCATGATGTTCCTAGTTAAGTCACCATGGTATAAATGGGCGCTCGCCTTGACAGGCAGCGAAACGGAACATTTATGTTTGACGCCCTAACAGCTAAAAGACGGTGCGTTTAACAGTGTGTGTGCTCTTTACTACAAAGCGCTGCGTTCATTATTACATTTCAAACTCCTTTCGCGTTTGCCTTATGGCCCGGCACCCATGACCTCACTCGTACGGGTGTCCCTACGGTCCATGCCCGTGAGGGCCGACTGCTACCCCACGCAAACGTGCATTTCCCGATCGTTCCCTTCCCTTTCAACCATGCAGCCAATCCACACCAGGCGAAAAATTGAAAATGTGACACGGCGCCCTAACCGCTTAAAGCACTCCACTGACTTGCAGCCCCACTGCCGCCGTGTCAAGCCGCCACCCCTCTAACACTCAGAAGCACATTCATACCCCAGTAACTGCCCGCAATCCACGTCACATCCTTGTAGCAGGTGCCCCTTCGCTGCGTTAGCAACCCACAGATGTAATGCAAGCCAATGAAGCCGGCGGGGAACCTCCCTCTTGGCCAGCCCTATCGTGTAGCACCTAGTTAGTACACCAGCCTGCTATCTAGTAGCCGTTTCAGCGCCGGCATTCGGGAAAGCATGGTCACAGCCGCCTGCCTAGCCGGGCCTCTGCGACGTCGCGGCGCGTCGTATCGCTTATGGAATCGCCAGCGTTTATAGGGGTTACCGGGCGGCGCCTTTGGCTACCACAACCTGGTGCGGAGTGTCATCTGGCCACATTCCGCGTCGGCATAAGTCCTCATTCTCAGGCAGCCGACTAATCCCTGGTGCTCATGCCAGCACCGGCCACTCCTCAACCTTCGCATCGGGTTGTCGAGTGGTAAGCCCGTATTGCCACGAAAAGCCCCGCTCTCGTCCTGTGCGGCTTCTTGCTGGGATGGCGAGCGACATCGTCAGCGACAAGCTTTGTCGGGACGCTTCGGCTTGCCTGCCATGGGTGCATTGATTGGGTTTACTTCAGTTGGAGCTGCAATATGGTCCTTCGCCGACTGTGTTGACTGTTTCACTTGTTCCAGCTTCATGGCGGCTATCTGGGGGGGCGCTTGGCAGCCCTGCTCTTCCTGGGCGCCATGTGCTTTATTGCTGAGTTGACGCGTCTACATGCCTGGTCGCGTCTGCATACAGCGCAGCCGATTAGGCAGCCCGGCAGGTTGGGGGCGTCCTGGCTTCTTGGCATCTCTTGGTGTCCCAGCGCTGCCTTCTCCTCTGCAGTCCCCTTCCTTGTCCCAATCCGAGTTCCAATCAGCCCGTCCGCACAGCCAGCTTCGTTCGAAGCCCAGCCCGTCGTTGATCATTGCCTGATTCTACATCTTCTACAACCGGCAGCGTTCAGTCCTGCAGCACCCAAGGGTCCTGGCCAACCCGCAAGCCGCCATAGCCACGACCTCTATGCTGTACGGTCGTCGAGTGCACCACGGTTTTACCCACCAGCCGGTCACACCGTTGCACTTTGGCGCAGCATTGCGGGTGCTGCTCTTGTGGCGGTGGCCTGCCTGGGCATTACGGTTCTGTCGATGGAGCTGCTTGGCGATTGAGACACCACGACCTCCGAGGCCTTCTGAACCCTGGTTTGTCGTAGATGCAGTCGTTAGGATGTTGGTACTGGCGCTTTGGGGTACTAGCTGCGGACTGTGTGCTGGTTATAGTGTCGTGCGAGAGGGGTTGCGTACATACCTCAGTTCATGCTCTCCGTCTGGGGGGGCGTACTGCGCTTACATGTAGGACAGGAGGGCTGCTGCCTTGTACATTAAGCCTTGCTGGGCCGTCACCGACGGTGAATGTTCATGCCATACAGCTGCTCACAGACTGCCTTGCCGCAGCAGTGACCTGTTCATGGTGCTTGTATGCTTGCCTGTAGGGGCTTCTTTGTGACTAGTGTATGCTGAAAGCCATGCCAAGCCGCGTGGTCTTGAGTCGTTCAGGGTAGATTGGTTGTAGGTCGCTTGAGGTCGGAAAAGGCACGCCGCGCCGCGTGGCCGTCATGTTTGTTCAGGATAGGATTGACGTTGGTCAGCGTGCTTGCTTCTCCTGACTGGCGCGAGGAGAAGTCAGTTTGCAGTTACAGTCTAGGATGTGGTGATGAGGGGATCTGCACTTAGGACAGAGCATCTTGCCATGTCTGCTTAGTTGTGCATCAGCTGGTCTGTGTTCTTGGTTTGTAGCCGCGTGCCTTTCCCTTGCCGGATTGGTGTTGCCATGGCTAGTGCTTGCCTGCTGGCCCACGGGTCGGTGCGTGCTCAGTTTCTGCCGTACTAGCGGATAGCGTATTGCTTGCTCGTACCTACGTTAATGTTCCGTTGACCGTACTCTCATGCCGTTGCCTGTTTGACCTTGCCGGTCATCAGTGTGATCTGGGGTACTCCTTTTTTGTGTTCCGCCCTTGTGACTTCTTCCCTCGGGCGTGGGGGGGAGTGTCATACCCCATGCCATTGTTTTGCTCATTTCAGTCCTGGGGCTTGACAGCTGTCGTGTCCTAACCATGCGTATGCGAAATCATGGTCCGTGGTTTCAGAGCAGGTCGGTTGGTTGCTTGCATCGCCCAAGCATGTCCAACTCGTAGGCACTTGCAGTTATCTTTATGTTTCTTTTTATACCAGCGGTTGAGTGATACCAGTGGTTGAGTTGCCGCGTTCGTGTATCTGTTCGTTGTTGCTTCCCTGGAGCGACAGATCTTGTGCCGCAGTCTTTGCCTTCGGATTGCGCCTGGTCGGCGCTTTTCGTGGCCTCCATGATGCTTTACCGCATGGTGGGATTACAACCATGTAATCGCCGCAGAGTTCCACAAAGCCTATTAAGCATGTACTGAGCATTGAGTATCGTTATGCATAGCGCCATCACCGCTGCACCGCAATAGCCGGCTTGGCCAGCCCTATCGTGTAGCACCTAGTTAGTACACCAGCCTGCTATCTAGTAGCCGTTTCAGCGCCGGCATTCGGGAAAGCATGGTCACAGCCGCCTGCCTAGCCGGGCCTCTGCGACGTCGCGGCGCGTCGTATCGCTCCACACGACAATGGCAGCTCCCATCCAGCCTAACATCGCTTCACAAGCCATTCAGGTTCAATGGCGCAGGCGCCGGCAACTGAAAGCCAGCGTTCGCCGCCGCCGCCGCCGCCGCTGCTGCCGCCGCTGCTTGCTGCGCCTGCTGTTGCTGTTGTTGCGCCTGCTGCTGCAACGCAGCCAAACCTCCCATCGCATTAAACACCTGCTGCTGCCCTCCTAGCCCTTGCAGCCCTTGCAATCCCTGCGGCAGCTGAAACTGCTGCTGCTGCTGTTGTTGTTGCTGCTGTCGTACGAGCGCTTGTTGTACGGCTTGGATCTGTTGCTGAGTCAGCTGTACGGCAGCTGCAGGCTGCTGACCAGCTCCGATCTGCTGCGCTGCTGCCACTTGCTGGGCCGCTGCTCCCATCATCAGCGGCTGCTGCTGTTGCTGCGGCTGCGGCGCCGCCCCGCCGGTGCTGCCCAGGGGGTACTGACCCGGTAGCGCGCCGCCGGCGGAGGCGGTGGCGGCGGGAGCGGCTGCAGGCGGGGCGGCAGCGCCTGGCCTGGTCGCCTGGGAAGCGAGGGGCAACGGAGGGCGTAGTCCGGGTAAGGTATGCATGTGCACGAGCAAGGCCTTGAGAGGCAGGGTGACATGGAGAAGGTATGGCATGTATCGATGTATGGCCTGGGTGCGCCCTGCCGCCCCTACCTGCGCTGCTGCTGCGCCCGGGGCTGGCGTGGAGGAGTAGGTGTCAGCCACAGCTGCCAGCAGCATCAGGTTCTCTTGGAGCTTCTGCTGGTACCTGTGCGGTTGTTGTTTGATGGAGTCTTACGGTTATATCGCCGTACAAGGTGCAAGGATGCGTAGCTTCTCGAGGACAGAAGGAGCGCGGGTTGCAGATGGGGACGTTACATCAGCCGGTGTTGCACCCGCCCAGAACTCAACTGGTTCACATCTTGCACTCGCCCGAGGTTCTGCTGTTCCGCTATTGCTTTAATGAACTTGAAGTTCTCCTCAAGCATCTGCGGCCATAAGCGCGGAGTCCATGATAACCCTGACGAGTGCATCCTCGCGCGCGACGCAAGTCCTTGCCTCCTGGATCTTTTCCGTCGTCAGAGGGGCGGGCTTCGCTTGTCCTGGCACTGCCGCCATGGTGCCACGCACGGTGCCTTAAAACGTTTGTCGCAGAGGCGCGCTAACGTCTACACAGCGGAGGGGCCCAGAACGGAAAGAGTACCTAAATAGCAATTAATAACTGGTAACCATACAAAAGTTTGCAGAGTATAACTTTTAGCCCTTGATGTATTAGCTACTGGGACTGAAGTGCGGTGTGACACCAAGGCAGTACCTCCTCTAAAGAGGTTCACTTGTCAACGCCAACGGGTTAAAAAGGAAACAAAATTTCTGCCTTCGATGTGCCAAGTCGTCGGCTTTCCCTATAGGGCTACCGCGCCCGTTGTTGGTTGCACAACGGTTGGGAGCTGGTACCAATGCAGATGTGGTGCGAGGAAAGCTAGAAAGCAGCGTAGAGCGCTGCATGTACAGTCGCAGCGCCCCGCGCAGTTCCTGATATGCACTCTACCGCATACCTGGGATAAGATGATGATAGGCCGGGATCTACGCCTGCGGCGCCAATGGCGCCAGGCACGGACCCAGCCACACGCCTGTCAACGACATTCATGGGCCTCCATTCCAAGCGATGGCGCTCAACGGCCTCCAAGTAGTCCCATAGCACTTGCAACCGTGGTAGCGCCCTACAGCCCCGTACGGCCGCAACCATGCAGCCCAGCATAACCGACTTCAATCACACATCCTCACTAACACCGTTTGCCCCCTCCCCCTTTAAGATTCAGAGCTACCGTATTCAGTAACAGCTGCACTGCACGAAAGCAAAGCAGCGGGCCATGTTGCTCCGCACGCCGTGCCCTGACTGTCGCCCAACAGGGCGCGGCATGCATGCATGTGGGCCCCTGCAGCCGGTCAAAGCACACGCGGCGGATGGGTAAAGAGAAAGAAACGAACTAACGGTGGTTAGGGTGCTGTGAATAATGACCGCTCATGCGTCGGCGTGCATGTGTATGGCGTGGGCGAGCGAGGGCCTTCACCGAATACAGCAGCCATGCGAAAGTAGGTTAGTAGCAGTTGTGCAAAAGCCACGACACACAGCGCGCGTACGGCAGGTCCCGGACAGTGCTCCTTGCCTCCACCTCCCAGATGTCCCAGTCCCCGTTTTACCCCTCAGCGCCGCACCCATGGGTTGCGGAGATGCCGTGAAGCATGCCGTGCACCGTGCGCTGCGCCTCCTCCTCCGTTTTTGGCATGGCATCCAGTTTGCGTGGGACTCCTAAAGGAAAGAGTCCACACAGCAGTTACCGTCACACAAAGAGGTCACGACGCCCTTAGCATGTACGAGCCCTGCCGTGTCCTGCGTGCCCCTGTAGCCTGTACAGCTCCCTCAGGTCTTCACAAACTAGTCGCCGCCATAGAGGGTGGGCACGCCACCCCTCGCATGTACGAGCCCTGCCGTGTCCTGCGTGCGCCTGGGCAGTTCCCTCAGGTCTTCACATCCCTCCCGAGTCAACCTGGAGTAGACGCCCCACTCCGGAATGCGCTCCCGTGCGAGCAGCTGATAGCCTATAGGAAGAGCCTGCAGGGGGACAACGTACACCAGCCAGGTAGGTGCAGAGCCGCACCTATCTCCACGCCCCTTGACATCTGAAACCACCTGCCGACGGTGCTGGGAGCGCTATTTTCAGCAGCATGGCTAGGCCAACAGGGAAGCCACACTGCCTAAGTTGCTCCACAGACATGTAACGGAGCGAAGCCTGGGTTGCCAGCATGTTGACCGCCAGCCGGTCGAGGGCGGGGGAGTAGGAGCCCGAAGTCCGAGAGTGCGACATGATGACTGCAGGATTGCCTTCACCTTCCTCTGTAGCGCCTCGCAATCCAGCTTGCCGCACCGCAGTTATGTAGGAATGCATATGTTGGCTCGGTTCACGGCGCTAGCAATTTAGTAAACGTACCAAGGCGCGTATCTGTAGAGATACGGTAGAGCTAAGGATGCATGGCAGGCAAGCATAGGAAACAAGCATGGGCAGCGAGCAATGCCATGTGCAATGGGTAGCTGGCAAGTATCATGACCATAATACCTACTACCCACATGTACCGGGTCCACTTGTAAACGGGCGAATGACCTCCGAGCGATGAAGACGACGAGAGCAATCAGACAAACGCCCTTGCGGATTAATACTCAAAATGTCCTAAGGAGTAAAATGGGACAGTGGTGCTACATACTGCAGCTTTTGGTTGTCATTGGATCAAGGTTCCTGACGACCGTTGAAACGGCATGTTGTCTTCGGAGCGTTCGCCGGTGCCTACACCATTTCAAGGGCGCCCAGAAGCTGCCAAAGGCAACACGTCAGCCTACGCTCCTCGCAGTTCTCTCAGCGCTGTCTGCATTGCTCCCTCTCGGTTGCCACCATGGCCAAGGACAAGCGCAAGAGCGAGGCCGGAGCTGAAGAAGTGCCATTGAAGAAGCAGAAAGCAGTGGTAAGTGATATACTTAATACAGTCATCGTCGTTTCTCAGCTGCGGGGCGGCGCCGCTTCCATCCGTTCCCTTGCAAGTTGCCTGAGTAAAAGTGTTCCGTGGCCATAGCGTGTTCCTAAACCACTTTTTATGGGTACTGAAAAGTCAATTGTAGGGGTAATGCAAGTGTACGCGCTAGAAGCTTCCGGATTCTGCGCTTAGGCATGCTGCGTGGCGGCGGTTGTTGCTGGTTTTGCATACATTTCCTGTCAATCATGCTACGACATGCAACACGAAAATGCCAGGATGCACTCTCTAGACCGTTTCCCCAGGGGCCGACTCCTCCTTGCCTCTCACTCTCACATCCGCATCACCTTCCCTTCACAGGACGGCGAGGCTAAGCCCTCTAAGAAGGAGAAGAAGGCTAAGAAGGAGGCCGAGGAGGTGGCCGCTGCTGAGGCCCCCGCCTCGACCCCGGCCCCGGCCGATGCCAATGGTGCCAGCGCCAAGAAGAGCGCAAAGAAGGAGAAGAAGGCGGCCAAGGCGGCTGCTGAGGAGCCCGTTGTAGAGGAGCCCGTCCCCGCGCAGGTGGGGTGCGGCTGATGGCTTTGTAGGGCGGCGACGGTTAGCAGGCACTTTATGTATGGCGTGGGGGAAGGAGGAACCACCTGAATAGGGGCCCCGGTTGATGGGGCAGGGGGCATGGTGGCATGGGAACCTTGCGCCCGACTTATCAAAGTTCAGCAACGCAAGCAGCTGCATAACGTGGTATTGGCCCTGCATGAACCGTGTGCCCCCAGGAGGAGAAGACGGAGGAGAAGGAGGGCAAGAAGGAGAAGAAGAAGGACAAGAAGAAGGGCAAGGAGGAGCAGCAGGAGGCGGCAGCCGCGGCCGCTGCCGCTGCCACCCCCGCTCCTGCCACGGCTGCAAACGGCGAGGCAGCCAAGGAGGATGGAGAGGAGGGCAAGAAGGAGAAGAAGCAGAAGAAGGACAAGAAGCAGCGGCGGTCGGAGGCGGCGGAGGTAGCGGAAGAGCCAGCGGCTAAGCAGGCCAAGGTGGAGGAGGAGCAGCCGGAGGCTAAGGCAGAGGAGGCCAAGCCGGAGGAGGGCGGTAAGAAGAGCAAGAAGAAGGACAAGAAGAAGGGCAAGGAGGAGCAGGCAGAGGAGAAGCAGGAGGAGGAGGCGCCGGTAGCAGCGGCGGCAGCGGCGGTGGCTAACGGGGATGCTGACAAGGAGGAGAAGAAGAGCAAGAAGAAGGATAAGAAGAAGGGTAAGGAGGAGGCAGTAGCAGCGGCTGAGGAGAAGAAGGAGGAGGAGGCGCCGGCGGCAGTAGCAGTGGTGGCGCCGGCTGCTGAGGCTCCTGTCAGCGGCAAGAAGGAGAAGAAGGACAAGAAACGGAAATCGGAGGCAGCGGAGGAGCCAGCGGCCGCTGATGGGGAGCCGCTTGCCTCTCCGAGCGCTGAGGCGGAGGAGCAGGTGGGTGGTGTATGCCATGGTTTGGACGGGGAATAGTTAAACTAACTGGGGTTAGAGTCACGAGGAGACACTGATGATTTCCTTCTGACTGGTAGGACGCAAACCTTTCCCTACTTGGTTCCAGTTCGCTCTTGGAGTTTGAAGGTGACCCGGGGTTCGGTTTCATCCCACGCCTCCGCATCTGTGGCAGCAAACGCGGGCTCGAATACTTTCGGACTTAGTTACAGCAAAAACATGGATTCCGTCTGGTTGGCTGGCAGGAGAAAGAGCGTGAGGGTTCCCCTAATGGCGGTGGCAGTGGTGGCGAAGTAAAGGAATCCGGTGGCGATGGCAAAGAGAATGGCAAAGAGACGGCTGACGGTAAAGAGGGCAAGGGAAAGGTAGGTGCTCGGGGGCCGGTAAGTGGGGGATTGCGGAGCGCTCCCTCGTGGTTTCAAGCACATGCCTCCATGCGTGCACTGCATGATTGTTGTTATGGTATCGTACTTTCACACATCCTTGAACAAGTCTGTATCCTTCTTAGTTCCTGCTATCCCTCATAGCTGTTCAGCCTTCATGACTGGCGCGTCAGCTCATTATGTAACGCCCGCCAAGCGCCTGAAATCCTTGTTACGTAGCCCTGCGGTTTTGATGCCACCATTGCTGCATGGCACTAAAGCTGTGTCCTTCCCATGCCTCTTCCCTTGCCTCCCACAGAAGGGCAACGGCACCGGTGGCAAGGCCTTCCAACGAGTGAAGGCGGAGGAGGTAAGGAGGGCTTGGGAAGAGGGCACGATGACGTACCTGGGCTTAACACCGGGTTCTAGCTCCCTTTCAAACGCGGAAGTGATCAGACAGTATGCCGCACGACCCCAACCTCACTTCTTCACCTGCGCTATCCACCTTTCCCCTGTCCCTTTGCTCACGCCTGCCATCTCAATCCTCACTCTCCTCCTCCTCCTCTTCTACCTCGCTCCTTCTCAGTGGCTGGGCAAGAAGGGCGCGATAGACAACTCGTACGAGGGCACGTTCGGTCAGGGGGGCTGGGGCTTCAAGGCGCAGCAGGTTCTTGGCGCCGTGCGTGGGAAGTAAGTGGCTGTGCGGCGGTGGCTGGGAGGGAGGGCCGCGGTGGCTGGGTGGGTGTGTTTGCTGGGCCCTGGATCGGAGGCATGGGAGGCCTCTCCACTGGGTTGCGGGTTACTGCGGGTATTGTAATGCGCGTGCCCAGTCTGACTGCGCGGACTTGGCGTTAAGAGATTCATTCATATGAATACGCTATAAAGAGATGGAGTCACCCGCACCACACCGCAACACATAGACGTTTCCCCCTCCCTCTGGCTGCTATCGAGTGTTGTACTTTCTGTCTCACGCAACCCACACTCCCTGCCACTCGCACAGGGACTTCCGGCATGAGAAGACCAAGAAGAAGCGCGGCTCATACCGGGGCGGCAACATCGACCCCAACGCAACCTTCTCCACCAAGTTTGAGTCTGACGATGACGAGTAGAAGGGAGCTCTGACGACCCATGGGTCATCCTGCTCAGTCGGGTCAGATCTGTCACTTCTTGACGTTCAAGGTCTCCCTCTTGTGCGCCCAGCCAGGCTAGAAGTTATATGTAAGGATTATACCGGCTGCGGATTATTCAGCAGCGCCGCTGCAACGTGGCTTCTGAGCGGAGGCGCAAATCCAAGCCGGGCTTGTGAGGGATTGAGCAGCAGCTTGGGGAATCTTGGTCTGCATGCAGAGGCCAGATGGGGCTGTTCCGGCAGCGAGGCACGATAGGGTCTGCGTGTTTCAGGCCGGTAGGGGGTGGCGGGTAGGCGTTGGTGAGGGGTGTTTGCAGATGTTGCTGAATTGGCGTACGTGCGGCTGAGGGACGGTAATGGGGGGGTAAAGGAGCGAGCAAGCAGGCGCGGAGAGTGGGAAGGACAGCGACAATGAGCGATGAGAGGCATGAGAGCGGTCTTTCGTGATGTTGAGGTGAAACAGGCGATGGTGGTAGCGGTGCTGCCGGGATGGTTTCTGCCACGCACTTGATTGGTGGCAAGTGAGGCGTATACCTGCTTTGTAAGTGGTGACACGTATATCGGTAATCAACCGGTAGTATGCCGGAGGCGTTCCTGGCCTAGGCCGCAGTGCATCACTGTTATTGCTGGCATGCGTGCTCGAAAAGCGCGGCCGCAGGTCGCATGCTCGTGAACTCACGGCCTGGCATGCAAAAGCTACACCTGCATGCAAGTTATGAATACCGGTAGGGGAAACCGAGCAGGGACGGGCGTCGTCTCACGCCCTGGGCATGTAGGGTTTCGTTACAAGGCCAAGGTGAACTGCCCCAGCAGTAAAGCTACACGATGCAACACGGCGGTTAATGTGTTGACGCCATCTCCAACAACCCGTCAACGTTTGGCCCCCGCTCAACCCCCACAAGGTACAGTAGGCCACCCACGGTTTTAAACAACGCAGCAGCAGCATGCAGTAGTTAGCATGCGGTAGTAAGTTGCGGTAGTCGCGGAGTCTATGTGCAATTTTGCCGCTCCTCCACCGCAGCTGAAACCGTTTGCAAAATTGAAAAAAAGGATGCTCGTACTGGTATGTACGGCTAAAACAACTGGCCTCACAAACGTCTGACCAGAGGCGCCAAAAAGCCAAAGGACGAACGACGATCAGACGATCTTCCTGAAACAGACATGAATGTACTACGTATCGACAGCAACAGACAACACCAAACCGTGAGTTATGCAGCGAATCCACGGTATCAGGTTTACAACACTACTGCAATGGGAGGTGGCAATACAACAAATACGTGGCGTGGGAGTTAAGACACTCGTTAAGACACTCAAGGGCTCTAGCAGCAGCATGACCTCATGCATGTACGAAAAACACCTAATCGTACGGCGGTATGTAAACCATGTTCTTAGGGTGCGACATGCGGTACTTTCCATTCGTACACAACATGCAGCACAAGCAACAAAAGCGTACCGGTAAACGCCAGGCCAATCCTTCACTCCTCAGCACAATCGGGAAAGGTTGCGGGGCACAAAGACTCAAAAGGCGTTGCAATGCACGAGCTAAAGCGGGATGTTGTGGCTTCCAAGTGTTGTGGCTTCAAAGATTGCCACAAAATAAACTATTATGTGAACTCGAAAGGCTTCGATGAACCGAAAGCATCATTAATAATGCACTGCACGACCTGGTTACCTTGTTACCTAGTACGTACGGTAACTAACACGAAATTCCGTTGCGCGATGAAAGCTGTAGTTGCGCGACGGGCGCCGAAAAGGCTTGCAACCTGCATCATATGCGAGCAATGTACGGTACTGCAAAGCCGGAAAAAATGAAGGATTTGAAACGAAACGTTTCTCCCCACAGACTGCGCGTCTACGAGACAGCGCGCCTTGGGACCCACGGGACGGTACACACAACGTGACATGGAACCAAACCCCAAACCGGTCATCAGGACTATAACCCCCACTGAGTAGACTCAACCTGAACTACGGGAGCCCGCCTCCTGCACCGTCCAGTGTCCCCTGTGTGCTGCATCGCACTGCACGCCGCCTGTTTACAGCCCAACCTTTCTACAACCCAACCCCCAAAGACGCACCGGCTTAGCTGCGTTGCTTGGCTTGCAACGTACACGAACGTTCAGCCAACCAATGCCCAACGGAGTAGCAACCCCAAACGTCCAAACAATACACTTCAGTTACCGCAACCCGCAACCCGCAACACACGCAACACACGTTCCCGCAACACACGTTCTTTGATTCTTCTCATTCCATCATACCACCGCCAACAACGACACAACCGTCCTCCCAATATCTATATAATGGTTTTCTACCCACGGCTTTCTACCAACGCCCAACGCCCGCTGTATGCCTCGCTCGTCCTCACAAACCTCATCTCCTTTTCTGCACCCGCATCTTCCGCACCCGCGTCCCCACGTCTTCAGCCCCTTCATCCGTAGTTAGCCCCCACTCGCCCCCTCATCCGTAGCCCCCACTGGCCACCCAAGAAGGCCACCTCCGCTCCGCCCACTCCACCCACGCCGCCATTGCTGCCGCCGCGCCGCCGCCGCCGGTCACCCCCGCACCGCCCGCCATCGCCGCCGCCGCCGCCACCGCCGCCGTCGTCGCCACACCTACTTGACCCCACCACGACGCCACCGCCGACAGCGTCAACAGACACTCAACGGACGTCAAGCGGCGAGTGGAACGGATCAGTGCGATCAGCAGCTGCACGCTGGGAGCGCTCTGGGTTCCGAATAGGTACTGCAGGCGCTGTCGCCGTTGCAGGAGTGTTGCTGGTGGCGAAGGGGGAGAGCCGTACTCGCGCGGAACTTGCATGGTCGCGTGCTGTTGTGGCAGCAAGAAGGAAGGCAGCGGCGACGGCGGGGGCGGCGGCGGTGACCGCTTCGGCTGCAGGGGCTGCCGCAGGGTCTCGACCTCAGGAGGCCTAGCTGCATTGTGATGGCCGTCGTTGTAAGAATCGTCGTACGGCGATGTGAAGGAGCCCGATGCTTGCCGTTGTTGCATGAGCCACATGATCGCGGGCAGCATGTCTTCGTCATCGGCTGCAACGTCGAAAGGAGCCATGCTGCAGGAGGAAAAAGACGCCTGCCGTACGGCATCGCTGCCGACGCCGCCGCCGTCGCCGTCGCTGTCGCCGTCAGTCCTCCCACTGGCGTTAGAATCCCTACTGTTAGACGCAACAACATCGCCGCCGCCTCCGCTGCCGCCCTCGTCGCTCGTAACGCTCAACCTGGAATCCGCGTCGACGTCAACCCCACTGCTGTAATCCATTTTTGATTCCCCCTCATGTTCATCTGTGTGCCCAGCCGAAGGCCCCGCAGCAGCTTCCTCCCGCGCTTCTTCCTCGCCCAGTCGCGTCGCTACATGGCTCCTACATGGCTGTTGCGCCTCGACATGTACGGCAGAGTACGACTCGTACCGGCAGCTCGACAAGCCCCCCACATCCGATATCACACGCCGCTGGCGCGGGGACGTTTGCGGGCTGTCCACGCCTGGTGCCGCCGTTGCTGCTGTTGCAGCAAGCGGTGGTATACCGGCGCCGCGAGTGATGCTCTGCAGCTCTGCAATTGCCGCACAAGTTCCGTCGTACGGACCGGATGGCAGGGTGTCGTACATGGATTGCGTACGCGAGCGATGGCCGCCGCCGCCACCGCCGCTGTCGTTACCGCTGCTGCTGTCGCTACCCGTCTGGTGATTAACGTCGGCGGGTGCCGTAGTCGGCGCCGTCGAGGGAGTGAATGGCAATGGCTCGGAGGTCAGCGCCGGCGCCGCAGGTGTCACGCCGCCGCCGCCGCTGACAATGCATCCATGGTCGCCGTCGCCGTCACGTCGCGGTGGCGGACCCTCCCTGCGGTACGCCGCCGCCGCCAGGAGCTGTCGTACGTCCGCCGCCGCCGCCTCCAGCCCACACTCGTCCAGGAAGGCTAGCACGGAATCAGCCAACAGGCTCAGGGGGCCGCCGCCGCCGCCGCCGTCGCTGTCGTACAGTCCCGCCGTACTGTACTGGGCGCCGACGGCGGCGTTAACAGCGGCGGCGTCGAGCGCCGTCAGCAGATGGGCGACGTCGTGGGCGAAGGGAAGGTAGTGCTCGTAGAAGGCGCTGACAGCAACGCCAGCGGCGGCGGCGGCGGCGGCGGAAGTAACATCGTCCGCCGCCAGATTCCCAGCGTTGCACACCTCCGCCAGGTCTGACGTCATGTTGTCGTACAGGCCGCAGATCTCTTCGGCCGCCGCCGCCGACGGCAGCACCAGCAGCGGCAGCGTCGCTAGCGGACGGTGGATGCTGTGGGTGTGGTGGCCGCAGCAAGGACCGGTGCTGGCGGTGGCGGTGACAGCGGCGGTGGTGGCGGCAGAGGTGGCGGTGGCGGTAGTGCTGGGTGAGGGCAGAAGGTGAAGGTACACGACGCCGGGACGGCTGGGGCGAGGCAGACGCAGCCTGCAGGGAAGGGTTCAGAAAAGGGTTCAGTGCTAGGTTTTAGCGGTCGAACCGAATGGCGTCGTAAGATGTTTACCCAATCCGAATCGGTTGTTGTTATAGTAACCACGTGCATGCGTGCAAGGTGCAATCCTCCGTGTAACCCACCCGCGCCACCACCCACCCGCTCCGCGCACCTGACCCCAGCGGGCTGCCCCTCGGCCTTAGCAGCTTCCGCTCCCTCGCACGAAGCGTACGGCAGATCCAAGATCTCGTCCAGGACCACACCGCCGCACACGCCCACCGCCACCACTCGCACCCTGCTGCTGCCACCGCCGCCTCCTCCTGCCGCATCGCCGCCTGCCTCTGCCGCTACCTGGGACCGCGGAACGTGCCATGCGAATACCTCGACCTCCACAAACGGACTCAGCAGCGGGCTCTCGTCGCACTCGACACCATCCGCCGCCGCAACAGCGACCGGCCTCAGGATAAACATCGAGTCACCGGAAATGGCTGCGGCGGCTGGCGAAGTAGCTGAAGCAGCCGCCAACGCCGCATCGGTGTGCGGCGGTAGTGCGTCGCCGCCGTACCATTCCGTTCTTCCATCCTTGTACTCCTGATCCCGGATCAGACGCAGATCCTGGCCCTGTAGCCGCTGTGGCTGCTGCTGCTCCCGCGCATCGTAACGGTAGCCAGGGTGGTCTTGGAGCCATCCTCGAGGGACGAAGTCGCTAGGCTGTTGCTGCTGCTGCTGCTGCTGTTGCTGCTGCTGTTGCTGCTGCTGCTGCTGCTGCTGCTGCTGCTGCTGCTGCTGCTGCTGCTGCTCCCATGCGGACCGTACAAGATCCGGGAGGGTGCTGGAGGCGGCAGCTGTGCCCATGCAATCGATCTCCGCATGGAAAAGCAGACGTGGCGGACTGAAAGCCGGTCCCGCGCCGCCATTGCTGCCTCGGCCTGAACGGCGACGGCCGCTGGGACTCCAGTCTGATGACGGGTCGCCGACCCATGGGTCAGGCCCCTGGATGCTGGTGACCACGCTCAGCAAGTGTACGCAGCCCTCCACAACCACACTGCGTGCGAGGGACATGTACGGCAGAGGGATGGTGTTGTACGGCACTGGTTGCGAGAGATCCGCTGGTGA